ATCCAGAAATCTTGTAGTATTAAAACTTTTTGAATAAAAAAACGTCTTCAAAGCTAGAAATTAAATATTGTTCGTGCGAGTTTCGCTCTTCAAATAATAGATAATTACTTGTAATAGTCGTCAAAGCGATACTTAAACATTGATTCTTTATGTGCATAGCTTTATGTCTTTTAAAAGGTAAATAATAAAAAGATAATAGTTTGCGTGACTTTTAGTTAATTGACTGATATTAACTATTTTACACTCTTTGAATTTGCAGCACAATGGCTTAAGTCATAAAAATATATAGAACCTAAATTGCTAACTAGTAAAGCTGGGGAGGTCGTAGGGTTATAATTCTGGGTAATTAAAATAAAAAAGTTCCGTTAGATCGCCCAGATCGCTACACAATCGCTCAGTGAAACGTACATAGAATCTTTGTTCTATACTAGAGACGTCTTATCTTTCGCAGGTAATTTAAAAAATGAATACGACCTACAATTAAAAATCCATTGTCCACAAGCAAACGACTAGAACAAGTCTAAAACCCATTGTTATCGAGTTTTGCTTCAAACGATATCATTTTAAGTTTTTCGGAAAGATCTTTTACTAGGCACTTATAACTTTACCTCTGTATCTCTCTATATTAAACGTATTGCCTAACATTACGTGAAATGCGAGAGGTCCTGAGTTTGAATACCGGAGGAACAATAGATTGTTTCTGGTCGGGCTGGGCAAAGAAGTCAACTTGCCTGTGAATAAAAGCGATCGGAAAGGAATACAAAAATGTGTTTGACTCATGCCCCATAAAAGAAACGGGATTCCGATCACACTGGCTTTCTTTTCAAAGGCAGAAACTATTTTAATATATTTAATACAATCGATCTAGAATATCCACTTAGATGTTAAGATTACTGCGGTCTAACAACAAACTTTTTAGGGTTTCGTAACCGAAGAGTAAAAACGGAACCTTTTTTTAAGGCTTTGCGGTCTATGTGTTTTTTCGAGATTATTATTAAATAAACCGTAACACTTGCGTATTATCTCCTGATATGAAACAAATAAAATTCAGATTCCAGGAAGTCCTCCTATACCAACTATAAAATACATACTAAAATATTTGTATATTAGCTCGTTATATATACCTACTTGAAATATCCACTGTGGAGAATGGTTGGTGATCCGGAAATATTCCTACAACCCTGGGTTTTAATATTACCAGACGAAGCTCAACGTGTTTCAGAAAAGTTATAAATTGATTAAAAACATATTGGACCCGTTGGGGATCGAACCCACGACCCGATGATTAGTCAAACATTGTCCATTAGACCAACGAGCCCGTTGACATTAGCGATTAGTGGAGTTGTGACAGATTCAATTAATTTCAATTATGATTTGAACACTATACACTTGTCCACTCGTATCAAATGCATGTTTGAACAATAGAAGAGAACAGAAATTAGCAGTTACCTTGTTAGTTTCCTAGTTATTTATGCCGTATTATTGCGAATACATCCGACCTCTACGAGCATGTAATTTCGTTCACAATTTACATTACGACCGCGGTACGACCGCAAATATTCTCTTATTAATTATATAGCAATGAGATATATTGCATAATACTTTGAGTATTTTTAATTCGTCTGAAGATCTATACCTAGAGACAATTAATCAGGATAAGGGTGTCATTGAAGTTTTGAGCATGAATTTGACAACTGGCCGAATAAATTAAATTTAAAAATGGAACGATCTTCTACTCCGCACCATGGCGACCAAAGAGGTCATTTATCAAAGGTTAGCAAAAACAATACTTTAGCGTGTCAAAAACTATTGTCATTAGTTGTCAACTGAATTGGACTACTTAGTTTTCGCGCATTATTTGAGAAAAATACTATTGGCAACAAATCTAAACTCTCTTACCAGCCCCTGCTACTATATACTATTAACAAATATTTTTAAATTGGTAGACATTTGCCGTCGTTCATTTTCACATTCTTATTTTTAACAAAAAAAAAATGTGATTTAAAAATCTATTTCAATACAAAAAAATCACGCTACGCGGGGGACTTGAAATGGCATTCACGTTAATAACGTTCCGTGCTGCTGATCCAACCAATTCAGCTATCGTATCCTACACGTCATGTCCGAATAAAAAATGTGATCAACAAGTTCAAAGTTTGTGATACACAATGAATAGTCATGCCCAAACGACACATATTTTATAGAAATTTCATGTCTTACTTTAATTCTGAAATTCTTTTTAAATGTTAATATTTAGTATCTTCTTACAAATTGCACGGCTTTTTCACGTAACCGCCGTGATCATTGGCGCATCTACTCGAGTCTAAAACTTCAAATATGTTGAAAACAAATGGTACCTCATCGCTATATCTAGCCTGGTCTCTTCTCATCTTCGTTATCTTGGTTTAAACTTGTTACAATTATTCATGAATATTAAAATTGTCAAGATAGCCCGATAGCTGAATTGGTTAGCGCAGAAGCACGGACAGCTTTGGTTGGCGGTTCAAGCCTGTGTCTTAATTGTTCTTGCATCTAAATAGATATGTAGTTTATTTAAAGCCATCTTTTGTTACAACATGTGAAGAATATTAAAGTTTTTCATAGTATATTACAAACGAATTCAGATGGTAGTGTTATGACTCGACGATCTCATAATGTTATCGTTAAATTATAGTTTCAGGTAATTTTCCAAACATCTTGGTGTTATGAGACGGGTCAAGTTGGGAAAACAAGCTTGTTTTCAATATGTCACGATTCACGGTCATGTTTAACGAAGATCGTGTTGTTTACGTGATTATATTAATCGTAACAAAGGTGACGAGTATGTTTGTTTGTTTGACATAGTAAACTACTTAGCTGATTCTAGATATTACACCATTTTTAGACTATCTGATCAACTAGTCTGTTACGGCAAAACGATCACTGAAAAAAAACCACAAAATTTGTATCTCTCCCCGTTGAGGCGTAAAAAGGGAAATCCCGTTGCCCCCTCGTGGGGCATGGGACGAACACATTTTTGTGTCCGTTTCACTGATCGGGATTTTAATTAGGGGCAAATAGTTGATCAGACTTCTGTGCCCTGCCCGACCGAAACAATTTTTTCCCTGGGATTCGAACCCAGAACCTATCGCGCTCAACGCAATGCTAGGCAATGAGTTTAACCATTTGGCTACAGGTGGCGAGAGCTCGTTGAGGTATGGGTTATACTAAATATATATCTACTTACCAGATATCCTTTAATTGTATACCTTTTTAACTGACAAAATGTGCGTCTCCAATGTCAAAATCAAATTCGCTACGCTAGCGCCATCTGTTTTGATTTTACATACATTTACAGTTTCAATTCAATCCAAATTGTTTAATACTTTTAATAGTTGCAGTTTTATATGTGTAAAGTTTTCACACAATGACATTTGGCCTTGCAGACTAAACCTTCGATAACCGGCTAATTAGCTACCTAATTGTGCGGTGTATGCTTTAATTAATCCGCGTTTATCGTCTAATCGATTAGTAATTTTCCACCTTTAGCTCTGCCTCAATTGTTACGGAGAGGAATGTTAAATATGCCTGTCTTTTTTTCTAAATTTACGGCACGTATAAAATATCGCTCGTTTAGGTCTAGTAGCCTTATAATTTATTCTGTACTTGTTTTTACAAAAAAAAAATAAAATTTACAATCTACCATCAGAACTGTATGAGACTATTATCTGTTGTTTGTTGTTGACAAGTTCTGCATTAAACAATTTTAACAGTTTTACAGGAATTTTTAAATGCTTTACACGAGATACCTTTTATCACGCGTACTCAAGAGTGCAATGACTAACGGACTTTTTATAATGCTAAAAAAGTTTGTTAAAAGTTGTTTAATTATTAGTTTTGAATATTATCTTTACTTTACGCCAATATGACCAATTTAAACGTACCCTTTTGATCGGTTTTAAATGCGAAATATATATGTTAACTTATCCAGAAACTATTTTAAATACGGCTAGACACTTTTTGGTACCATCCCCCGTGCAGTTAGCCTAAAAGTGTCTTATTAAAAACGCTAGCTTTAATTTAAGGTTTGCATTTTATAACTGCTTGTTTTGTAGTTAAAAAAATACACATTGTGTTGACTATGCACTAGATACATGACGACAAAATAGTATATAAAGAGACTTATTTATAATTAGCCATCTCTTTCAGGCATTAAATTATAGAAGCAAGTTCTATTCACAAACACGTTACAAGTATAAGTACCAAAATAAATAAATAATTGATGTGGCCTAGTTAAATTTCTGTATGCAGTTTACAATATACAAAATAAATACTGTCTGTAGTGTATACGAGTAGTACACATTTAAATAAAACACTTTAAAACAATATAGTTAAACCTGATTGAAAATTATTTTAACTACGACCCGACGTTTCGGATGCTTTGCAACAGCCGTGGTCACGGGAAGACTGACTTTGAACTTTGGGACGTAGTTAAAATATTTTTCAAACAAGATTAACTAATATAGATGGCGTTTTAAACCGTTAAACTGATTTTATCTAAACCAAGTAACAATTATTAAAGTTGTTGCCAAGCTACGTTTAATTTTTTTTTGCTCTTATAATATAAGATAATTAAATGAAAATTATTCAAGGTTAAACGATATAGAGATAAGAAATCCTGTAATATTCATATTGCATTCACGTCAAAATTTAATGTATTAAAATAAACATGAACCGAAAACTACATAAGCAAAAATGTTTGCTGAAATAACATAATTATTTAAAAAAAACAATTTGACAATTTAAAACGCAATATATATTGAACTTATTTGAAAATTATTTTAACTACTAAAAGGTTTTAGACCGGAAACGTCGGGTCGTAGTTAAAATAATTTTCAAATAAGTTTACCTAATATATATCGCGTTTTGAACCGTTAATGCTTCCTGGAGCCACGAGCACTACACTGGGGCCGGTAAAAGCGAAACCACAGATTAAAAATAAAACTTTCGCCATCACTTACTTCAAACTTGTTTGCAGCGTGGCCGACATAGTGGAAACGCGTCTTTGCCGCGTCGCGATGTTGTGTTAACTGCTAACTGCTCATTCTTCAGCTAACATGGTTTGAAATATGACAGAATAATAATAGGTGTGACATTACGCTGTAAGATGACCTGCATTCTTCGAATACGTAATAGTTGGCAACGGTCTACTATCGTTGTTGTTTAAATTCATTGCAATAGTTTTGTTATACTTACATATATATGACGCTGCTAGAGGCAGAGTGGCCTAATAACAAAAAACATGATTTTCAATACGGAGGAAAATAAAAATGCGCAACCACCTCTTCCACTTTAATTAATTTTATTTACAAATACACGTTACTACGGTTCTTTTTCGGCTTATTTTTGAAATATTACTTATTTATTTTTGTTTGTAATAAATTGAATATCTAAATTAAAGATAGGTCGAGTGCGCAACTATTGTTATATAACTTAGGTAATTAACTTCCCATCAATTTAAGTCCTTGCTTGTAATGGACTCCTCTATTATGAAAAAAATGTAAACCATGCACTTAATTATATTGACTTACAACATTTCATATCATTGCATCCTGTTTGAACCACGCTCAGACCATTGTTTATTAGTCTGCCATATGCTCAAGTTAAGGTTTTATTTATCGTGCTAGAGCGGTTACAATTCCTGGTAATCACTGTTTATTGTAATTGCCGGATAAACATTCATTCTGTTTGATATTTGTTCGCTAATGTGTGTTTTTTTTGTGACGAATGTCAAAAGTTTATCAAACGCAATTATTTAGGACTAATTATTGTTCCACCTCATTATCTTCTATTTATCTCCAGTACAATAGCGCGTAATTCTCTATATTAAAAAGCTGAAGAGTTTCTTTGTTTTTTTGAACGGGCAAATGTCGAGAACTACTAGTTCAAATTAAAAAATATTTCTTTGTTGGTGATGCCACTGTTGAGTAAGACAAGAACATTACGCTGTGACCAAGAGGCTCCAAAGAACAGATGGAAGATGAATAAAATTATTTATCTTCGAAAATTTGCAACAGTATATTGTGTCTATCTTTAAAGGCTAACTTATAAGAACCGATTTATAGGTATCAAATTTCGTCAACAAAGAAATATTTGCTAGTATTTCAGAATCTAGTATAGTAAACTGTCTATAGTTTACGCGAGTGGTACACATTTAAATTAAACATTTTAACGGTTTAAAACGCGATATATTAGTTAAACTTATTTGAAAATGATTTTTAACTTCGGCCCGACGTTTCGGATGCTTTGCAGCAGCCGTGGTCACCTGTGGCGAGAAACCTGTCTCAAATAAGTTTAACTTATATATAGCGTTTTAAACCGTTAAAGTGTTTTATTTAAATCTAATATAGTATATCAGCGAATACATAAAAATAGTCGTTGATTTCATGTCACCAAGTTAAACCAGACAGAATATTAAATTTAAGATAAAAGTAAAATCAAATCTGTTTTCGTAAGAGATAAGATTAGTGAAAAAACACATGCAAACAACACAAAAAAACACATCAGACTTACGTCGTAATTTACATTTTTCCTCAATATAGATAAATTCGCTGTTTTCGTTGATCTAAACAAACAACCGTTTAAGGCTTCGTTAGCCTTAGTAAACTTAATTTCAATCTGACATTACAAATATTGTAACCTTAATTATATAAATCTACGATTATCGACTGGTTACATTTAACTGGACATTTTTATATGCAGTTGACATCGAAAAGTTACTTAACAAAGATTCTTATTACCCAATTTCGCAGACGAAGATTATAATTTATCTTGTTAGATTAACTTTTATTACACAGATAAAAAATTTCAACAAATTAAAAAAGTTCAAAGCCGTATGAAAACTGGTATTGTTTTTTTTACAATTGTACTACTAGATAACTTGTCATGCCAACATTGGCATTAAAACATTGTCTGTAGTTAACGCGGGTAGTACACACGTAAATAAAGTACTAATATAATAAAACAATTACTACTATATATCCATTGTTATATAGTAGTAATTGTTGTTTGAATTATTGATGCATATAATTTATATTTGTAATATTAATTGTGGGTTCAACTCAACAGAACATTTTCAATGTATAATCGATTTTTATTTTAATTACATGTTATCATTTTTCGTCTAGGTCATTAAGGAGATAGAATAGCCCTGCAAGAAATTAAACTTTAGGCTAAGATTGTTAGGGCTGATAATAGTTGTATCAACTCTATATAGATGGCTAAAGATAACTCACATTCGCAACTGGCGTGGGAAGAAGCAAATCATTTGTATTTCATTGGTAACAGTTTCTTGCGAAAATTACACAATTTCTGTCTGTTCGCTTAGGTTCTTCTATAAGAATAAAATAGATGCGTTAAAAAAACAAAACAACTGTGGCAACACTTTGTGTGGTCATATTTTTTCTCTGGCACCACTGACTGCACTGTACTTAAAATCAATTTCAAGCCAATCTAAGACATAAGCTGAGGAGAAAGTGAAAAACTATTCTTCGCCTTTGCTTGATACTGTTTCAATAATAATTCGACTTTAATTATATTTGTAAGTTTCAATTGCTATTGTGTGGCTTGTAGTAGTAAAGTATTCTTTATTATTACATACATACGTCTTTAAATAAAGAAATTGCGTTCATTACTTTAAAATAATTATTATAAAATAATATGTTAAGAATTATTAAATAATTATATGTTATAGACTTTTTCTTATCTTTACCTAAAATTACATCTCCATCTTCATACTAAACACTTTATCATATATCTTAACGCCAGTATTAACATAAGTTTTAGTCTGTAGGCGACAAACACACAACATTTTCTTTCCAATTTATATTCAATTTTTAATTTTGAGTAGAGCACATTCAAATAAAACATTTTTAACGATCTCTCTCTTATGGGCTGTAGTTAAGTTATGTAACTAATTAATATTATTCGCGTTTTAAACGGTTCAAGGTTATTCAGATAAAGTGCTTTAAATTATAATCTCTGGAAGAACCTTAAAGTTTATAGATTGTTCTTATATTTTATCGCTGTTAAAGACTTAGCCAAAAAGTCTGAAACAGATTTGTCTAATTTATTCTTGCAGGCGTTAGTTTTTTATGGTATGTAACCAACGCTAAAAGAAGGAGAAGAAGATATGTCAGTGTTTAATTACAAAATGCATATATTTTTAATTATATATATTTCGATACTTTTAGATTAATTGCATTTTTCTTCAAACTTTAAACATAATTATTTTCATATTATACTTAGTTTTACTTTTGTAAATTATAAACCTATTTTATTTTTGAACGGCACGGAACGCTCTCGTCTAGTTTGAGTCCCGCCCCTACTCCATGCCTGTCATGGGGGGGGAGCATAATTCTGTGGGAAGCAGGATTATGTACTAATTAAAATAGCTATTTAATCTTATTGACCCTCTATTTCGTTTTCACTGCCATCTATACGAATGTCTTCCGGTTCAAGCATAGCTGTGCACCTGGCTTCACCTTCGTGATTGAAGAATTGAAACTTCGCATTGTCTTTCAGTTTCAAAAATTCACTTCGCACCAATAACGTAAAGTAAACGTTCAAGACTGAAAAGAGAAGGGATACGTTTATGCTTAGATATTAGTTGAATAAGTGTGTTAGGCACAGGCAGAATCGATCCCACGATTAAACAGTTACTCTACCAGTTGATAAAAAATGCTACGGTAGAGCAGGCCATAAACATACGAATATATATATCTGTCTTGTGCTGACTTGTGCTGTAGTTTTTCATTTGTTTTTGTCGTTTTTCCATAGTTGCACAGTTTTTTAGCAAAGTAGCATTTTTGGACGGTCGTGCCAACTAGACAAATCAGTTTTGAAATTATTACCAGAGTTCGAATCTGCTTTAATGCAGCGCAATAGTATAATAATACTTTACCAATTTAAAAATCGAAAATAAATTGAAAAAAAATACGACTCGGGCAGGACTTGAACCGGCGTCGTCAGCGTTCCGTGCTGTTGCTCTACCAATTGAGCTACAGAGTCAACAGCGCGGAACGCTGACGATGCCGGTTCAAATCCTGCCGAGTCGAAATGTTTTTAATTTATTTTCGATTTTTAAATTATATAGTGCCTTCATGTGCTATAACATGTAAAAATGAATAAAGTTTTTAAATACTTTACCAAATCATATCGGTTAAAATTTTAGGCCTCATATACTTACACAACTCAATCAAAATGTATGCCACGTAGAAGATCACAGGTGAGATTAAAAAGAAAATCACAAATCCTCCTAGTTTTAAAAAGAAGAGAATGAAGAAAATTATCATTAACACGAATGGTATGCAAAGATAAACAATGTTATAGACGTAGAAAACTCTCATTATTTTGTAGTTTTTCTGAAAAACAAAAGAAAATTGTTGAAACTAACTTGTTTAATAACAAGCATTGACCTGTTGTGGTTTACGCGAGTAGTACACATTTAACGGTTTAAAACGCAATATATATTAGTTGAAGTTCTTTGAAAACCGCTCTGTAGTCTGCTGTGTTTGACCGCCTCTGTAGCCAAATAGTTAAACGTATTGCCAGCATTGCGTTAAGCGCGACAGGTCATGGTTTCGAATCCCAGGGAAACAATTTCTTGTTTCCCTGGGATTCGAGCAAGGAATTGCAGATGTCTGATCAACTACGTGGATGTTAAGAACTGATCATTGAAACGAACACAAAAGGGGGGGAAGTTCTTTGAAGATTATTTTAACTACGGCCTAACGTCTTCTTGCAACGTAACGACGATGTAATCTTCAAATAAGTTTAACTAAAATATATCCCGTTTTAAGCCGTTGAAGTGTTTTGTTTAATAAGGAGACTATCTGCTAAAAGTCAATATAGGCTCAGAATATAATAATAATTTGAGGGTACTTTGTTTTTTTAATTAGACGGCCGAAGGTAGAGCGCGCTGACAGTCGCTTTCTGGGTGCCGCTCGTAAGAATAGATTGTGCACAGATTTTTAATTAAGTTTTTGTAACTTCCAAAAAATAGTGATTTTGAGGTATTGTTAATATAATTTGAATCTAGTGCGTAATTAGAAGTAATACATAGCCGTAAATTCAGTGAGTATACTATGTGGCGACGTGAGTTTATAGCCGACCTCCTTTGTTCAGATTCCTTCTTATATAAGCGCCCTTTAATCCCAGTTTCGATACAGAGAGACACGCCACAATAATATTGCAATAAATCTGGACAACCACTGGACCGGAGGTATGTAATTTATAAATTAAAAAAAAATTTATTGTTCGAATTTATTTTCGATTTTTAAAATTGCATCGACATTTTTACCGTTTCTGTCTTTGTGATAGACTACATTCTTCAAATCAATTATAATTATAATTATAATTATGCAACAATTTAACTTTTATATAAAAATTGATTTTAGTTATTTCTATATCAACCATACTCGATTTTTGATTTGATATTGACATGAATTAACATTGAATAGTTGATGCCTTATATATATAATAACTAACTGTGCCAGCGACTTCGTCCGCGTAGAATAGTAATTTTGGACATCTAAGTTTGTTTTTACAAACCTCCTTTTCGTCTTAATAAATGTAAGCTTAAAAATTACCTACGACGTCGGACGCGTCCCGTCGTTCTTGCAAGTTAATATTAAAAGATGTCTATCTTTTATATACAGTCGCGGACATTTTTTAGATCATTTAAAGAGGAATCATTCTTTCGTGCATTTTTTTGGGTATCTTGAATCCTTTTTATCCACGTTTCTTCGCTTCTATACGTCACAGCTCAATGTTTTATACAATGCCTATAATCTTCCTCGATAGGTGCCCTAGCCTAGTTTCTGAGATTAGCGTTAAAAACAACAAACAAACTCTTGAGCTTTAAATATATATATATATATATATATATATATATATTTAAATAAATAGTTAATATATATATATATATATATATATATATAAACTAATATTAGTACAGATACATACTATATGTAAAATTTTCAGGTAAAATTCAGGTTTTGTTGGATCTTCGAAATAGTAAATAAATAAGTGAACTTAGATTACCTGGTGCGCGCTAACGATGAAAACAATTTGAAACACAACATTGATTCCATTTAATATTGACGTCATTATAAGATATAAATGAGGTAGATTTGGTCTTGGGGGTCCGTTCGTCATAAACACTTCACCTATTACAAAAATGAGCCCTAAAAAAGCTGATAGTCTGAAAGATAATTATAAATTAAAGTTAATTTAAGTCTTTTGCAACTCAAATTGCTTTACAATGTTGGACATCACTTAGATGGTAGAAATATTCTTATTCCTTTTGCGAAATGTTAAGCCCACGTGACTTTTGGTCGCGAGTTCTATTCTTAGCACAAAACCTCATAGAATTATTATTCTATTTACAAATTGATCGTATGTGTCCCGCATGCCGTATGGATTAAAACATAGTATTAGAATCAATGTTATTTTAGTTAATAGTCGATGTAAAGTCTTAAGGTATGTACTTCGACTGGGCATAGCAACGACGGTTTATCTTGAGTCGGTGTTCTTTTTGGCATGATATTCACTTATATCATTTGAACGAAAATGCATTGTCGACCCTATTTTTGGCATTAGTCATTCAGAAATCAGCTTTATCGTTTGTGGGTCCTGCCCCGGACAGAATATTTAATAAAACAAAAACAGAATATTCCTGCCACCCATTTTTCTATCCAGGTGAACATATTTTAGGATAATTATGAATTGAATATCAAAAACATGTTGGATCTGATGGGAATCTATCCCACGACCATGGTGTTGTTTAGAGTTTAGACCCATTAATCCTCCAGCACATTTTCGATTTCAAATATCTTTCTAAAATACAAATAAACTTACCAACTTAATATAAGACCATATTAGTAATCCTAATCTTAAAGGCACGCAGAAACAACATTTCACTAATGTCGGTAATTCACAACGCATTTTAGTGTTTATTGCTATAATCGCGAACAAATAATAACTATTATCAATAATGGCTTCATATATAAAGGAAGCATCTGCTTTCATTATCTCTTGCGCAGGGTAAACCGAGATAGATTGATCCCACGCAAATTATACGTAAATATTCTGCACGTTGGGATTTTGTTTTGGGTTTTTTTAAGTATAATGACACAGTCCTCAGCAGTCTGTGGGTCAAGCTTGAATGTTTTTCTTGCGCTGTCGACCTCTATAGGCTTTGGATATTCGGAATTCGGGTGTCATACGATTCGTTACAATGGCAATTTAAATACATGAACTTACCTGGGTTTAAAATGAATATTTAGTACATATTAGGTCGATAAAGAAACTGTTTAATATATTTTATTAAGCTCTCAATAAATGTACATTTGCTGTCAGTTTTTAAAGTCGCTTAATTTGAAACAATTTCTCTTTATAAGAGCAACGATCGAAAAATACGCTTACTCAGAAATCATTAAATAAATTATTAATATTTGATGCAATTATCAATAGACCGCTTTTACAGTTCTCTCCAAAATTTTTTGGCTGGGCTGAAGTTAGCACGGCCGCCATCTTGCGCGTGGTACTGTCAATTTTAAGCAAAAAGTCGAGTCCCCTCCCTTCACCCGCGCATCTTCTGCTTTAAACAAATCTGATTTTTTGCGTTCTGCGCAACCATCCGCGCTAACTTCAGCCCGGCCAAAAAATTTGGAGAGCACTGTACTTTGTCACTATAATTTTGCAGGTCACTGAATTTTTTCTCTACTCCGTGACGTCATATTTGTATCTCTATACTATTTTCTCTCCGTTTCAGTGTTCGTATGTGACTTTTGACCAGAGAAGTCAAATAAAATTGACTTGCTGAAAATATAAATAATATAGATCAAGTAAATTAATGTACACTCTATACTTTACGCGAGTAGTACACATTTAAATAAGACAATTTAACGGTTTAAAACGCGATATATTAGTTAAACTTATTTGAAACGTCGGGCCGAAGTTAAAAATCGTTTGGCGAGAGTAATTCCTAATTTAGTCGTTTGCTTTCCAAAATTTTTTTCCCCTGGCGACCAAACGAAGGGAAATCGGGAAATTACCAATTATAATTGTTTACCGATTACAACTGCACCGAATAAACTCGACAGCAGAAAGGTAATCCAAACATGATGGCCAAGTAAAGAGTATGTTCTGTAGGTCTGGACGGGAATAAACAATGCCACAAAAACCGAATTCGTCACGAGCATACACACATTGCATTCGTAATACGCTTCTAGTAGCTGACAACTTCCCTGAAAAAAAAACAGTATTTCAAATAAATATCGATTGAAACTCAGAAAGTTAGAACGTCAGAAGTTAGCCAAAGCCAAAATAGGTCGATAGCACATCTTGTTTAGATGTTATATGGCCGGGATATTTCACCTCCCATCAAGCCAACCCCATGCTTCTCTGTCCTCCTCTATTAAAAAAAAAAAACTTGTATTGTTTTAAAATACTGTCTATAGTTTATGCGAGTAGTACACATTTAAATAAAATACTTTAACGGTTTAAAACGCGATATATTAGTTAAACTTATTTGGAAATGATTTTTAACTTCGGCCCGACGTTTCAAGCTTATTTGGAAATGATTTTTAACGTCGGCCCGACGTTTCGGATGCTTTGCAGCAGCCGTGGTCACGGGGAGACAGTTGTTTTTAAGTTTAAAAAGTAATATATAAAACGGCCATACTAATATTAGTGACTTGTTATTAGTTATTTTAGGGTGTCAAATTTTAATAACAATCTGTTAAAAAATTACGCCCACAAGAGTAACAAACAGACAAAATTCATAATTCGACAATCTTTTTAATTTCCCATAGCTGGAAATATGTTTTAATAACGTGTTTTTAGTATTTATATTGTATTTTTTAATTGGTTTGTGTAATAAAGAGTTGTTACAATTAATTTTTTGCAGTTAGGTGCACAGGCTACCTTATGTAATCCAGCCAATAGAATGATAGCGAAAAACAGCTGTATTAAGTCTAGTCCAAGAGCGAGGGAAAGCATAATATAGCTTATGGGGTCAGCTGGCTTTACGCCTTGGATCCAATCGCTCATACGACACATTATTGTTATTATGTTAATGTAGAGTACCACCTGAAAAAATGAGATAATTATTAATTATAAAATCGATTAGAAATTTAAAAAAAATACGACACGGGCAAGACTCGAACCGGCATACACACCATTCCGTGCTGTTGGTTTAACCTTTAGCCATTATTTATAAAAAGTACCAATGATTATATTGTCTAAATAGTTTTAATTTAAATTCAATTTATCAATGTATATAATATATATAATGCGTGTAGAACACGGTATCTCATTTGGTTAGAGCAACAGCATGGAACGCTGTAGAACACGATTCAAGTCCGGCTCGTGTCGGAAAAGATTTCCAACTCTAAAATTGTTTTTTTAATATATTTAAATAGATAGAGAGTTTTTATCAATATTGCTCTTATCTAACATAAATATAAATACATCAGACAATACAGACAGCCAGCCGGACACGAATAACTTTAGGACGGGTCTAGGGATAAGGATCGGTTAAGTTACTCACCAGACTTATATATCCAAAAGCTATTAATCCAGATTTTAGTGGAAAGCAGAAACAACACTTAGTCAATTTGCATAACATTGTGATTTAATTATGAACGACCACGAGTGGACTTGCGAATATTGTTTATAATACTGGTTGTCTTAACTCTTAACCTCAAGATCGCGGTATCGATTGGGTTTTTAATGAGGAAAATTAATGCACAGATAACATAAAGAATATTGGGTCGTTTTATAAAATCAATTTTATATAGACAATAATAATAATGACTGCTATACTTAGTCTAAGTAACTAAACGGTTAAACCAATAACCAAATCTACTAAAGCAAGAAAATATAAAAAACAAAATAAAATATACTTTATTCTCTGTAAAATTAAAAAAAAATATTTAGATTCGTCAATTTTTTTTTCGTTTGTCTGTCCGTTCGTCGTATTTCTACAGAGTGTTCAAAAGAGCAACATAACTGAGAAGAACACCCAAGAAACTCAGTCCGCCTTTTTCAAATATGTCTTATAAACTAATACAGTTAAAAGAACACAAACAAGACGTAAGATAACCAAATTTTGCCTATTAATTGCGTCTAGGCGAGGGGGTCAAAGTCCAAATCCTAGGAAACAACAGATTGTGTCGGTTGGTTCGGTTAGGAGTTTCAACCACTCGTCTAAATAAGAACTACTATTATATAACTTACTATTATAACTACTAAATAAGAAGGGTGCGCGCCCCATGCCCCACGGGAATTAACGAGATTTCAGTCTATGTAGTCTAGGGTTGAAATTCTACCAAAATAAATACACTCCTATCAAAGTGAGGTTATTTCAATAAAACATATTTGAATTTAGATCTTTTATTTATGTTACGGCTAAAATAAAAAAAGCAAATAGATCTTCTGTTAGCGAAGGTGTGTTGTTTTTTGTGAGTAGAGAGACAATTTTCAACTAGTACATACAATATGTCTATGTACACGATACATATGTGTGTAGATATATTTATCGTGTTTAGGTATTCTTAAACGACATTTATTAAAAAATAACTTAGAACGTGAAATTGGTTGACTTTTAATACATTATGTAACCTCCTGGGTTTTCGAGTAACATTAAGAGATTTTGATGACGACATCCATCTTGGTGATAAAACGTCGAGAACAAATTCTTAATTACGACCGTCGAACAGGTCGGAAGCCCAAGAAGCTTTACAAAATGGCCGCGAAAGCCTTTTAGAATTTATAATTTGTTTTATTTATATTATCATTAATAAGTAGTTATTTTAAATCATACAAATTGACTTAGAATTATAATAAATTATATAAATATTTACTTTGATACTAACCATTATATTTTGTAATCAATTGGCTTACTCTTAGAATAGTTACTGAGCTGCAGGTCATCATAGGTATGGTACCATACCATACCATAACTGGGTCGGGTGATATATTAGTACGGCATTAGAAATTTTCTAAAAAGGTATGTATAAGATCATAGTCAAAAAGTATGGAGAGTCAACACCTCCGTTATCATCACTACCTTAGTTGGGACAATTATTAACCTCACTGGAGCAGCATTGTAGGTACAATCTGTTAAAAAATACGCGAGTAGAACACATTAAAAAAAAACACTAACGGTTTAAAACGTGATATATATTAAAAGGTTAAACTTATTTGGAAGTTATTTTAGCTATAAGCCCGAGGTTTTACACCGTAAAGTGTTTTTTAATGTGTTCTACTCGCGTAAACTACAGCCAATATTTAAGGTGGTACGAATTAGTAGACTACATAAGGCTTTCGGGGTGAGTAGGAGGAGCTTTCAGGGTCGGAGACGCATTGCTGCCGTAAGCTGAAAAGGTAGCTGCGCACCAGCGCCACCATGTACAACTGTATAACTGAAACAAATGGTTAATGGTGGTTAATAGTGATATGACCAATAAAGTCGGTAAATAAGAACTATATCTGCACGGTGGTAACCTCATTAATAATTTATTTAAAGTCGGGCAAAAGTTAAAGCAAACATCGCATTTTTTATGATAGAGGACATTCATGCATGTGATTATGATCTAGTAGAATTGACGTGACCACGGCTGCTGCAAAGCATCCGAAACGTCGGGCCGAAGTTAAAAATCATTTAAACCGTTCAAGTATTTTATTTAAATAAAAAAACTATAGACAGTATTTAGAATTGACTATGATTTTAAATATTTTTTTGTATCATATTAATATATCGAAATCGGAATATTGTAATTACGCTTGGCTTACGAACTACCGACCACAGTTTCATTCTGTGGATTTCCGAATATCCGAAGCCAGAATAGAATAGCACATCTCGTTGAGATGTTATATGGCTGAGTTAATTCACCTTCTCCAAGCTTCTCTATCATCAAAAATAACCATCTCAATATTCTGAAAGCTTTAACTTACCAATAGCCAGCAGCGCTGCTGACATTGACGTGAGCAGGATTAGCCAGACATCATCAGGTAGAGAGGCATACAATCTGTATGACTCTAGGGGAATATACACTATGGACATCATGATCTCCACTCCAATTAGTATGGCATTGTAGATATAGGTAATACGGACTGTTGTGTAGTTTATCTGAAGCATATAAAATATAGCAATAAAAAGCGTAACTTTAATATTTTTCACATTTTGCACATGATGGCACTACATAAATTAAAAATCGATTATGAATTGGAAAAAATTACGAATCGGGCGGGACTTGAATCGGCATCCCTCCGGCGAATCCATTCGCTGATGATGTGTAGGATTCGGTAGCTCAATTGATTAAAGCAACAACACGGAACGCTGTGGATGCCGGTTCAAATCCTGCCCGAGTCGTAATTTTTTTCCATTTATAATCGATTTTTAATTTATATAAACATTGCAACGTTTACGTAAATGAGATTTGTTATTGTAAAAATGCAAAAGAACAGCCGCCATTTTGTCGGCGACAGTAAAAGTCAGTTCTAACTAGCTGAAGAAGTCTTATATTTCTTATATCGTAATTACCCTGTCTTCTTATGTGAGGCAAGGGGTGAACACACTGTTGTTATGTCTACTGATTAATTTTATTTATAGTCAATTCCATGCGCGAAAGGGGCGTGTGTCCTACACGATAGTTTCAAGTCCCACCTGTATCGTAATGCTTTCTATCGATTTTTTATTTATATAGACTTATACAGGCAACATGTAACTTCTGTACTCGCAACAATTCGTCATATCCCCAAAGTTTGAACCTAGGACCTCTAAGCCAATGCTAGAAAAAGCGTTTAATTAAATTACGGAGGCGGTCGTGATAAAAAGTGTTTCTCTTAACGTGGTTTAAGATTTGCTTACCTTATGAACCCCTATAAGAAGAATAATGCTGAAGATAATTTCTAAAACAATTACAGCTCCAAGTACAATTATTGGTAGTAAAATACTGCTATCGTTCCGCGTTTCTTCTCTATAAGCAGTTCTAGGTTCTTCACTTAGCCAGTATATTGCGTAGGACGTGAAGAGAACCTGAAAAATTATAGGTCTTAATTAGGCTTCTCCTAATTTAGTAGTTTTATTAAGTTTGATGGATATCTGATCGGTTGTTTAAGATTATTTTAAACAATTTAAACGAAATCCCGAAGATAGTTAGAAACGAGTCTGAGCTATGAATTGTATAAAGCTTTCGCCATTTTGAAAGCTTTAAGTTTATTGAAAACCTGTTCAGTAGTTTAAGGCTATTTAAAACAATTATGTACAGCTGTTTAAATGAAAAAAATTTAAGACATGAACTAGTCAATTTGCTAAACTACAAAACAGTTTTTTTAGAGATAAATGAGAAATGGTTCGCGAAGTTTCGCCATCTTCAGATGTTGACTTGTACAACTCCAGTTCTCCATTACAAGAGTAGACTAACTTGGAAATCCACATAGTTAAGCCTGAACTAATTTTTTCTTTTAAAGAATCATTTTTAAGCAAGATTTATTTATTTACAAGGGGAAAAATAATTTTATAAAAATTGTCAATCTTAATATATATTCATGTTTATTACTTACCAACTTAGTATAAGCTGCAATCAAAAGACCCTTTCTTAACGGCAACCAAAAACAACACTTCGATAAATACATTTTTAAAGCAACAATACGCAAAGCGCATAGGCGTTGTGGTAAAAATATAACTGATTGATTTTTCTACAACTTACATTATCATACAATATAGGGCGCGTATACACTGTACTGTTTCTTTCATTCTTTACAATTATCAATCTTGAAGTAATAAAGGCTGATATTATGTAACATCATAAGAATTGTGAGCTGTTAAGTCAGTTTTAGAACCTTTTCATGTATATATTTGTAAAATCAGTCTCTAAGTATTACAGAATAGCGCTATAAAGAATTCATTAATTGTAATTTATAGTAGTTAAAATACTATATTTCGCGTTTTAAACCGTTATAGTGTTTTATTTAAATTGATTAAAATAAAAATTTTAACGTTTAACTTTATTTTTATTGTGTAAGTAAATAAAAGCGTTCGTGTGCATTAGGCCTAAGTCGCTTCGTCAGTATGTGACCTCCGAATGTTTCTTATCTCTCTAGTAATTGAACTTTTGAATAATTTATCAGTTTAAAAAACATGACTTTAAACTAATAACTAAAAGTATCAATGACACGAATCTGTGTAATTATTAGGAACAAAATAAAAAAAATGGAATCCAGAAAAGAGACGAAATTTTATTTTATTTTATTAGTTAGGAACCAATTTCTAGGATAAAAAGGGCAAATAATAAATTAGCTTTGTAATTTTTAATGAAATTCTAATATTAATATTACATAAATAAACAAACTCTATAATAAAGTTATCTTACTTTTAACTGATTACAACTGCTGCAAATTGACTCTAAACGTCGGCCTGTAGACAAAAAAGTTAAACAAATCTATCTCGCGTTTAAAACCGTTAAAAGTTACATTAACGGGTTTTGAAAGTTTTCTATTGGCGGTTCCACTACAACTTCGGACACTTGATTCACGAACGATATCCCGCTGTTCTGGCGCAGCTTTTTTATCATATTCCTCACGAGACACAGCATGTATATGTGTAGAGCTGGAAATTAAAAAGCCTTTATAATTATCAATTAATCTGCGTACTTAAATAGCATAAACCTACGAGAAGGCGTGAATAAAAAGTGAAATCTCGGTCAACCTTCTGCGCCCTGCCTGGCCGAAATATTTCATTGTTGTCCCGGGATTTGAATCTAGTAGCTTTCCTAAGTCCTAACACAATACTAGGCAACAATTTATAAAGTAGAAACTTTCTGACCTCTTTATGAGAAGAGCCCTAAAAGAGGTCAGTTATATAATTTAAAAATCGAAAATAAATAAAGATAATTTTTGACTCGGGCAGGACATGAACCGTCAATAGTCAGCGTTCCTTGCTGTTGCTCTGACGACGCTGACGATGCCGGTTCAAGTCCTGCCCGAGTCGAAAGCCTTTTCAATTTATTTTCGATTTTGAAATTATATAGTGCCTTCATGTGCGTGTGCGTGTGCATGAAAAAATAAATAAGTTTTTAAAGATACAAGATGCAAAACATAGACATTATAGGCATAATGATAACTCCATATGACCAATGCTACAGTGTTAACCAGTAGAGCAACATCACGGGTTCGAGTTTCGCCTTAGTCATTTTACAAGATTCTCTTTACTTACTTAAAGCGAACAGTATAAAGGTGATTTCCAAGGCCATAAAGTACGGATCTCTGTTGAGAAGATCGTAATCTATCAGCGATATCGTCAGGAAAGTAGCAAGCGTAGTTGTTATACCATAGTAGAAGTATATTGTCAGTAGAAGAACACGTTTCTGAAAGCCACAAAATAGTAGTTTCAAAATTTGTATGCTATCTTGGGAAATTTATCTTGCGTTTCAAAACAAAAGAACACCTTTAAACAAAACACTAACGGTTTAAAACGCGATGTATATAAGATTTGATTTATTGTTACCGGAAATTTTATTGAGGACTTTAATCCACTAAGGCCAGACATGTATAAACAAAAATATCACACCGTTCGAAACGGTGGGGTAAAAACCAAGACCCGCTGATTGTTAGGAACAAGCTGTTACTCACGACGTCGTCCGCGTCTCGTCGCATCGTGCTTTCCAGTTAATCTTAAAATATGAACAAATAGTGTCGCGGGCGTTTTTTTAGATGATTTACAGACACATAGTTTTTTTTATTTTCTCGAAGCGTTATCTTAGTGAACGCAACGAAAGCCGTCAAAGAATAACTTTCCCCGTTTTTTCCACATTTCCCTCTGTTTTCCTCTCTTCTTGATCGCAGCCTCATGTTAAATACTTAGTCTCCTTAATAAATAAGCCCAACCAACAGGGAAATAATTTTTCAATTCCATCCTACTAATTCCAGAGATTAGTGCGTTCAAACAAATAAATTCTTCAGCTTTATAATATTAGTGTAGATGTCGTCGTACCGACAAAAAAACTCATTATTACCGTGTGTGCTCCCACAAGGAGAACGATTGTAAAAGCGCCATCTATCGAGTACAGTAGTAACGCCAACCAGACTCGGCTAAAGAAACTATTTCCATGGTAGGCTACCAAGGTCATTCCCGATAGATCGTCATATCCAAGATACAGTTCTACTGCTATAAGGAATATTGTAAATATCTGAAAAAAAAAAGAGATTTTCGTTTATAAATATTATCTTAGATTATAAATATATAAAGGGTTCGCAGCTTTCACACACAAAAAATCAGAGCTTTTGTTAGTTAATCACCGAAAATCTTGGGTTCAGCCTTTAAAAAACTAACACTTAACTATAAATATAATACAATATTTAACCAACAGCTGTGTGATCCACAATAAATATTTAAGTAATTTAAAACCGTTTATCTTTTCACTTAAGGCAATCGTTTGTTTCTATCAACTATATATATACATACATACATAAACTTTGTTAATCTCTATTTGCTTGTGTTTTAGTGCAAAATATATAATTTGAATATGGACGCAAAAATTTGTTTTGGTTAACAGAATGAAATATGATTACGTTGACGTTGCGTGCGTTCTGTAGTTAGATAGAAACAGTGTAGCAAAGAGACTTCTACATAATAAATTACTTCAATATAGTGGCCACAGCTGCAGCAAAGTGCGGGCCTTAGTTAAAACGATTTTCAATGTTTAACTAAAATATTCCGCGTTCAAAACCTTGCTTTATTTAAATGTTTCCTACTCACAAACTACATGTAGTATTTGATATTACTTACCAAACAAATGTATCCATAAGTCAAAACACCTTTACGCAATGGTAAACAGAAACAGCATCTTCCACATTCAGGTAGATCGAAACGCATTTTGAATCACGGTATATTAGTTTTGTCTAAGCGAATTTGATTTCAAGCAAGAAAATGTCTCTTGGACGCGGTCTAGACTAATGACGAAACTCAAATGGTACGTTCGACGCAATTATCTTATTTGCCGTTATGAGACTCGGAAATCATATTGTCGACAGTTTATCCCGGGAATTTTTCGTTAGTCACTATGTTGTATTGTATTCGTAGGAGGAAAAACACATAGACAAGAGAAAAAGTGTATCTATTTCTAAAAGAAACTTCTTTTATGCACTATTTGCACATATATAATCTATTCAACAAAATGAGTTATTAAAGCGTATATATTCCCACACAAAGCCTACAATGAAGAAGGATACAAAATGTTTAGTAGACGTCAACTGTTTTCGCTAGTCACTCGTATCGGTGAATACATTATTTTACTACTGTACCATACGATGTTACTAATACTACTGAACAGAATATAAGTTATTATATTTAATAACTTGCGGTTTTAGCGACTTCGTCTGTGTAGAATTGTTAATTTAGGCACTGCTACCCACGACTTCGTCCGCGTCGTTCTTGCAAGTTACCCTTAAAAGAAAGACATATTTCGTTGTAAACATTTTGTTAGATCACTTAAAGAGGAATAATTCTTTCGTACATATTTTTTGGAGGATGGACAAGGATGAATAATTCTCCCCGTTTTTTCCACTTCCCGTTGTTTCTTCTACCTTCTTCTTATACTCTTCAACTTTACTTACTTATACTTCTTAAAATCAATTTTGCCGTTGAAAATATAAAAAATCATAATTCTAATGGTTTTATGACCAGTTTGGCAAATGTAGTTTGTGTTTGCTTATGAACAGTTTTTACAATAATGATGAATATGTCAAAAAAATTGGTTTTCTTCTAAATAAAACAACTTATATATCTTTGATTTTTATTAAAAACAAGTATAATCACAGTTAGGCTTAAAATAAAACACTGTATTATCTTAGCGAATATAATCTAAATATGAGACAGCTCAAAACAATATCCTATCACAATAATTTGGATCAAAATGGCGTAGTCTCGAAGTTTTGAAGAGTTTACCGCTTAAATAGAGACCCAAATTATTGTGATATACTAACACCATAATATGTAGATACTAATAAGTCCACAGCCTGGTTTAAATTTGCATTTCCTTATAGCAAAATGTAAGGCTTAAATAGTAAAATTAGAAGTAAACATATAAATTCTTAGAACCTAGTGAATTTTTTCGTATAAAAATAATTATTAAAAAAGAATAGAAAAGACAGATCTATAGGACACTTACGTATATACTTCGGACGATAATTATACATTATTATTTTAAAAAAATTACAGCTCTGTGTAATTAAACAAGTCAAGAAACTGCGCAGGGTTGTATTAAAATATGGTTACATTAGTAAACAAATAATTTTAAACATTATGAATATTTACAGCATTTTTTACACTTAGTGTTAAAATAAAACAACTTGTAATTCTAAAATGACTGGCGCTAATGAGAAAGGTGTATCTCAAAATGAGCTCTTTTTTAATATAGAGTAGTGCTGAAATAAACTTATTTAAAGTAATTTAACCTTTAAGGCTCTCTCTCGTTCGGCACCACTATGCTAGGATACACCCCGTTCGTTTCCACCTTAATTTCTCCGTTCACAATTTGATGTAACTGATTCTCGTAAGTGTGGCCGGATCTCTCTAGTTTGTTAAGCAGACTTCTAACTAATAGTATCAGATATAGATGCAAACCTGAAAGATAATTCGTTTGCAATGGTTAATATATATAATTTTAGCTATTCAACAAACACAAGAAGTCTTGACAAGTTATTTATTTATTAACTTTATTAATTACAAACACCACAGAAATGGTTCACAACAATAAATTCTTATGTACTAGGTTATAACTAAAAGGCGGCCTTATCGCTAAACAGCGATTTCTTCCAGGCAACCTGAAGTGAAGGGAAAAACAAAAAATAAAATAAAAGGACTATAGGTTTGTTCCCATAAAAATTGATTCACTGTGTATATTTTAGAAGACAAATATATAATAAAAAAATAAATATAAACCATAATCGCTTTTAATTGCGCTAGCGTAGCAGCCTTTGACATCAGAAACAACCTCCATCTTTAGTCTCCCCCGTGACCACGGCTGCTACAAATCATTCGAGCCGTCGGGCCGTAGTTAAAATAATTTTCAAGTTAAAACTAATATATATAGCGTTTAAACCGTTAAAGTGTTCAGCAATTTTTACGAAGTTATGTAAATTTAAAAATAATATTCATATACTTACTCAGTCCAAAAAGGAACAATCCAGACGTCTCCAGAATCATACCAAAGGGATATCTCGATGAGCACAATCCCACGATTTGGAGAACAAGTGTGGCCAACAGCGTAGTCACTGCGTAATAGTAGAACGCCTTTAGATATTTTATTATTTTCTGAAAAAAAAGAACTTTATTACGCGACAGTTCTGTTGCTCTTTTGATTATACCTTGAAAAATTATACAGGTCTGTGTTACTATCTCTTTCAAAGACACAAAATTGTCGATGGTCATAAATTGAATTGAAAATAACTCAGAATATCCAGAACCATTATAAGTGGGTAGCGCATCTTGTTAAGATGTTTTATGACATTCATCGAGTGAACCATGCTCGACTGTCTTTCTTAATAAAAAAAAGACACTTCGGCTGCGTAATTATAGTCCCTTGTGAATAGGCTGTCATAATCAGGTTAACTCATATAAACCACCAAATCGTTATAAACGAGGACTCATTGTTCGGTATTTTTGGACAGAACTTGGAAGTGGTTAATTGAATGATTGCAACATTTGCCAGAATGGAAACTACAAGACATTTGAAGGCATAAAATTGATTTAAATTGTGATTCACTTTATTGATTCGTGTTTGTCATCATAGGAAAGAAGTTGAGTTTTGACGGGTTCATTGGTCTATTGGTAGCAATGTATGGCTAATAGTCAACGGGTCGCGGGTCCGATCCACCGGGCCCAACTTGCTGAACTACGTCTGAAAATCTGGATATTAAGTAGATAGTAGAGATATAAAATTTCCGTTTGAGTCACGAACCACCGTCCACAGATGTAAAAGCCGTCTGCCGTGCAGTCTGTGGATTACCGAATATCAAAAGCCAAAATAGGTCGACAGCGCATCTTGTTTAGATGCTATAGGTTGGGGTATTTTATCAAATGAGCCCCATGCTTATCTCCCTCCTCTATGATTAAAAAAGGGATGATATATATATTGTTTTCAAACATTTCTAATATAAACTCACAGTGTGACCACCATACACCAGCACTAGGGCAAATACGAAGTCGAACAGATAAAAAATAAGACAAGCCTTGTCTTCTACAGTGCTCATGGATCCGTGGTAAACCAGAATTGTACTATTGTAGGAGTTATGTATTGAATAACTGTACACGCCAGTCATGAACGCGGAAAACAGCTGAAAAGGAAAATACAATTACTAGATTGATAGTGTATCGTGTATCTTTTGTTATTGATCTACTCTCTAATGATGGGGTAACTTTGGTCTTCGTACTTTAAAATCAATAATGTTGTATTATAGTCACTCAACTCCACGGTCTCGTTGGTCTAATGATAGTAATCGTGGGATCGTGAGTTTGAATCCCGACGGAATTTGTAACACTTCACCTACAAAATCTGGATATTAAATGGATGTTACGGATATCGTAATTTAATCCAATTCAGAAACCATCAACATAGAGCCAAGTTTTGGCTTCAGTCCATGGATTCCTTAATATTGAATGTTTAAAATGGTACTTCACCTCCCATCATGTGAACCCTTCCTCTGTCAGAACAACAAGAGAATAATATAGATATTATCTTGGATAACGAATATGTTTTAAATGTTCGAATGTAATTTAAGTCTCCTATGACACTTTTAATTTGTTGAACATTCGTTGAGATATGAACGTGACTATAGTATAGAATTACTAGTACAAATAAATTAACGCAGACGAACAATTAAACAAACGAGAAATAACACAACATTGAACTATGACAAAGGTTATCTAAAGCGGAGTTCACATTAGATAGTACGTTCCGGAAATAGATGCAAAAAATTGTCTATGAGATACATAGCTACAGTTTAATAAAATAAGGTTTACTTTTTTATCTACCTATTTATCTAACTGCTAGTTTGTTAATTGTATAGTTGTTTCGACATTACAGGAACAGAACTAAAATTGTTTATAAGTTCTTTCAAACAATTGGTGGTAAAAAATTTTGTAGTAGTGAACTTAAGAAGTTGTGTTATAAAATAACATTTAATAAATACTCAAACATCACTAGACAATTTAAGTTTTTAAATAAAACACCTTAAACGGTTAAAACGTGAAATATATTAGTTATTTTAACAACGACCAATGTTTCGGATGTGTTACAATAACCGCGGTCATGAGAGGATCGTAGTTAAAAATAAGTAATGTAAATTTTAATAACATTCCAATTATATTTGGATTACACAATATAATATAGAACATTTAAAATATTCTAATTTTCGTACGAAATTTTAATTAAACAAACAAAATACTTATAGTAGCAGAAACGTCGCGCCGTAGTTACAATAATATGTAAAAAAGTTTAATAATTACCTTTCGAGTTTTAAACCGTTAAAAATTTGTTATTTACATTTGAACTACTGAAATTAACTCCAGACAGTATTCGAAATTGTAAATTATTAAGATGAGGAACTGCGTAAATATTTATCTATACTCACAACATTGAGATATCCGAAAACCAAAATACCCTTTCTCAAAGGCAGACACAGGCAACACCGCCCGAAGTCAGGCACTTCACAGAACATGGTGAAAATGAATTTCCCAAGAAAATTGTTGAAGAGTTATTCCTCTCGCTCCCGCCACGACACTGCGGTTTCCAGCACAGCGTCTGACCACTTATCCAATAAAGATTGCGATGACACCTATATAACGGGCGTATGGACTGCGAAGATTCCGAGTATTTCGTTATCGTGCAGAAAAACAACGTGAATACCAATGTTTTGGTGTATTCCGCATTGTTTTGTAATAACAAACTCATTATAATTTACTCGTGGGACTGGAGGCTAGTTTTTCAAACAATTTTTCTGGTAACCTGAAAGTAGAAGATTCCATCAGCCCCATGCTTAGGAGAGTCGTCATGAAAGTAGTAGAGCAGACTAGTTTGTCTAAGCTCTTATATCCCTCTGTCACATCAAGGGAGTAAATGTTAAAACAGAAAAAAAAATGAAATAATACAATACATATTTTGTTGGTGTAATAATAACGATATATGGCTACTAATAATCAATGGGTCGAGAGTTCCCCACCGGGCCCAACATCTTTCTAATCAATGTATATTTTTTCTACAACAAGGTGGACTTAACATCCAAATTTCCAGACAAAGTAGAAACGACGGTAGGAATATCGAATTTTCTTTCCGGTATCAAACCACCGTCCACTGATGAAAAAGCTGTGAAGTTAGTGTAAGTTGTTAAGTGGCTGGAGTATTTAACCTTCCGTCAAGCAAACCCTATGCTTCACTGTGACTGTATTTCTCTATAATAAAAAAATAACTTCTTCCTGACCGAGAAATTAGACAAAAATAAGACGCATTTAGGAGTATTTTAAACTCTGACGTTATGTCGCAATGTAATGCGCTATCCACTTATTTCGTTAAAATTGGAAATTAATTTGAAAAAAAAAATGGAACATTTATTTGAATCACAATATACTTTGATTTCATTAAATATAAAAATTAAAACAAAGTTACGTCTTCGTGGTTTAGTTGACGCATTGCCTACCATTGCGTTAAGCTGGGGAGTTAAAATTTCTCCATCATATAGACCACGAACAAAGTTATTAGCACCGATACAATAAGACTGGAATTTTTCTGATGGTGACCAAAGTAGACTTTCATGTGTAACGTTATTACAAAAGAGTATTGTAAAAATGAAAATATTTAATTGTCTGAAGGTAAATAAGAATATATAAAGAATACTGAATGTATAGATAGGAAACATGTACTATATCTATAGTTTATGCGAGGGTTATAAATACATAATCCAAATTTATTGAAACAATCCGCTTCTTCCAACATTCTTATTGTTCCGTTTAACATGTTTTAATAAAAATAAACACATTATTAATACTGATAACATTTATTTAGATCTTTTTTTAAATTTTAAATACCTTATTTACAATTATAGTATTTTAGTTATTAACTACGTTTATAACTAACACATTAATCAAAATATTTTTAACGTCAGTAAAATTAACATATGCTTGATTATTATATAACAACACAATCTGTTAATTTTTTATAATAAAAGATAATTAAACAACACTATGACTATTTTATTTTCACATATTTGAAATAAAAATCATTTGAGCCATGAGACACAAGCCTAGCTCAGGGTACTGACTGCACGAATTGTCAATGTTTTACATGCCACGGGACCATTCGGTCGGCACCCAAGTTAAAATATTTGGATATACACTAAAAATCTTAAATAATTGCCTAATTGTAAACAATACGCCAAACGCTTTTGGTTAAATTATTTTTAAATTAATGACCCACGTAGTCAGTTCTTTAAGGACCCAACAAGTTTCTTAAATTCCAACTACGAAACAGATGACGCTAGCATAGCGAATTAGGGATACCAGTGACCACGACTTGTGCAAGCGATAGTTAAAATCAATTAAAAATAACATAACCAATATATTGTGCATTTTAAGTCGTTTAAAGGGAAATGAGGATTCAATTTGAAACGGATATCACTAGAATTTTGTCAAATTATTCTGGGAGTGTCTCTATGTCCACAGACAAAGATTCTGTGTTCGATTTAAATTTGAGATCTGTGGTACCAATCTGCTGCATTTGATTTTCATAACCGTCCGAGGACGTTGCGAACTCCAGCTTCTTAATCAAACTCCTCACTTGAAGCAGGATGTAAATGTGGATAACTGAAAGAAAACTTACAATGAACTTACAATACTATACTACTTACTATTGATGTTCTGTATAAAAATCGTGTTTTTTATAGCCGGGCTGAGCCGTGAGGTTCAACTCCATGGAGGAAATATTTTTTCGGGACAAGGGTTGCGTCAGAAACTACGTTAAGCTGTGGAGCCCGGATATTGCCCCTAATGATGCGTCATGAGAGATCATGAGAGTCGGACTGACGGTTCATCACTTAACTGTATCTTTTGTCCTTTTATGACATAGCAGAAAAGGCAAGCATGTATTTCAATGAAGGTAAAATACTTCAACCACATAACATGTTAATAAGACGCTTTCCACTTATTTTTGCTTTGGGTTATTGGTAATCTACAGACTGAAACTGTACGCCATTAATCTTCACGACATTTTTATCTGATGTTTCGTGACATAAACGGAATTTTAAGTTCTAGTAAGTAATTAGCCGTCCCGTATTATCAAGATTACCAGAAGTCCGACGTATTTCAGAATATACATAAATTTACTAGAAACGTGTTAGACCTGATCGAATCCGCGACACGCTGATAAAAGCAATCGCTACCATCAGACCAACGAGCCGTCTATCCGAAGCCAAATATAGTCGACAGTGAATCTTGTTTAGATATATGGCTAGGGTATTTTCACCTACCATCAAGTGATGAGGTTTCCTCTATATTATATCCTCTTATTGTCCTCCTATTCTTATAACTTCTCCATCACAAAAAAACAAAGATCTACCGATCTTCAACTTACATGCGCTAAATATAAACATTGCAAACTCAATGTATTCCATAAACAGCATGTCGGTGGTTGACATCTCGACGATCTGCATCACGAACACGGCTAGCAACGTGGAAGAAGTGTAATAGAAGAAGATTTTGAGGCATAGAGGTCGCTTCTGAAAAGAAATTTCACTTGCCATCAAAGACATGACACATACGCACAATGTTTAACAACATATAAACAAATAACTATTAAAATTGAAAAGGTATACAGAGAATTAAATTCAGTGGGTTGGTTGTAAAAAGTTTGTGGCACAGCGCTTTCTTTTAAAATTAAAAAGTACTCTAAATTATATGTGAATTAAACATACGCGCCGTCGACCTGTTTTGGCCTTGGATATTCGAAAACCCATAGACTAAATCCGAAATACGATTAAACTTCAGGGCTTTTTCATTTATGGAGGGCGGATCGCGAACCTGTTGAAATTTAGATATTCTACTACATTTAATATCCAGATTTCCAGACCCGTTGATTGTTAGCCATTCATTGCTACGCTACTTTTATTGTTTACACCAGTGTTACACAACAAATAAAACACTCGTGACTGCTTTAAAACTGAAATGTATGAGTACATTTACTTTTAACTACGACCCAAAGTTTCGGCTAGATAAAAACCATTATAACGTTGCATGTTGCGGGTTTTAAGCCGTTACGTGTCTCACTGTGACAACGGCTGCTGCAAAGCATCCGAAACGTCGGGCCGTAGTTAAAATATTCTCCAAATAACTTTAACAAATATACATCGGATTAGAAGCTTTAAAGTGTTTTAATACAAAGGAATGTTAAAATTCTGAAAAAAGACTATGAACAACACAAACGGTTTTAATTAATATGTGAATCGATTTTTCTTACCATATGTCCTCCAAAAACTAGAATTAAGCTCATAAGAATGTCAATTGCTCTGCAAACAATTCCAAGGGTTCGACTGTACTCTTGTATCGTACCATAGAATGTTATTAAAGGCCGGTGGTGGTCATCTGGGGATATTACTGCTATCATCAAAGCTGACCAGACCTGAAAGTGAAGTCCTCAAATTATTAAACAATACTATCTCTTGCTGAGACAACTCAGTCCTTAATTTGAATACTGGGACATTATCGAATGTCACGTTTTATTCTTATACCACGTTTTTATAAGATACATCAACAGACCAGAACACACAGTACTTGTGTTAAACTAACTTTGGTAACTAAATACTGTGTATAGTTTACGCGAGCATGTATGAGGTGCAGCAGTCGTGGTCACGAGGAGACTCCCCGTGACCACGGCTGCTGTAAAGCATCCAAACGTCGGGCCGATCTTAAAAATCATTTTCAAATAAGTTTAACTAATATATCGCGTTTTAAACCGTTAGTGTTTTATTTAGATAACTTTGGTAACGTTTTACATTAATATATAAAATGCATCCTAATAAATAAAATTATAATAAAAATTTAATATTAAAGTATAACATAGTATATTTGTGGTCTATCGTTATGTTAAACAGCGTTAAATCTAAATTAAAAGGTTTTATCGTAACCCATTGTTGGGCATATGTCTTCTCTCGCATATGAGAGGGTTTGAAGTGATTAAACTCCTACCCTGGTCCAGTGCAGTTTGGTAGGTTTCCCAACGAGGCATAGAAAAGATAACTTAACATCAATTAAAATACTGAAAATTGCGGTACCATGCTAGTTTAGTTATGATTAATCTTGTTCATACACATAATATATGTAGATCTTCAGGTTTTTTTTTATACTCTATCGACCTATATATGTTTAGATAGATATTTGGATTTTTACTTACGATATTAATATATCCAAATGTTATTACACCCCTGCGCAACGGTAGACAGAAACAACAACGGCCACAAGACGGAATATCAATCATTTTAATATTTTTTTATGAAACACTTTACACCAACGACAATAGACAACTGACATCAATCTAAAATTAATTCTGATATTTTATATGCCCACGCGCAGGATTTGCGATAGTGGACAGGGAATCACGATGTGTCACTATTGTTTTACACCCATTTTCAAGTAGTTGAAGGCACTGGCGGGCTTCGAACCCGCTTTTATTTTTAATTAACATAAAATATTATATATATGTATATAGTATTGACACTGGTCGTTCTCAATACGATAAGTCTTAACTTTTTCTTATTCATGATCAAACGATTAAAGTATAATCCTTAATACAATTATTATCCTTTCAAACTCTTAGGTAAGGGAAGGTAAGACTAATCTGTGATGGGATACAGGCGGGAATCGAATCTGCGACTGTGAACAATAATTAGGGTTTATAATCTTCGTGTAAAAAATGTTATCGCTCACATCTGTAAAATTGTTTGAATCTCAATTAATGATGTGAATTTGTGTAAAAAAAAAACTTATTATGAATTTTAGCCCTATTATCAATTAATATTCTAAATCTCTAACTTCACGGTTGCCTGGAAGTAATCGATTTTTAGCGATAATGTCGCCATGTTTTAATATTTTTTTTTTTTGTAATTTCATCAAATGTGATCTTATTTTTATAATATTTCTGTGATGTCAATAAAGTATTTTTGTTCATTAATGATTAAAGGAAGCTAACGATAAGAGATGAAAAACAAACTATTTTTATTTGTTTTTCTGAAATCTGTTGCTAGTTTGGTATTCCCTAGCTAGATAAAATGACTGACGTATACGGAACAGTGGAAATAATACTGTAGTACAAGTATTATCTGTGCCTTTAATAAATAACTGCGCATTTATTTATCTGTATGTTAAATGGCAAAACAAACACCTGATAGCGAATTGATAAAAATGTTTCCAAATAATTAATTATCTGAATGCATTTTGATCTTAATCTACTACGACTAATCTGTAAATAAAATCCAACAGAGAAACAGACATATAGAACAAGCGCTCAAGATGAGCCTAACTAGAAAAAAATATCTTTCCTTTTATTGGCGCTGTTTTTACTATTCCTATACAATTAACTCATTCCGGAGTATGAGACAAACAGTGTAACAAAATAATTACCGGATCCAACATGCTTCTTATTTTTAGATATATAATTTTTCTGAAACATGTTGGATATCGTCTGGCAATTTGGATATTAAATAGGCGATAGGAATATACAAATTCTTTAAGAATCGAAAATATATCGAAAAAGTTTCAATTTATTTTCGATTCTTAAATTATATAGTGCCTTCATGTGCTTTAAAAAATAATAAAGTTTTCAAATATACAAATTCTGTTCGGGTTACCAATTACCGTCCACAGTCTGTAAATTTCCAAATATCCAAAGGAAAAATGGGTCGACAGCGCATTTTGTGTAGATGTTATATAGCTGGGGTATCAAGTGAACACCGTTCTTGTCTGCCCTCTTATAACATTAAACAAAATTCTTCCGAGAGGTATGTAAAAATAAAACATGTACAAACTTATAATGGCTTAACTATAATATTGCTTATAGCTTCTTAAACTATCATTATGTTAAACAGTCACAATTTAAATATCATTAAAGTAATATTAAATTATTCACACACTCATAAATAGTTTTTAGTCACTTGTTTTAGCTTTGCTTAAATTGCATATCGAGTGTTCACTGGAAACTACGAACATATTGTCCAACATATTCTTTCCCACGTTTCACGAAGTGATGAGCAAACTCTCTCTCAATACTTCGATAAATCCAGATACAAAATAACCATTGTATGCCACTTGTAATACTTCAAGTATGAGTCAATCACATTTACGGTGACTGATCATTTTGGCAGCCCAAACTTCCATATAATTTTTTACTCACAATTTATGGATTAATATGAATATTTTTATAAAGTTGAGCAACTTTTTTGCAGTTTTTTGGCTAATAATCAATATGTTTGATGGCAGCGTTTGGTTAGAGATATAGAGAATAAAATTAGTTTGATTACTAAAAATCATAAACCCCCTTTTAATCTTATACTATAGTGCTAATGAGTTTGGTCTTCTAGGTCGCCTTGTATCATTTCTTTCTATTTTTTGAGGAATATTTGCATTATTTCTCTCATCTCTTCCAGTTCTTGAATCACCTAATTCTAATCGTCTAGCTCTTTCTAAATCCCTTCTATCTGTTCTTGCATCTCTTTCTAATCTTACATTAAATCTTTCATCCTCATTCTCCAGCCTTGGCGATCTAATAAATAATATGTCCGACGGCCCCTGCAACTGATCTTGATTGAAGATAATCGGTCCGTCTTTGAAGTTTTTATCTTCTTCTGTTGAGGGTGGCCCAAATGCTTCTGGTTCTGTAGGTGTTTGGGGGGACGGAAGAGTAGTAACAGTAGTTCTTTCAGATCTGGTTTCCATGTATGGTGATGTGTTACAAACGCAGGTTCTGCAGTGAGCACCACCATATGTACTCGGGTTCCACACGTCTGTTGGGCTCATGTGTGTGTGTGTAGATGTTGTCGTTGTTAAGACATCTTCTGGGACAATGCGTGATTTAAAAGCCATCTGTTTATACTGGCTATTAATTGCTATTAAATTGTAGAGCTCGGTACCTGAAACAGAGTATTGTTACATTATTTTTAACATAATAACAACAACAGAACAAATTAAAAATATATTTAAATTTTAAAATAATTATGACAGCGAACCTTAAAATATATAGTGTTAACGTTGAAAATATATTGGAGAGGTAGATGCAATAGATGAAAGAAATTCCATGACAACGGTCATGCCGGCTTAAGTCCCGCCGGGGATATTAACATTTTGCTATCTAAGTAAATTTTAAATTTAGAGAGTGCTGTTGTTTTCTTATTGATAAAATGCTTTTATTATTAAATATGATAACATGGCAGCTTAGTTGCTAGATTAACACTTCAGTACCTACGTGACCGCCGAAGTACCTTTCAGCGAAAAACAAAAGAAGATTAAGACTTTTACTTAGAGAGTGGCAGAAGTACATTATGTTTACGAATAGTTCGTGTAGAGATAAACGATAAGATTATAAGATAGAAAATGGACCCACCGACTCCGATTAAGAAGAGAAGTTGAAACGGCAATCTCAGGAACGTCTTAGCGCCAATTAGCATCACGATATCAAAAATCCAATTCGGGATCATTATATAAAACGCTACCTTTAAGATCCTTGGTTTGTTCTGGAATGATATTACCAAGAGTGAGTATTAAAAGTGAAAACGTTCTCTAGAAGAAAACATGTGGCTAAGTATAGCCCAGGAAAATTTCACATATACTACAGTAGTAGTAGATGTGAAATTTTCCTGGGGACATAAGGATACGGATCTGTGTCACATGTTACTATGTAGTAGTTGTTCAGACTTTTGTTGTTTGCCCTGCTTAACTAAAATTATTACTTCCGCCAGATTCGAACGCATTTTGTTTTATGTATATCGCAATGCTGGGTAATAACGGAACTTTCCTTGTTGCATGGCGGCTCGACAGAGTTTCCTAAGATAAGACGATAATATAAAATTCCATGTTCTTATCAAGCGAGATCAAAAACGTCCTAAAATATAATAAGTTACGAGATAAGAGTGCAAAGTTATCAATTTCATAATACTTTCTATAATGAATAGAATAGTACTGGATCTGTCTTGATCTTGGTCAAGTGTGTTTCAGTTTAAAAGTTGCGTCGAGTACTGAAAAAATCCTTCGCCAAAGTCAGATGGAACTAGATGTATAAATATCATAAAGGAAAAGTACTTACAAAGAATATAGCATACAGAGCTATCAGTATATTCAAAATGTAGACAATCTTCAGGATATTCCATATAATGATGTACACCTTCAGCGCTGCAAGAATATTTCGGACCATGTGCAAGTCGTCTTCAGTAACAGTTGCGTTAAAACGTTCACCAATAACTGTGATACTGACTCCATTTAACGATTCCTTCATCGTCAATACGCGCCTTAATCCAAAAGCATTAAACGTTATCATGACGCTGACGAGGACCTAGAAATAATGATTTTAATAAAGTGTCTTTATTTTGTTCCTTTATTTTGCATCCCGCACGCACCAGATGGCTCCAGTAGCGGCTCGAGTGAACTGATTTTGAAGCACCAGGAGCCTGTGGAGTGTGCTAGGGCGGCGTGGGCGAACGCGACGCTGGAGTAAGCAAGGATCGGATGAACGAGACGAAAATGCCAGACCACGGCTTTTTTTATCTGTAGGCGGTTGTTGGTAACGCGGATATTGTTTCGGTACCACTAACGTCATCTAGCGTAAGGACTTAAATCGTCCTAGATCCGATCTATACGTGATCCTCTGGCCAATCGGGTGAAAACCTTACTGAAGGCATAAAATAGCGGAATTAAAACCGAAGTGTTGTGTGTGTGTATGCTGCAGGCTGTCGTTGAACCCTCTGGTAGGATTTTAGTATTGAATCTTAGCCATTAAATACTTAGCTACATAGTGCTAACAACAAAGATATACTTTCGATATTCCGACCACCAATTTAATATCCAGATTTTCCTGACGACGTTCAACATGTTTAAATTCTACCTACCAGGCTAACCACACTCCTAATGTAAATTCCAGTTGATAGCCGAAAGAAGCCGCAGTACCTGCTCAGTTCTGGCCAGTTGCAGGTATTTAACCTTGGCATCCTGGAAAACACATATATCATTTGTAAAACAATATGAATGTGTGGAAACTACATTAATTACAAAGGTAAACATGGTTGCTAGATTGGTAAAAGTATGGCTATTCAAGAGTTGAGCCCGCGTTAGGGGGGTGATGGCCTAGGGCGCCAAGTTCGTGGGGATGCCGAGATCCGAGCAAACTGCTCAACCGATTTTAAAGTCGTTCAAATGAAACCATTTTCTTTTTTGTATGATAAGTAACCGGACCTTTTAGCAAACGCTCTAGTGCTCGCCCTGCGTCGGCTAGACCCAGGGTGCCCGAAGAGGGCATCGACTTGAACCACCGCATCGCGGGTCGGAGCTTGAGGAGCTAGACGGATGCTGACCCGAGTAAGGGGAACCATAGTGAACTTATCGCAATAAAAGAATACACTGGTTTTGTTTATCTACCGTGTAAGATGGACTCAATGCATGTTTATATATACTATATATACTATAGTATTAAGTACTTTGAATTATTATTCAAAAATGTAATGATATAGATGATATTATTATGAATCTGTGTGTGAAATGCGGTAACTTTGTTCTCCATTAAAAACGTGAACCTGTGAATATTTGTCCTTATTGCAGCGGGATGCAATACATTCTAGAATCCTTTCTATATAATCGCACTACCTATTACCAAATAATGAAAATTTAATTGTAATGGAATCAGTAGTTTTTATTATTAGTGCATATTTATATATTTTTTTGTATTCAATAAATTAGTATAGTATAGTAGTATTAGCCAATCAAAAAAGGCACGAAACACTCTAAAACTATTTTTGTTAGGTATAACTTAATTAGTAATGCAAAAATCCACATAATATCCTGCGTTGTTTTAGTTACTGATAAGGAGAGCAAAAATACGTTAATTGCTCAAATGTTATTGCATCGTAATTATTGATAAGTTCTGAGAAATATTAAATGTGGATTTTACGCTATCTGTGGAAATATGCCAGGCTCTATATTTGTGGCCTGTTTTTATATGAAGTCCAGAAATCACTAGATAAGATCAGATTGAGGTTATAAAATATTTAAATATTTTTAAAGCGGCCTTCACTTTAAATTTCCAATGGAAACCGTTTTTAGAGAATGTTTGGAAGCAAATGACTGTTTCTACAAATTTAAATTTTATCTCATCACCAACATAAAAATTAATTAGTAATTATTGCTTATATTTCATATTATAATTCTAAATAAACATGATTTTACAAAATGAGGAGGAAAAATGAATTTCCACTATTATTTGTTTAAGAATTATGTCAACAATTTTCAGTCAGAGTAACATTGTTAGACTATAAAAATATAAATAACTCTAGTCATAAGTTAGGCTACTCTGCCTCTAGCGGCCTAATAATTATAATCTTGTTGTATCGATGTATTGTTACTTAAGCTAATGTTGTGCAATAATTACAAAAAAAAATAGAAGACGGATTGCGATACATTGTTTGATACAATCTACTTCGTATATTATAATAAAAAAACAATATGTAAAAGGCCTCATCGGGACTTCATTGGACTTGATTTTCGCGGGGCAAACGAGCGCGCGCAGACTATAATGTCACAATTGCGCGCCATTACTGCGCAGATTATATAAATTTAATCATACCTGAGCACAGATATAGCAGAGAACATTTTAGTGGAAACTCGCAAGCAATATTTCCAAGCAGAACTCATGACACTTCCATTCCATCCAACAGTCACATTCCTTTCATATAACGCACCACATTTTGTAACCTTATGTCGCGTCTCTTAGTAAGCATGGATCGTACTGGTCTCTGAAATCTCTATCTTATCGAACACAATACAGTTGTTATCTGAATATTTCATGATATCGAGAGTGATAGGTAACGAAATAATTTCGTTAAGGATTTTTCAATGACTTGACAGTCACATTTCTGCGCCTGTTTTACAAATTTTTTTTTAGGTGATTCCTCAAACAAAATTTGTAACCTGATTGGTAGAAGATTGTTCAATGCGTCGTATTAAATGTTACACCTTAAATACTCTTGACTTCTACTAAACAGAGGAATAACGAAAGAGATGCACGCAATTATTCTTCTCATCGTCTAAGCTGAGTTAAGCGCTATATTTTTTTTTTTTCAAATCCATTTTAACAGTTTAAACCGCGAGGTAGATTAGTTAACTTATTTAGCCACGGTGACCCGTGACCATGGCTGCTGCAAAGCATCTAAAACGTCCGTCCATAGTAAAATTAAATTAAAAATAAGTTAAAAGTTTTAATTTAAATGTGTAGTACTCGCGGAAACTAGACAATACTTGAAATTTAATTATATTTATAAAATATACTTTTTAAATCCCAATTTGAGTAGATAATATAATAAATGGGGTGCCTAAATTTTGATTTCAAATCAAAAAAGCGTATAATGAAAGGATGTGTATATAAAAAGTGTTTTGTAAAATACGCTTCGTTTTACTGAGGAAGCTAGAGTCTGTATTGTCTATATTATATATGGCACAGATCTATAAAAATATATAGGTTAAAAAAATATATAAGCTATGAAATGAAAAACATATATAAGCTATTGACAACTGTGACACTTTTATGCTTTTATTCACAAACTTTTCTTCTAGCAATTATATTTTTATGTATTTTTAATTAAATACTGTCTATAGTTTACGCGAGTAGTACACATTTAAATAAAACACTTTAACGGTTTAAAACGCGATATATTAGTTAAACTTATTAGTTAGACAGTCTTCCAGTCTTCCCGGGCCGAAGTTAAAAATCATTTTCAAATAAGTTTAACTAATATATCGCGTTTGAAACCGTTAAAGTGTTTTATTTAAATAGTCTAAATTACTTAATAAATTTTGTGAGAAAGCAACAATTTTCCCATTGGGTAAGTAACTTTGTGTAGATTCAATGCTGTAGGGGTCTTTCACCGCCAAACTATACCCACGAAATCGCACAATCCGGAGAGTACCTTTGGTCATTCATGTCTAAAACATATTCAATCTAATTAGATAAATAGATAATTATTTCCTTATCTAATAAAGGGTTGCTCAAAATCTTATTCCTAGAAAACTATATATTTGTTGTATGTATCAAAGGTCGAAGAAAATCGACAATAACGTGTGAAATAATGTAGATCTATTAGCTAGAGCCGCACAGAATGCTGTAGATGCCGGTTCAAGACCCGACAGTGACGTCAAACTATTTTCCAATTTAAATATCTGTCTTATTTATTTAATGTCATCATATACAATAACATGTGTACATATTCGTTTTCGAACTGTATTTTATATATTGTCAATTATGTATATTTGTTCAATTATATTTCAGTGATGTGCCTTAGCATACAAGTTATGTTACCAACAGTACAGACATTCCTCTTTCTCTATTCGCTAAAAAGTGGATGTGTAATAACGCTCTTTTGGACTTTGGTAAGCTTCTATCTCCGTTGTTTATAAAAACAACTCGAGGTGGCCTATGTACTGTGAATACGGTAATATCGGTGGCGAGGTACTATGAATGTATTACGAACTATTGCCTAGTACCTTTTCAAAACTCTCAGACCCTATTTAGAGAAACGAATATTTAATATTTTAAAAATTATCATTCCTGTCTTTTCAAATACAGAAAACAATAAATTAGAACAACAACACAATACAATTTTAATATATTTCGCAAAGACTTAAAGATTAAATTATTTAAATAAAACACTTTAACGGTTTAAAACGCGGAAATTCCCCGTGACCATGTCTGCCGCCAAGCATCTGAAACGTCGGGCCGTAGTAAAAATAATGTTCAAATGAGTTCAACTAATATACATCACGTCTTAAATTGTTAAAGTGTTTAATTAAATTATGTAAAATGATGAAAAACATATAAAATGAAAATTCAACGTAAATAAATAAAAAAAATTGAAAAACGTTTTGCACTCTGTTTCAGAGTTTAAAAATTCCACAAGCGCTCTTCCAAGTTTTTATTTTTTTTTCTTCCTCTTGTTTTAATAAGCTATTAGCTTAAGCTAATAATTAAGTTATATATTCTGTTTTGCGAAATAAATGTTTTGACTTTAAGTTTGAAAACACCTTCATGAATCAAAGCCAAAGCACGCCAGACAGACACATTTAATAACTCGCATAAAATTTCAGGCTCGTACCGCATTCTGTGTGTTTTTCTTTTCAACCGCGTTACTTGAAGTCCTGGTGGAGAAACCTTTTCCTCTGACACCAATTTTTACTAATACACCTGTCAAAGGCTACATATATACCGTCTATTATTCTTACTTGACACTACTTACTGCCGAGTTTCTTTTGGTGGTGTTTTGCATACATCTTGCGATCGGAATTTTCAAAGTAAGTAATAATTAAACTGCCGAATAAGTGTTCAACGTCTTACGTGTATAGTAGTGTTTGCAAGCGACTTGTGAAAGGGAGAATTTAGCAGTTTTTTACATTAGGGACACCTTCCATATTCAGTTCCCCCCTGACCTCGGCTGCTGCAAAGTGCCGGGCGATAGTTATATTAAATTAAACCGTTCAAGATATTTTATTTAAATATTGCTTACATTTTCATTTTCAATAACATGCGCGATAGAGACAAAACCTTTTACAGGATAACACATGCTGTTTAATGAGTTACCTGATATGCCGTACCATAAGTTGGTGTTTTGAAGCGTTAATCTTGCCAATTCTGTGCTATGTCCACATGGTTTTTATTGGATGGTACCTTGGCATACTGTTCTTTATCGGTTAGTTTATTTTAATAATAATAATAATCCCTATAAATAATATTATTAATAATTCTGATTTTGACTTTGATGTCATTTTTTTTTGTTGCATAGTAATAAACACAACCATAGTTATAAAAAATACACAGACTGTCTCTGGTTTAAACAGACTAAAAATCAACGGTTTAAAACCTGATTTCTTATAGTCTTGGAGCTCTACTCATTCATCATTGTATACAGTTATTATTATACGATTGTGGACGAAAATGAAAAGGACTGCGGGGACAACTTAGATAAAATATGTGATTAAAAGTATGTTATAATATTTTTAATATATATAAAACGAATAACTGAGGCTCATAAACAGAAGCAGTTACATTTTTGAAGGCTTACATAAAACTTTACGTGGGCTCACCACGGGTTCGAACCCCATATAAGCAAAGAAAACCTTTTTCTGTCAGCCAGGGTTTTATAAAGCTTTATAACATCTCGCTTCTTTAATTCTTGTTGTTTACAAATGACATTTCACTATGGAGAAACTTTGACTAAAAGACTAGCACCAAATATTCCCAGCACTATCGCTCTTATCAAACCTAATCCGGCCAGATAACGCATTACCGATAGTACACGTCGCCCCCAACTTACAAATAAATACACTAATAATCGATTCTTCGTAAAATATAGATCTGGTGTGAAGTGAAACAAAATGGTGTTCAAGTTACCGACGTTTAAGAAGTGTATGTGTTGTCTATCGCTTAAAACTGGTTCTCTATTGATCGGCTATGTGTCTGCTGTAAGTATTCTTGAAGATTGTGTAGAATAAATTATTTGTACGATGCTTTAGGTTGGTTATAGAAAGCTAACTGAATGTTAAATACTGTCTATAGTTTACGCGAGTGGTACACATTTAAATAAAACACTTTAACGGTTTAAAACGCGATATATTAGTTAAACTTATTTGAAAATTATTTTTAACTTCGGCCCGACGTTTCGGATGCTTTGCAGCAGCCGTGGTCACGGGGAGACTAAAGATGGAGGATGTCTCAGACGTCAAAGTAAAGAATTGCTACGCTAGCGCCATCTGTTCCGTCGAAGTTGGTATTTGGCGAAACTGGCCGGGTCCTTACAGAATTGACTAACGGTGTCTTCGCGTTTGCTGGTATGCTGTTTATTGGGATCCAGAGTTTTTATTATGGGATCCCAGGTGTTTGATAGTTTGAGGCCGTCCTCCCTATTGAAATTTCGGTGTTTTTTGATTTCAATTGCTTCGCGTACCAATCTTGGAAAAAATCGACTCTCCTTTGCGAGGATTTTTGGTTGGTCAAAGCGAATGTAGTGATTGGGCCCTTCTGATGAGTGTTGGCATACCGCAGATTTGGAGAGACGTTTATGTTTTATATCCGCGACGTCGTTAAATAAAACACTTTAACGGTTTAAAACGCGATATTTAGTTAAACTTATTGAAAATATTTTTAACTTCGGCCCGACGTTTCGGATGCTTTGCAGCAGCCGTGGTCACGGCTTCATCAAAAATCATTTTTAATAAGTTTAAGTTTAGTTTTAAACCGTTAAAGTGTTTTATTTGAATGTTGTTTATTTTTCAAAAAACGACAAAAACCTATGTTAAATTTTTATTTAAAATATAATATGGTTAGAGCAGCAGCACGGTACGCTGTGGTAAATTCCTGATCCTGTCGTAAATTTTGTTTAGTATAAACAGACTTTAAATTTATATCATAAATTCGTTATGAAAATAATTTACATAAACAAGCTTTAAAACTATAAAATCAATTCTTATTCCATATTTTGTAAATATACCTACATTTCGTATTTAGATATAAATAATTATAATATAAAATATAATATGTTCTATGTTACAGATATTTTCAACATTTGTATTAAGTTTGATCTCAGTGTCACTATACAAAGTAATCACGTTTGTGGATCATCAAAGGAATGAAACGGTCACAGATACAGAAACACAGACAGAAAATCCCACAGATAAAGTCAACGAAGTTGCCATAAGTCTATATCTCACGCACGCGTATTTAATAGTGGTATTCGCTTATAATATTATAATAAGCATTGTTCTTATTGTTGGAGTTCATAAGGTGAGTTCTTGTAGTTTCAGAACAGTATTAACATACTAAAAATAATTATTTATAATGATTATTTAATCATCAACACTAGTGTTAAATCTCATCACAAACGGTCTAGCTGTTTATTGTACGTAGCCACGTGTTTGCCTCATTTACGTTATGTGGTTTAAAGAACTGATTTTATACGTACATACAAACTGACATACAATAATAATTATGGATGTGCATGTAATAAAGACGCTTAAGCCATTGATAGATTTATGTTCCACAATTTTTTTCTACAGGAGAACACAAAATTTATGAGGGATTATTTCAAAGCTGGTTTATTCCTGTTAATATTAGCACTTGCCACCGTCGTAGTATCTACAGTTTTCTTACACTTTTTTGTAACGCTGTCATTACTAAAATGGAGTGGTAAGTGGGTATTGCTTAAAGATATTATTTTGTATTAAAAAGAAAACACTTCTTACATTTACTTTTATAATTGAAGTTTTAAAAATAAAAAAATATGCTTGCTATTGAAATTAGATTTTTTGATTGGAATTATCTATTTATTTAATGTACATGATGAGATAAACTTTTGTATACCGATGAATTTCGAATATCCAAAACCAAAAACGTCGACAGTGCATCTTGATTATATGTTATATGGCAGGGGTATTGCCCCTCCTATCATGTTAACCCCACTTGTCTGTCTACCTGTAAAAATAATCTTGTTCTTCATTTCAGTTACAATTCTCTATTGCCTCATTATGGTACGAAGCCATTACTTAGAACTCGAAGAAGCACGCAAGCCACCAGTAATTGAAATGGAAACACTTTATAACCCACCAAGACTGCCATCCCATTTGTACGCGTAGACATTATGTAAATAATTAAAATGTAAAATTTATTGAATTATGCAAAACCATGACCATCATGTAATTTTTAGCGGTTAATAAATGTATGTAGTTATCGAATGAAATGGGCGCGTAGAAGTTTCGACTACATTGAATATTTTAAATAAAAACGTATTCCAGTTAGATCAAAACGAGGGTTTGTTATTTATTTATTGTATGTAAGGTGGTCCCACAGCTACATAACATTAATGAAATACTCAAGAATGCTTAAAAAAACAACTAAAACTAGAGCTAATAAAAATAAAATTATGAAATGGCAGTGAGTTTACAAAGAGAAATTGAAGAAACTTGTTTATCAATGAATATTTTTATAAGCTATATACTGTAAGCGTACAATCAAAAATTGTTTACGTCTGTGAAATACTAAAAACGTTAATTGTCATTTTGTTGTGACAATTCGGACTGTAGAGCTGTCAACTATATTAAGTACTTAATGTCAAGTTTTGCTTATTGTCAATGTAAAATGCCCAGTAACTAGTAAGATTGTAAACGAATTTGGAGGATATTTCTAGTGAAAAATGCATATTTATCAATTACGTTATTATAATAAGTAAAAAGTATAATTTTTTATGTAATTATACACATTAAAAATTAACAACAAACATGTCGAAGGCGCAGCAAAACGCCAATATACAGGCTGAAAAACAGGTTACTTTTGTAAAACTTTATTAGGTTCATAATTATATCTATTAAACAAAATGAAAAGGTAATGTCTTTTATTTTCTAATGCATTTTTAGCTAATACAACGGATAAACGAGGCCGGGATGTCAGAGGGCGGCAAAAGGGCCGGCCTTTTGAGGAAAATTATCGAGATCCTCACACATCAGCTATCTCCAATGATACCTATGTACATGGAGAACGTTTTAAGTTTCATTAACGATAAATTACCTGAGACGCGGAAAATAATCATTGCTTTTATTGAGGAGTTAAGGTTAGTGTAGTTAAGGAACATTTGTCATTATTATAAAAGCCTAAGTAGTTAATTGATTCGCTAATGAAACAAAAGCAGAGATGTACAAAGTATCTGGAATACATGATGATAAGATACTTTCAAATTAGGTACCAGAAATCTTTGATGATTTTTAGCAGATTGGTTTAATGTTATTCTAGCATACCTACATTCATACATCTTTCTGTGCTATTAGACTAATGATAACATTTAATTTTATAACTTTGTACTTACATGTAATGTTAACTGTACAGTACAGTACAAAATATAAAAATCTGCATTTCAAATACTTGTATTTCACATCTCTGCTTCTTGGTTTAAAATTTTTAATGTTAGGAGGATGTATATCTACAAAATATCAAAAATCTAGTATTTTAATCTAGTAGTTAAAGTAAATTTTTATATTATTTCAGCACAAATTTTCCTGAAAACTTACCGAAAGTTATTAGTAATCTGCAGCTTCTTGTCACCGACCCTGTAGTAGCCGTACAGAAGCGTGCTATTCAAGCTGCTAGTGTAATCTATAAGAATGTATTGACATGGCTATGTAGTTCTACTAATGAACAAGAGGCAAAACTTGTATGGGAGCATATGAATAAGACAAAGGTATACATAAAAAATTGTATTCTTGTATACTCGGATGATGTGAGAAATGTCAGAAAGTAAATTTTATTTATGCAGTTAATGATCCTGAGTAGAGGACATAAAAAGGGTGCACAGCTGTTTATTAATGTGTTAAAAATTTATACAAAAGACATCATGAGTTCAATAAAGCTTCCTTATATGTACTTGGTTTTGAGTTCAATACACAATTCTTCTACTATATAAAAACAGTTGTCTTCACTTCCAAAAGATTATTGGGTAGAACTAAACAAATGTACTTTGATTTTTATTCTAGTTGCTGATTCTTAACATGATAGACAGTGAAAATGAAGGTATAAGAACACACGCAATCAAATTTCTCGAAGAAGTGGTTTTATTGCAGACCGCTACAAATAGTTCTTCAACAGACTTCAGTTTAAACAATATTTCAAAATCGTTAACATTTATAAATCAAGATGCTTTGGAAGAAGAGGCTGAGTGAGTACTTATTTTTTAAACAAGTGCTTAGAATATGAAATATTTATGAAGAAAAAAGAACTTCGTTCTTTTAAGAAAGTGTAAATAAGTCACTTTTGTCTTAAACTGTATATTTAATTGCAATTAAAAAGTATGAAAGATGTAAAATGTCAACAACAATGCCTTATGTCTTCCTAAGACGAAAGTATAGGTAATTGTAAAAGGTACTGCCAATGATGTAATATTTTTTTTAAATCAGCTGTGTCATTTTAAGGCACTAACAGGATTTTATTGTATTTTCAGACACATATTCCAGTTACTGCTTAAATTCCACAATTCACAACACATATCTAGTGTAAACTTGATGGCCTGTATGACCACTTTAATAGCACTAGCAAAATGTAGACCCAAGTATTTGCCTAGAGTACTGCAAGCATTAGGGGATTTACACACTACCCTACCGCCTACGTTATCTCAATCGCAAGTAAATTCAGTGCGTAAACACCTTAGAATACAACTAATTAGTTTAGTGAAGCAAACATCTGTCAATGACATGATCCCCCAATTGCTACAATTGCTAACAGATATTGGTATGACGCAGCAAGAGATAAATAAAGTGGTGCCCAAAGAAAAGCGACATAAACGTGTCTTGGCATTAGCTACTGCATCAGAATCCAAGAGTGACTCTCCAGCCAAGCGGCTGCGTTTAGACTCACCTCCGTTAAGCCAAGGTAGCGACAGCAATAGTAACAGTCGCATTGATTTTGATGATGACAGCAGTCAAAGCTCCAAAACCAGCCTAGTTAGTGAAGATACTTTGTTTGATGGACTCAACAGTATTGATAATGTAATAAACCTTGTGTTAGCCACGCTAGTAAATAACCTACCAAATGAAATGCCAAACACATTTCTTATGAACTATAAGCCTATCCCAAATTCTGGCTCAAAACCGCAAATACGCCATTTGGCGAAAATGATCCATGCTGTTATAAAGGGGGAACCAGAATTACCGGTAACCCCAGCCCCTGTACCCCTCCCTGTACCAGCGCCCGTCACTAAGATACCCCTACTCTCCGAGGATGACGAAAAAATTACACTAAAAAACGCAGTAGCGAAATTACAAGAAACGACGAAAGATCGCCAAGTAGAGAACGCAGTGACGAAGTTAATGGAAGAAACCAGACAAGAGTTCATAAAGGAAGGAGAGAGAAAGGCAAAGGAGAAAGAGAAATTGGTCCCACCACAAACCCCGACTGTGCCGAAGTTAAAACAAAAAGTGAAACTTTTAAAATTACAAGAGATTACGCGACCTATACCGAAAGAAATCAAGGAAAAAATTATGCTTCAAGCGGTCGCAAGGATCCTACACGCGGATAAAGAGGCAGCAATAGGTATTTATTTATTGATATTTTATATATAAAAAAAACCATTTTAAGATAATTAATACCTACTCAGATAAAAAAAAAAACATCAAACCTAAGACCAATGTATGTATATGATTTTTATAACAATTAATATTTTTATTATGTACTACAAGAAGGTTGATACCAATTGACTTTAATATCAACTTCAAATCTTTTTTCTATGGCAAAAATTACTTAATAACTAAACATTTCAACATTACAGCTATTTGTTTATACTAATAATAAAAATATATGTCTACCTCTATCGTACTACTAAATATTTTTACTATCAGGTGGTGCTGCTCAGATCAGAGCGAAGTTCATCACGATATTCGCGTCCAGCTACACTCCGGATATCCGGGAATTGGTACTGAACTATATTTTGGAAGACCCCTTGAACAGGATAGACCTTGGCCTGGCTTGGTTGTACGAAGAGTACGCTTATATGCAGGGTTTCAATCGCCACCCGGTGACTTTGCAAAAAATATCCGATAAGCACGACGAAAACTACAGCCAGTTGCTCTGCGCTCTTGTGACGCAAGTGTGTGAGAGGGGGGATCCCTTGATGGAGAACAGCAAGGAGATTTTGCTGAGGAGGATCTACTGTGAGGCTCCAGTAGTCACGTTAGAGGCAGTGGACTACTTGAAGCATTTGGTGGTAGAGGAGAAGTCGATCCTGGCGCTGGAGTTGCTCGAAGAGCTGTGCGTAGTTAGACCGCCGCGTGCGCATAAATATGCGCCGGCGCTTGTTTTTCATGTTTGTAAGTATACTAGGCGCTGTAAGTGGGTAAACGTGTTGTCTAGCATTACGTTAAGAGCGGGAGGTCCTAGATTGAAATCTCAAGGACGAAATATTGTTTCACTCGGGTATGGCACAAAAGTCTGAGCAACTAATTACCTGTAAATAAAACAGAAATGTGTTCGCCCGATGTCCTCCGGAATAGGCATTATAGCTGTTACCCACAAAGACGGTCGCGTCCCGTCCCGAGTGAATCTTTAAAGATAGACATATACTGTAGCTGTCATTTTTTAGATAGTTTCAAGAGGATACACATAGGTTTTGGGTATCTTGAACCGCTTCCGCAGTGCACGCAACGAAACCTATAAACCTCGGTTTTGATGTTTTATAACCTAAAGCCTTACTCGATAAATACGCTGACCGACACATTTAATTCTAACTAGTAGTTCCTGATATTAGCACGTTCAAACAAATAATATTAGTATAGATTAGAATTCAGCTTATGTTTTTTTCTAGTGAATGAAAACCAAGACGTCCGCGATTTCGCTCTTAAGGCCACAGTGAAAATATTCAAGTCCGGGTCGGATGCAGTTAAAAAAGTTGTGGAGAAGCACGCTCTACTCTATCTAGGCTTTATAGCACTTGATAATCCGCCTTCGGAGTTGATAAGTTCGCGACTGAATATTCGCGTATGGACAGACGACTTATATAAGGTGTGCCTTAACTTGGTCATGGCGCTTTTCATGGAAAATGACGGTAAGTTATCCCGCATCTATTAGCTAAAATAAATCTTGGCCTTTCAAAACGTTGAGAGATAAAAATGCCCACTTTTTAATTATAACAGCGTACCTAAATCCGTTATTTTTTTATTTTAGGGTATAATAATAACTCATAATAAAGCCAGCCAAAAAGATATATTTTTCATCCAAATAGGATATTTTAATCTATCTACTCGAAACGTATTGTTAGATAACGTTAATAACGTCCAATAATAACGAATGATTATTATAGTTTGACATGTAGAGATCAAGTAACAGTATTTTGATCACGGTCGTGTAACGAATTTAATTCAACACTGAACTTAAAAACAATCAGAAATATAAAATCTTACAAAATTCCTTAATTAAACTATTACTTATAACTATTAGCTAATTGTTTATTATTTCAATACCAATATGAAATAATATACTGTGAACATATAGTAGAAAATGTTTGAAGAAAGTTTGCGACAACTAACGCCTCTTGTCAAGGCCGCTTTGCCTAACAGATTCGTTCTAGCAAAGGGTGCGGTACTGTTTAAAGTTTGACCCGACGTTTCCGATGCTTTTCATCAGCCGTCACGAAAATCAATGTGGCATGGTTTCAACGTGTTTTAAAGTGTTAATAATTTTGTACCAAATGATTTGAGGATTTTATTTTTATTTCAACCATATTTCTTTTCTGGTGACCATATCATATCTTATTTCAGAGTTAATAATCGACGTGGCTCGTGTATACGGCTGCGCTGGCGCTGAAGCAAAGCGCTGCGTTCTTCGAGCTATCGAAAGTCCACTCCGCGCTGTGGCCGCCTCCGCACCCCCCGGAACTATTCCATCGGCGTTCCACATTCTGCTGCAGGACTGTCCTCGCGGTGCGGAAACGCTGCTCACGAGATTGGTCCATATACTTACTGATAGAGGTAAGTAAACTGTTCTGTAATTTTTTAATAAACAAAACAACAGAAATGTGTAGAATTAATACTTTATTTTTCCATCTTTGTAGTGGTTGTCTTATAACTTATTTTAAACTATTGGCTTTAAACAAAAGGTTTTAAATCAAGCTCATATACTTAGTCCACTGACTAGCTGTGCCCGCGACTTAGTCCGCGTGGAATAGTTGTTGGGCATCATATTATTTATATTTTTATTCATTCTTGCAAACAATCTGCGCAGATTTATAAATTATAGCTGTCAGAACGTCGTCCTCGTCCCGTTGTTTTTTGGAAGTTAATTTTAAAATATTATATATACATATATCTTTCGGTCATTTTTTAATTACAGAACCATTGTCGCAGCGCAAAGGAAGCCCTCAAAAACGAATAAGCTTTCTGTTTTTTTTTTCATATTTCCCTGTGTTTCTTCTCACGATGTCACATTGTGATGTTGTGGCCTAAAGCCTACCTCGATAAATCCTCCAACTAGCACAAAAAGAAATCAATTTGAACTCGTAGTTCCTGACATTATTTTAGTATAGATAGAATAAAATAGAACATTTTATGTTTCAGCACCCCCCTCGCCTGAGTTAGTGTCTCGTGTACGCGAGCTTTACGCCACAAGAGTTTCGGATGTACGATTTCTCATTCCAGTACTCAACGGGCTATCTAAGCGAGAGGTAAGTTATATTACTCACAGTTCCCACAGTTGGGACCCAAACGATAAAATTTTAGAGGCCTATAATATGGAATATTCCTCTGCCCGATTTAATAATGACAAATAACTAAGCTATAGGTGAGCTATAAAACACCTTTTTTTTCAGATACTTGCAGCTCTACCTAAGCTAATCAAACTAAACCCAAATGTCGTTAAAGAGGTCTTCAACAAATTGCTCGGCTTACAGAATCCTAATAATGAAATATTGCCCGGTAGGTGGTATATGAAGTTTTATTAAGAATTCAAATTTGAAATGTATTTTTAATATTGATGGACTTCCAAAAACTTTTAAAAGCTTTGTGTGGATCATATACACAATACATATACTTAGAAAATCTTATAATTTTACATATAGTTCATAAAAGATATAAGTTTGAAGTATTATAGTTTGATTTTGCAGATTATACAGAAATTATTTGTGAGTAACATTTACTTAGCACTTTACTGCCCTTACTATAAGTTCAAGTCGTGTATTATATATTGCATTTTTGCACTAGATTTATAACATTTTTGCTCAAGAAAATAAATTCAAATAATAAATTTTCCTTACAATATATTATAAATATAAATTGATATATAATTTTTTTCACTTTAAATCGACATTTCGAGAGCTTTTCAGCCGTGGTAAGGGGGGAGCGGGAGGTGGTGATTGTTATCTTAAAAATCTTAATTAGTTAGTTAATCAAGTAATAAACCGCGTTTTAAACCGTTGCAAGTGTCTTATTTAATGCGTACCACTCACATAACTTGCAGACCGTACTTTAAATATATTTAAATTTACTTTTTCAGTCAGTCCAGAAGAGTTGCTGGTCGCTCTGCACCTCATAGATCCAAACAAAGCTGATCTTAAGTTCATCATTAAGGCAACAGGGTTGTGCTTTGCTGAAAAGCAAGTTTATACTCAAGATGTATGTCATCAAACTAAACTATAATTATTTGCAAAAAATATATATATATCCTGTGAGTGGCATATCAATAGTTTGAAAAAGTTTTTACGATGACGTGTAGGACATGGTCGCTCAATTGGTTAGAGCAACAGCACGGTGCTCTTTGGATGCGGGTTCAAGTCCCGATCGTGTCGTAAAATTCATTTCGTCTAAAACGATTTTTATTTTATACAACGCCATCTTGTGTTATTGCATGAAATGATATTAAAGTTTGCAAAATATTTGGTTTGTCAAACGGCTATTGTTTATTAGTAACAAAATTTGTATGCAATAATTAATAATACAAAAAGTTTCCTTAAAAAAAATTGCGTCTCATACCGGCACGTACTTCGCAATAAATTGTCAAGTTTTATGTACTATTTATTATATAATAGATATAAACAAAATGTACCCAGTACTATGTTACACGTAAGAAAAACATAATTTCTGTTTTATACTGTAAGAAATGTTTTTTTTAATTCATGTATTACACATAAACTATGGTTAACTCCAGGTGGTATCAGCGGTTTTACAGCGTTTGGCTGAGGAGCAAGACACCCCGGTGCTGATGATGAGGAGCGTTCTTCAAGCTCTGACTCTTTACCCGAATCTTGGACCGCTCGCGCTCAACATTCTACAACTACTTATAGACCGAGAGGTATGCATATATAATCAATCAACGTATTGTCTGTCTTTGTCATATCATTTAAATAGAAAAAGACGGACTGTTTTACTTCTAGTGATTTATATATCGCAGAACAATTATACAATAGTTATATGCATTGTATATAGAACGTAAATGTTTTGTATTTACTGTCTAGTAAATACAAAAGTTATTGCGCAATAATATTATAGTTATCTATACTAATATTATAAAGAGGAAAGATTTGTATTTTTGTATGTAACGGATAAACTCAAAGAGTACTGGACCGATTTTAATAATTCTTTATTCATTTGAAATCTACATTATCACTGAGTAACATAGGCTATATTTAGTACTTGATTACTATAGGCATCTATAGACATTCTTATCCAACGGAAAGCGTAAAAAAATTAGCCATAAAATATATTTCATCGCATACGCTGCGAACAGTATTTATGATAAGACAAAAAATGTTCGACAATATTATAGAATATATAACTAACTATTGTAGTTACTTCACTATAACTACTTTTTTACATTGAACAAATTGATAGAAATGCGCAACAAAAACAGACCGTGTTATCCATACCATTTATAAATTTTTATCCAAATAAATAATTTAATATTCAAGACTGCCTCAATACCTGATGATTAATTATTGAAATCGGACATGTCATTCAAAAGATATCATGAAATTAAAATTAAAATACATGCTGCCGGCGGTCGCCACGTCGCGAATCGAGTAACTAATTCGACGATAGAGGGGCAGTGGGCTCCTCACGCAGTGGGCGCGAACGACATTGTATATTTCGACTTTTTTAAAACATTTTAGTTTTAGTATTAGGAATCTATATAAACTATACGCACGACAGTCAAGCGTCGCAGCTCGCTCGCAGCGGCTTGTCTACCCGTGCGAAGCCGAGACTTGCCGCTAGTACGTGAAAGTAGTGTTTGCCAAGCAGTGTATGTGTAGCATGTTGTTAGCGCGATGATTCTGGGTTTGAAACCCGGGGAAACAATAGAATGGTAAGACGGGCTGTTTCGGCATCACTAGCGCCATCTAGCGTTAAGCGGAGGAAACTTTAGGCTATATCGCTAGGATCGATACGGAATCTTCCAGCCAATCGGGTGCTATAAAGCTGTGGTGGCCGAAGGCAGAAGCCGGATTCTACTCGAAGATAGATCTCTTCGCATAGACTATATAATATATTAAATCGTATACGTGCTAATCTAAAACCCCAAAATCGACAAAAATCGTTAAGTGTGTTTGTGGATGCTGAAAACCGTCTCTAAACCTGGTAATCTAGTAAGACTTTCAGTATTCAGCAGTAGCGATTCTGCTAAAAAAATTCCCTTGTGTGCGAACCGCACGAGCATATGTAAGTTAGTCCGTAATTTCACATTACGGAATTTGGTCCTAAAAAGGGGTCTTCCCAACCTAATTAAAAAGATTACAAAGAGTTTTTTGCTGATGCATGCTTGTTACGTTTCAGGTATGGAGCAACAAAGTGGCGTGGGAGGGTTGGGTGAAGTGTTGCGAGCGTCTCGGTTCTCAGGCGACTAAGGTTCTAATTGCGTTGCCTGCGCGTGCACTTCCATCCGTACCACCGAATCTTGCGAGACTCATAGAAACTACGGTAAAGTGGATATTTTTTCTTTTTAGAGCGGGTTCTTTTAAACCACAAGCAGTTTTCGTTTAACTTGCGATTGAAACTTATGTATTGACAGTGGTTGCACTTCACTGGGGATTTAATTATTTTGCATTGCACAAAGCGATTATATCGGGTACAACAAGTTTTTTAAGAGACACGAGAAAATAAATTAGACTCTCCTCTTTATTTACAGATTAGTGCCAATTTAAATGAAACACTTTAACGGTTTAAACTCAATATATTAGTTAAACTTATTTAAAAATGATTTTTAACTTCGGCCCGACGTTTCGGACGCTTTGCAGCAGCCGTGGTCACGTCTCCCCGTTTTTTAAACCGTTAAAGTGCTTCATTTAAATGTGTGCTACTCGCGTAAACTATAGACAGTATTTAGATTAGTGCCTAGCTCAACTGATTTCTTTTAAAAGTTAAATAAGATCATAATAATTTGTCTTTACGTCAGAGAAGAACAGACAAGTATAAGGTGATTGGTATATATACCACCCATATAAGATAGAAACATATAATGCCTTAAGATTGCACTTAGAAAACCGCATATTGAAATCGACACGATAAATTTTACTTTTTGTACTGCCGTCAGTGGTTAGAAACCTGGACGGAGAAGTGATATACAAAGAAGTTTGAATCTTATTTTGTTTGCAGGAGGGTTCAAATCCGTTTTCACCGCCGCCAGTTTCAAATCCCATAGAGCCGTTGCCACCAGGAATGGAATGACCATAGATTATATACCTAGGCTCCATTACAAAATACAGACTATATACACAATGTCATCAATAATCGTTTATCGACTAGACAGATAATAACAGATCTATTTTTTATTTTATTTGGGCCAATATATAACAATAGTGCAGTAGAGCAGCGCTGTTGGTTAAACGACGATTGATTAAGCAATATGTATAATTTACATGATGCAAGGATATTTAATAAAATTTTATGAATTTATGAAAGATTTTATTTTATTTAGCCTTGTAAGATAAAAAATAGTAAAATTCTCATGAAAAAATAAGCTTAGTTTCTCCCCTCCCTGTTATTATACACATGTATATAATATAATAATACTTTCTAGGTATTTACTCAATTGCGAAGTCGTCAAAAATAATCAAAGACGTAATGCAAACCTAAAGCCCCCGATTCAAATATAAACATGAAAATATAGTTTATTCACACAATTACGAGTTCAAATAAGATCAAAGTACAGAAAGCAAATGTTTTTGGAATTCAAAACCAGAAAAAAATAATACAAACCATATTCTTAATTTAATTTGTAAAAAGACGTTTTCGGTGATATTCCTTTGAGTATATTTTCGACGCTGTATGGGGTATCTGGAATTAAAAAAAAAACAAATTTCATTTTTATATTCCTAAAACCATCTTTCTTACACCGTCAAGAACTTTGTCCTTTTTACTAATCGGTTTTATTTACATGCCAGTAGTTCCATTATTTACCTATGATTCGAACTCAGAACCTCTCGTGCTTTTACCAATTTACATAGCTACAGAGGTGGTCAGATTTGATTTGACATGCGGATGTGTATTTCATAGATGGCAGCACTTTAGTGTTTATTTTTAAATATTGCTACTAGAGGGCGCTATATATTATGTGTAGAATCCTAAAACGCGCTCTTAAAGTAAATCCGGCTTTGTATATATAGTTTGACTAAATATTTTTAAAGTATCGCTTCTCGGCCTTTTGGCTAAGATCAAAGTGTAGTATCTGTTCTTTTCAGCTTAATATCTGAAAGTTCCCGCATCGCGGGACCAGTATATTAAACTGATTTTTGGAAGCTGACGGGATGTTCGGGGCTCGCTCCACTCCTGTCGCGGGTCGGCCCGGCATTGCAGTGCCGCCGGGATCGGCCTAATATATGTTTTATGAATCAGTCTAAATAGTTTAGTATTTAATTATGACCTTATGAAAAAATAGGTAAAGGTCTATCATAATTAGTATCATATCTCAAAACAAGAGGCTGCTAGAGGATGAGTGGCTAGTAACAAAAAATAGGAAGGTGCTGTTGGAGATTATCATTTTTAGACAATGAAAATATAAATAACTCATCTCATAAGCTAGCAGTAAGGCTACTCTGCCTGTAGCGGCCCCACATAATAGATATCGATATCTTGAATTTTGGCGGTAGCTGGTTCGCAAACGCCTTCATATACGTGTTGTTAATCAGTTTGGTAATAATCTTTGTGTATACATAATATATTCATTGATTGTTAAAATAATAATAACGGGTCGTAGGTCTGCACCGTTTCAAACGTGTTTTTAATCAATTTATATGTACTTAAAGCATTTCAGAATTCATCTAGAAACTGTATATCTAATGTGTAGAAGTAACATCGAAATTTCGGCCTCGTCGCTACCATCCAGAGATGAAAAATCCGTGAAATGTAATTCATCATGCATTTCTGTTGTAGTCTGTCGATATCCAAAAACAAATCGACAGCGCATCTAGCTTAAATGTTATATGTGGTACTCTATCGTATAAAATATACCGGTCAAGTCAATTTACAGGCGTTTAGTTAACAAACATATTTATCCCGTATTCGCTAATAAGCTTTCATCCTGTAATATATTTTGTATAAAGTTTTATATCATATCCGAAACACTTACCAACATGCACCCAATCGTTATCAATGTATCCAAATTCTTTGCGGGCAGCTAAGATTGTTTCCTGTAAGGCATTCACCACAACTACTGCTAATACTAGGGCTGGCTCACCGGTCGCTATAACAGAAATTGTTTTAAATATATATCATATTGTTATACTTTAAAGCACTAAGTAAAACAAGTATATCTTTGATTTGCACAAATATATCTTTTAAAAGGTAGTTAATCAACACTCATGCATGCCATATCTATAATATTATACAACAATAGTAGCATTGTATACCTCACAGTAACATAAAATAGTTTTAAAAAGTTTGCCGAGAAGGTTTTTATAATCAGTTGCCAAGTGAAACGACAATCACAAGGAAAAGATAATTAAAGTGTACCTTTCGATCGCAGCACGCCGTTAGTGTTATAAGAGTTTCTTTTAAAAGTGACCCTGAAGTCGACTGGTATGTCTGTTGCTCCCGGGGGCTTATACGTCCAAGTCCTGTCTGTGAGGAGACGGCCTGACGGAGCGTACAAGAGACGCTCTGATGTCCACATACCCAGACCCATTACAAATGCACCTTCGATCTATAAACGAAGTTACAATTTAGTACAATCAAGTGCAGAAGTTAATTACAATTAATTTAAATTAAGATAGAGCTTATATTTTTATTACGTAATAATGTTGCTTAATAAATCATCAATAATGGTTGCAGCAACATAATATAACAAATCTATTGAATCAGTTTAAAAACAGTTGAATATTTAATAACATTAAACAAATATAATATTTTATAAATCACTTCTTTCGGCGGTTAGAAACAACCGCTTATTTTGATTACTAGCGACCAGCCCCGGTTTCGCTCGGATGCAATGCTGATACTAAATACAATACAGAAAAACTGTAAACGTTGTATATATACGAAAACCTTCCTATTGAATTATTCTATCTATTAAAAACTGCAACAAATTCCTTTTTAAGCGTACATAGGGACTGAAAAAGCGACTTTGTTTTTTACTATGTAGTGATTCGTCTAGTCTTATAAATGTCTACGGGCTTTCTATAGGCAAATACAAACATTAAAACATTTTATATGAACAAAACTACGTGCTATTTACATGAAGAGTAGATTTAAAAACCAGACCTGGCCAACGTCCAACGATGGACTCAAACTCTGTCCCGTGTCCTCGATGATGTCGACCCTTAATATCTGATGATTTCCAGTCAACACGTCGAGTATGACCTCCGCAGAACATACTCCATACACTGAATATTCTTTCAGGGAATCCAATTTGGACGTCAGAGCGTTCACTTGAAGGTTTATTCCTAGAAATTTGTAAATTTTAATTTGTACATTTATTTTGTTAAACCCACAATAATTTACATATTAATACACTAAATTTTGTATGTAGATGTATGTGTGACAGTTTGGGCACAGCCGTTTCCGTATTCTGCATTAAATCTAATAGTCAATTAATTTTACAGAAGATGTAACTACGACGAAACAGATGGCCTAGTAGCAGTTTTTACTTTGACATTAAAGAACCTTCTCTATTTATCTCCCAAAACCACCAAGCTGAAAATCCGAAACATCGGGCCGTAGTTAGAATAATTCAAAATAATTTAACAATATTTCGCGTTAAAAGCGTTAAAATTATTTTATTTAAATTGTACTACCCGTACCTAAATGGAAGAAATAATACATATCTAAAGTTATATATATAGCTACTGAGTACAGCATTTTTATTACAGAGAAGGATCCAGACAAGCATGAAGCTAACTTGATGGAAGGTTATTCTAATTGATCACATTTGTTTTAAGCCCTCTTTTTGGTTTGAGGTAAAGAGAATTTTACTTCAATATTTACTGACTGACACTTACTATGTAGTACTAACCTTTTTCAAACGCGGCTTTCACCACCTCCGCCCAAGTTGGCTCATTCATCGCCTGTTTGACTGGCTCAAGTCGCTTCAAGAGTTCTTCACAAGCTTTGACAGTAGCGTGGGCTACGCATTCGCTGGTAACACTTCCACTACTGGCTATGGCGTTGGGCGAAATGAAACTATCCGCTCCTTTCACCTTTATATTTTCTAAGGGTACCTGTAAAGCCGAACAATCAAACACTCCAAAATGAATACACTCAGTATCGCAACTATTGTAACAATATCCTCCAAAACCTTAAAAATCTTCACGACAGCATGACTATACAAGAAAATAAAAACGACAACCGAAAACTCTGGAAATGTATCAAAAATATATGCAATCTTAATTCTAATAAAGAAAATTCAAGTAAATTACTAAATATCAAACCAAACCCGGAAGAATCCCTCAATACTGTAAATTCATTCTTTTCAACGATTGGCGAAAAGATTTCTACAGAAACCTTGCTCAAATTAAAGCGAACTGAAAACGATCTAGTCCAGAGTATTTCCATTCCCTCCAAACCTAACTCTTTTCTGTTTCTCCCTTGCGACGAGCGTGAAATCCTTAAGATTATTAACTCCCTTAAACCCCATGCGGCCCCAGGACATGACATCATAAGCAACCGTATAATTATTTCCCTAAAAAATATATTAGCAGCGCCTATAGCATACATTTGTAACCTCAGTATTGAACAAGGAATTTTTCCCGAATCGTGGAAACTTGCGTACATTACCCCAGTTCATAAATCCGGTTGCAAGACGCAAGTTTCGAATTACCGCCCTATCTCACTTCTCCCAAGCTTAGCTAAAATTATGGAGAAAGTCGTCAATACAAGACTACTCAATTACCTGGAAAAGGAAGACATGCTAGCTAATAACCAATTTGGTTTTAGGCATAACAAATCGACAGAAGACGCAACTACTGCTCTGGTTGAGACTGTTAGCTCAAAATTGGACGAGGGTCAAAGGTGTATTGGTGTTTTTCTCGATGTAGCGAAAGCTTTTGACACTATCTCCAGACCAATCCTGTTGAAAAAAATGGAAAGATTAGGATTCCGGGGCAACATCCTAAACTGGTTCCGATCTTACCTATCCAACAGAAAACAAATAGTCAGAATAGATAGTTTAAAAAGCCTGGAAAAAGTAGTCTCCTACGGCTTGCCACAGGGTAGTGCAATAAGCAGTTCTCTATTTCTAATCTATATTAACGACTTATGTACAATGAAGCTTTCTAATGCCAAGTTATTCTCCTTCGCTGACGACACGGCGATTATCTTTTATTCACGTTCCTGGGAACAAGCCGCCCTCGTTGCCCAAACGGGTCTCACCCGTATTTCTCAATGGCTCACCAATAATCTTCTTTCGCTTAATACAACAAAAACTAAATACATTTGTTTTAACATCTCTAAGGCAACTGCCCCAAAACCAATCCCCCCTATTAAACTCCATTCTTGTCATAACCCCTTCTCGACCTGCCAATGTCCAACCATAGAATCGACTGATTCTATTAAATACCTCGGGGTAATGGTAGACTCGAGGCTTTCTTGGGGTCCTCACATTAGTTATCTGTGCGCTCGTGTCCGAAAACTTTCAAGCGCCTTTAAACGCCTCAGTAAGGCGGCAGAGACTAATACTATTAGGACAGTCTATATAGCTTTATGCCAATCTGTGTTATCTTATTGCATTTCCACATGGGGCGGTGCGGTAACAGGTCTTATGCTCAAAATAGAACGGGCACAGCGTGCTATCCTAAAAATTTCCCTTAGAAAACCGTTTCGGCATCCAACTTCAGAATTATACAAAGAATGTAATCTCCTGACGGTCAGGCAACTGTATATTATATCAACTTGTCGTCGCCAACTCAAAACGCCATCACAATCTAAAACATCCGAGCAAACATCTTTAACACAACGAAAAGTCCAATTCCGAACTCCACTCAAACACACCTCTTTTGCCCAACGATTTTTTACTTTTAAAGGTCCCTTCCTGCTTAACTTATTCATTAATAAAAATATAATTAGCCCACTTACTTCTTATTCTTCCCAATTAAATAAAATTAAAGTGTTTCTTCTAAAATTAAATTATACTCAAACAGAAAACTGTATTAAGGTAATTGCATGACAAAATGTTATCCATATTTTTAAGTTTATTTTTTATTATTTAAATACTTAGCATATAATAACTTTATAAGTACATAGTAGATACTAAGTTTTTCATTGTTTTTCTCGAAATGCACCGGAAGAGTCTAGCCGCCCACGACACAGGGAATCCTAGTGTGGGGGCTAGCACACCCTGTAATGATATGTACACAGTTTTGGTGAATAAAGAATTTGTATTTGTATTTGTATTTGTAAAATATTGCAGTGATTTTTTTTTAATGATAGAGTAGAACAGACAAGCATTGAGTCCGATTGATGGTAGGTGAAATACCCTAGCTATATAGGATCTACACAAGATGCGCGGGCGATTTTGGCTTTGCATATTCGGAAATTAACAGGCTAAAAGCGAAACGATATTAATCTTTCATCTGTGCACTCTGGTTTGTAACCCGGAGGGAATTTCGATATTGCTACCACCCATTTCATATACAGAGTTCCAGACGAAGTTCAACGTGTTTCAGAAAAAATTAGAATCGTCGTCGGACCCAGTGTGGATCCAACACCGGGTCCTGTTGATTAGTAGCCATACATTGCTGCCATGGTCACATGAAAAACAAACGACGGCTACTCTATTCGACGGGAAGTCGGATCGTAGTTAAAAAAAATACTGTCTATAGTTTACGCGAGTAGTACACATTTAAATAAAACACTTTAACGGTTTAAAACGCGATATATTAGTTAAACTTATTTGCTAATGATTTTTAACTTTGGCCCGACGTTTCGGATGCTTTGCAGCAGTCGTGGTCTCCCCGTGACCATTTAATCCGTTAAAGTGTTTTATTTAAATAAATAAATGTAACTAATGCATTTCGCGTTTTAAACCGTGAAACATGTTTTATTTAAATAATAGAGAATTGTTTCTTTCTACAAGACTCTAAGAATCAAAAACATCAATAATTATAAGCATTGAACATTTATAGATAGTACAGATAGACTAAACTCTTAATACCTCTACATTCATCTTCTCTACATTTATCAAATTTTTATTTTTCTTATTTGATACTGGCCATTATTTCAAGACGTTATTAAATAATTGATATTAAACACTTTTCGTTTTTTTTGTATAGTAGTAGCTTTAAAAATTTAATAAAAATATCTAATAAACAAAAAGCCTTACAGTCCCAACTGAGAGGTAATTGAGGAGGAAGCCTTAATTTTAAAACTAGTACCCATTTTTTAAATAAAACACTTTTACGGTTTAAAAGTTAATTATCAACTATTTGAAAATTATTTCACTACCCCATTTTTTTTTATTGTTCGACAGTATTTAAAACTAGTACCTTCAAAGTATGCGCGCACACTTGCGCCACCTTCGTATTAATCCCCTGACCCATTTCTATACCACCATGGGATATTAAAATGCTCCCATCTACGTGGTACACCGATATCGTCACTGGGTAGGTCCCGTCATAGCCAATAGGAAAGGACATTATCGACATCTTCAAAGACTTTTTCGTCCAAGCATTTTCCGAATTGTACTTTGCAATTTCAACCTTCCTCTCTTCGTGTTTCGATTCAATTTTGAATGTGTCTATCATATCTTTGAGGTCACGGTGATCTGGTGATATGTGAATGAGTTTTACGTCTAACGGGTCACGTTTCGTGGTGAAAGCAATCCGTTCCATTATATGCTCCACGATTGCCGCACCCTCAGTTGTCCCTGCAAAGTTTTATCAAAATCTTACTTTAAAAATGTGCAACTTTTCACCTTTAAGTGTGAGAAATCCATAATAAACTTTAAGCAGTTTCCGAGATGAATCTAACAAAACACACAGATTTTCGCTTTAGAAAACACTGCAAGTAAATTTGTTTCTTTTTTTATAGATTAAGACAGATAATTGTGGGGTTTAGCTACAGAAGTTGAAATAAAGAAGATGTGCTATATATATGTCTTTACTCGGATCAAATTTAAATAATTCTACCTTACATTCAATATCCAGAGATTCCAAATGAAGTTCATTATGGCTCAGAAATCTTAATATATATTAAGATTTGAACCAACTTCAACCCCGTGAAAAGCAAAGCCATTGATTGACCAGTTCAATATTAGTTGTAAATAAGATCGACGAGCCCGTTATATATTTTTAATCTGTCAGCTATATGAAGTATATATATTGATAGGAAAACTTCTCTGACAATAACAAGTCCAATTTGAAAGTCATTAAATAATATTCATTCAGTTAGTGTCGCCACACATATAAAGCATGTTTTAATCCGTTAAAATAGTCTCATTAGTTGTAAAAAATGTGCAGTTCATTACCTGGCGCCCTACACCAAGTGTTGCTGGCTTTGTCTGTCAACACACTGTACCCTTTAACATTCCATCTTGACACGTCATATAAGCTGGACATCATGGAGGTAATGGAACTGGCAGCGGAGTCATTGAATGAACACCCGTTATCGGAATAGTAGGATAGGTTAACGTACTGTGTCACACCCGATGCATTTACAGCTACCTGAAAGAAAAATACAAATATAAATAATAACAGAACAGAATAAACATTTTAATACACTTGTAACGGTTTGAAACACTTGATCCCACATAACAGCGTGTCAACGTGAGTTCGTTTTGTAAGCACCCAGCTAAACTGACTTCAAATACAGACTACGACGAAACAGATGTCGCTAGCATAGCAGATGATTTTTACATTAGAGACACTCTATCTTCATCCCTTCCATGATAACAATTGTTGCAAAGCATCCGAAACGTCAGTTCGTAGTTAAATAAATTGTAAATAAGTTAAGTCGCGTTTGAATACCTTAAACGTGTTTTATTTGAATGTATACTAATCGCGTAAACTACAGAGAATGCTCAAAGAGTTATAACGAGTGTGTGGGACTCAAACACACGACCGGTGCGTTCCAAATGAGCAGGGCATTATACGAAATGAACTAAAATATATTTCAAGTTTTCGCTTACCTCATACTCCGTATAACAAGCCTGCCGTTTTCCAATGGCTGCCATATTGTGCGTAAGCGGCAGCACGAGCGTAGCGGTCCGGTTCAGCTTGTGCGCTACAAGGGCACAAGCGCAAGCGATAAGCGACGAGCGAGAAGCCTTGCCGCCGTAACCACCTCCTATTCTACTCACTTCTACTGTCACGCTGAAATAAATAAGTAAATATTTTTAAGATTATCAATTTCTATGACAATTGTGAGGAAAATCAATAATAAAGAAAGGTTTTTGGTTCATTATTTGCACAACTTACTACCTGAGACTTGTCTTGTAAAAAATATCTAAGATAATTAACGTTATAGTCTACGCGAGTAGTAACTACATAAATAAAAAACATTAATGGTTTAAAACTTCGGCCCGACGTTTCGGACGTTTTGCAGCAGCCGTGGTCACGGGGAGACGCCGGGCCGAAGTTAAAAATCATTTTCAAATAAGTTTAACTAATATATCGCGATTCAAACCGTTAAAGTGTTTTATTTAAATAGTTAACGTTCGTTAAAAATTGATATTATACAAGTTTCTGATATCGATCTTAATCAATATCGTTTTGTTGTGAAATAAGCTTGAATAATTTTATTTTGAGATAGTTTTGACTGAGGAAGTTACTACACTACCATAGACTAAAGCCCCATTTTTATTCTTCCTCTTCTTACCTGTTCAAAGGCATATTCAAAGACTTAGACACCGCAGCTTGTACTAAATCCATCCACTGCGTCGCCGACCGTACGACCAGACCGCGTCTCGTGTTGCTCACTGTACAGCTCTGAGTCTCCATTGTAAAATGGTATTGGTCTGGCACTGTAAATTTCCCTTTAATTGTATGGATAACATCTGTACCCCTGTCTGTTGGGGTGAGGGACGAGTCTTCGCGTATCTGAAAAAATACGTATAAACGTCGCATTGGACACCAAATAATAAGATAATCAGTTACCTAGTTTAATTATAAATATTTTTTTAAATAATTAATATCAATAATAATGGGTTATCCATTTTAAAGATCAAACCAGGAACGCCAAACAGACAAAAATAATAAAATAAAATTTACGCAAAAAAATTCTTCTTGTCTGTAGTTAATTTAAATATATCTGCACGTACTACTGTTTTATTTTATTGTCACAAATACCTACATTAATAATAATAATAATGTCCTTTTTAAATTATGGCTTTTTATTTGTTTTGCGTATTACCCGTTGACAAACTTGCCTACTTTAATAAAATGATAATGCAAAGACAACTTGAAAAGCCTCAAAAAATTCTAAGAAACAAGTCAAGAAAACATAAGACCAGCTTAGGGCAACCCATAAAATGAACACCTATATAAAAAAATATTATACAATATTAAGACTTACGCGGGCTGCTTTATCTGGTGCAGCCAAGGCATCTTGCACGTTTAACACCGGTTTGTTCTTCGATTCTTTGTAAACAACTTTGACTAACTCGGCTGCCTTTAAAGCTAGTTTGTGGTTGGTAGCAGCTATCAAAGCTATAGGCTGGCCGTAAAAAGATACTCTTTTGCGTGGTAGAATTTCTTCATCCGCGGAGACCCAAGGAATGTCTGTGGGGGTAAACGAGTTGAGTCCCGGGATATCTTTGGCTGTGTAAAAAGTTACAACGCCGGGCAGTTTCTGAAAAAAAAGATAAAAAAATCGTAAATTTTATGTCTAAACACCAGCTTATGGCCAGTCAAAGGCTATAAAACATCGCTTTGCAACTAATAAGATCAGAGAAACAGCATGATGAGTAAAACGGGGAAAATCGTTTATAACTGTGGTTTCACGTTGCGTACGCTACTAAAACGGTTCAAGACACCCAAAAAAGTGTGTGTATGTTAGATTGATTCCTCTTGAAATAATGTGCAAGATATCCGAGACACTATATATCTTATGTATATAGATGTTATGTAGTAGTCGTATTTATTTAAATGTGTACCTCTCGCGTAAACTATAGACCTAGTGAGATCAACAAGTTTATGGTAAAGAATTAAGAACTCATACCAGGGCCTCAGCAGGATCAAAGGAGACAATTTCCCCGACGCAAATTGTAGATAGCACGAAGGCTACGTGGACATCACGTGGTGAACTATGCCTGTCACAGGCATATGTAGCTTCGCCGGAACACTGCGAAAGATAAAATCAAAAGATAAATATTAAAATGTCTAATTTTATATTTTTTTAACACTTAAATTCTAAGGTAACTTGAGAAACAAATATGCGAACGCGCCGTATATATTACATAAGTTTTTATATAGAACCTTCATATTATATAGATTTTTATTTTTATATACAAATCGTCAGCTTTCATTAATTTTGTTCATTAATCTATCAATTGTTACTTGAATCCACAATTTTTAAATCCTTTTGTATGTTAAATAATTGTATACAATATACGCAATTTAACTTATTTTGTTCTGTACAGAGTTGATGTTATAAGCTTTTCCAAAAAGCTTTGCACAAAGATGGACAATTATAGACGTTCTTCTCGTTAAAGTGTTTTTTTTCTAATAAAATGATTTATCAAAGATTTTAAAACATGGAATGGATATCACCTGCGCTAACGCTTCCAACTTGACAACTGGTTGATTTAATGGCCACAACGCTTTATCCGTGTCAAAAGTCTGTGTCCCGCGAGATATAGCCCTTGACAGAACATCACCTCCAGTTTTGTATCGGGGACTGACTGATGGGTTAAGAGATAATATAGCCTATGGGAAACATGTGATATACAATATTATTTTTAATCAGTACAGAACCACTGTCCAACGATGAATAGTATATCTTAGCGTTTGGTCATTCTGTGAATGTCTAAAATTAAAAATAAGTCGGCAGCGAACCTTCTTTCAACGTCGACGGGCTCGTTGGTGTAAAAGTAGCAATGAATGAAATTATCTACGGATCGTGGATTCTATCCCCACAAGGTCCACTATGTTTCAAATCAATCTATAATTTGTCTGTAACATGTGGAACATGAAAAAGACGTGAAGTTAAAGCAAGGTTCGTTTCGGTTTCAGTCGGTGGATTTTCAAAGCCTAAACTAGTCGCCAGCGCATCTTGTTTAGTGGTTATATGGCTGGATTTCTACCTACCATCAAGCGAATGCCTTCTTGTCTGTCCTCGTCTATCAGTAAAAAGGTTATGGTTATCTGATCTTCTCCGTCATAAAGAAACAAGCAAGAGGTATTTTTGCTGTTGGTAACTAATAAAAAATAAGAATATACCTTGTAAAATAATCCCAGAGCAATCGCCTTTCTGCAACCCGGCGATGGTTCTGGACTATAATCTTTCAACACTAATTCTTCTTCTAACTTCAGTAGCGCTTGCTTCAATACATTTTCGTTAAATAAATTCTGTCCTTTTAAAACGTTTTCCGTTTCCGTTGCGTAAACGAAATCGGGACTTATATTACCATAGACAATATTTGATGATATTACTCTATTGTCTTTGTCTACATGGAATAGGAAGCCTGCGTTTACAATGGCGTGGGCGTTCTGGCCGCGAACCATTATCTAAAAAATATTAATCATTATTTATTTATTTTACACTTAGGTACACAAAAAAAGAACATGAAATTTTAAAACTACATCAAAAGAAAAACTATAGAATACTGTCTGTAGTTTACGCGAGTAGTACACATTTAAATAAAACACTTTAAAGGTTTAAAACGCGATATATTTTAGTTCAACTTTTTTGAGAAATATTTTTAACAACGGCCCGATGTTTCGGACGCTTTGCAGCCGCAGCGTATCGCGTTTTAAACAGTTAAAGTGTCATTTACAAACTAGAGAAAGTAAAAAAAGTTCAATTTAGGATGAATAACATGATAAGGAAAGAGATTGTCAAAGGAGGAGCTAATCGTTCTGAGTCATTTAAAGTCCATTATAAAAATATATAAAAGTTTTTTTCCCAAACTGGGGATCAGTTAGGGAAAAACAAACTCGTGTCGAGTTATAAAAACTGTGTAGCATACCTTATAAGTCTTAATTAAATTCTTTTGCGAAAGCGGTGGAAGCTTAACATTAAGAATAATTTTGTTCTTTAAATCTGTATGCATAAAATCTTTCATCGTTATCACTGTTTTCGTCTTGTTACTGTCCACTGAAAAAAATATTTCATTATTACAAAATATCAATTGTCACATATTTTTAAGAATAATATTTTTAATAAGCATGCGTAACGTATTAAAATAAATCAATATTTAACGGTTTAAGAGCGAAATATATTAATTAACTTGTTTACAATTTATACGTCGAACCGTAGCTAAAATAAGTTAACTAATTTATTTCCCGTTATAAATCGTTAAAGTGTTTTATTTTAACGGGTAAAATACGTAAAATATTTTTTTTTTAATTTATAAGATAGTTTTGTAGTTTATTTTTATTTTATATGTATTTTTATTTAATTTTCGTGATCATAGGTCACTTGTTAGACGCCTAGAACTACTATAATCACGAAAAACCCGATCAAATAGAAAATGCACAAAGAACAAAACAATTACATACTTGCATGATCTGTGAAACATAGATTAGATAGATAGATTGTCTATTACTTTCCCCACTTATACAGGTTTAAACTTCTAAACGTACAAATATATTTTGCGTTCGATTCCCTTAAAAAGCGTCTAGTAAATTAATAACCTACTTGATTATTAGTTGGTTTTGTAGTTTGAACTCATGCAACGGCGTACAATACTTACACATCGTGACGCCAGCACCGATAGTTGCGAAAAGGACAAATAAGTCAGACGGAAAGTCGTGATGTCTATTTTTCAATGCTAGATTACCACCAATAGTACCTATCTGTAAAAATCGTGCTTTAGGGTCAAATGGAACTATGCATGCAAAAAAAAGATTTCATTTACAGATCAATAAGATATAACTTTATAATAGACTCGTTGCTTCAATAATCAAGGATTTGTTAGTCGAATCTCACGAGACAGCAGGTTTATATATAAATTTATGATTTTCTGAAAAATCATTGATATAAGATGGGTGGTAGGAATATTGAAATTCTTCCCGCGTCACGAATCACCTCAGTCTACAAATGAAGAACGCGCGAAGTGTGTCTGCGTTTCGGTACCATCTGAGGTATTTCAAATTTATAGAACCAGAATAGGCTTTCCTACATGTTATCGTTAACCTTCGATTAAACGAACCCTATATTTCCAATCTTCCTCTGTAATAAAATGTTGAAAAGTAATCTTATACATTCTTTAACTACTCACGTTTCTAACTGGCATATGGGCTACTAAATCCAAATGTTCCCTTAGAGTCTTCATGTATGAAAAATCCTCATTTGCCCCAGCCCGCTGGTCACAAACACTCATAAGCTCCGTCAACGTCATTCCAGCACCGATAACCAGATTGTCGTCAGTGTTTATATCTTGCAGTGCTTCGATTGACGAAATGTCTATGCAGACACGTGGTTCTACTGTGTTTGGATATACACCTGAAAAATATAGTTTGAATTAAGCTGAATATCGATCACGACTGATAACTTCTATAGACACTCTGCTTCAAGTGAAGTATTTGACATGAAAGCTTCGGCACATGGATAATAAAAAGAATTCAGAACTCATATAATCTTTTAATAACTAATGGAAATGAAATTCTAATTTAAGTCCTTCAGAATGCGATGCTATTAAGATAAGAAATTAACAGTTTGAAAATTTTACATTGCGAATAAGTTGAAAAAAAATCGACGATAAGGTGTCGGACTTGGTAGCTCAATTGGTAGAGCAACAGCACGGAACGTTGACGATGCTGGTTCAAGTCCTCCCCGAGTCGATTTTATTTTCGATTTTTTAAAGAAATTAACAGTTTAAGTAAATTATACAACGCTTTCGCGGCCATTTTGCAAAGTTTCTTAGATTTTGGAGCTGTTCGGCTGTCGTTATTCAGTCTTTGTATAGTCAAGGAACCTGCAGCGCCACCTCTCGGTAAAATCTACTAGTGATGGCGAATTTAATTACAACAACTCCAAAGCCCAAGCCGGTTAATATTTGTTAGAAAAGTTTAATAATTTCAGGAGCAGCAGCACGGAACGCCAAGGATGCTGGTTTAAGAACTATCGGTGTCGTAAAGTTTATTTATTGTAAATAAATATTTTGTTACTACCTTTTCCAGTGTTTCCCGCAACGAGTAAATAATTATCTGTACCTTCCCTGCTCAGCACCTGGAATTTTCCATACTTGTAATTATTATATTAAAATTTTCTTATATGTTTTTAAAATAAAAAAGGTCTGGGGACAATAGTGATGACAAAAAAGTAATTTTTGTTCGTTTGACAAATTTAAAAAATTTTGTCCTTTTGTATACTATCTATGAAAATGATGTCGGCGACTTTGTCTTGGAACATACCTTAAATACATCGTCCAAATTAAATGCTTTATACCATCGACTAACAACATCAAGTTGTAACAAGTCTTCGCTCGTTTTCTCTATTAGGCACCAGTCGTCGTCGCTACATTTCTTATTACAATCTGATTTACATTTCAATTCGTGGAGGTCTTCTAGGTCCTGAATATAAAGAAATAGAATGATAAAATATATGTCTAGGGGAACTGCAAGGAAATCCTGTACAATTTTTTTTATAAGATGCAACAAAACAAGTTAATAAGGAAAGAAATATTGTCATTTTTGCCCTTTGTTTCTGTAGAGGATTGTGGGGGAAAGATAACACTTTATTAACCCAGATGGATAAAACACTATACGGTGCCTAAAAAAAGTAACTTAAATAATTATTTTAAATAAAAACGTTTATAACACATACAAATGCCATTCTACCAGAGCTGTTTAAATTTTATTTCATAAATTAATTATGTTTATGTACTTTAAAGTTTAATAATTACAAAGGTTAAAGACTAGTATTTGTTTAAGTTAAGTTAAGCGCGTTGTTTTATTTTCAACATAACTCACTTGAACACTATCTTCCGGAATTGCTAAACTTTTGAACGCGTCCAAAATCGATCTGTACCCAGTACATCTGCAGATGTTTCCACCAAAAGCTCTCTCGACTTGTCTCTTACTTAATTCGCTTGAGCTTTTCTGAAGGCTGAAATTAAAAAGCAATATCACGAATACCATCAATACAGACAAAATAATTAGCTAAAACGTCTAAGAGTAAATTTGCTATTGTTTTTAAACAGGCGTTATATTTTACAATTAAAAAAATGATAATATACATATATTACATTGAAGCAGGTTCTTACAAACTTAAGAAATATTTACAGATATCTTAAACTCGCTTTATTTAAACGATTTCCGAGTAGTACGTATTAAACAAAATATTATGTCTTAAAAATTGTATTTGCGTTATGCTCGTCAAATGTACTTTATGCATTTAGCTAATTTAATACGCGAGTGGTACACGTTTAAATAAAACGGTTTATAACGCAAAATATATCAGTTAAACTTGTTTAATTTATTTTGACTCCGGCCCGACGTTTCGGATGCTTTGCAAAAGCCGTGGTCATGGGGAGGCGACTGCTGCAAATCTATAATTTTCAAATAAGTTTAACTAATATATTTCACGTTTGAAACCGTTACAGTGTGTTTTATTTAAATGTATTGTGTATTTATTATTTGTAATTAATAACTTCTATCCACTGACCTATACATATTCATAATCCAACCAGGTGTACAATATCCACACTGGGTCCCATTATAGTTCGCCAACCTGGTCTGCAGTGTGTGGTATCCGTCTTTGTGGTTACCGAGACCCTCGATAGTGGTGATGTCCCATTGGTGGCAGGATAATATGTGGACTAAGCACTGAGAGCAAACATTAATTTTTAAATGGTACGTAGAAATACACACAACGTCAACAGAAATGTATATTTGAATAAATTGGATTCAGTGTGGGCGTTTAAGGTACACTTTTAACGGTTCAAAACGCAAAATGTATTTTTTTTTTTTGCTTTCCAGCAGCCGTTGTCATGAGATTCAAATATTTTTTTATTATTAAGTTGTAGGTAAATGTGCACTAACTGAAAGTCAATACAATTTAATTTAAAAATAAATTATTTAAAATAAATTACTAACATGAGTGTTAAACGACCGAGCATGGAGAAAAAGGTATGTAAACACCATTAAAAGTAACTTAATTGCTTTTTTACATTGTAGTGTGCCCAGCCTGGGAAATCTTCTCCCTATGACAGTCGTCAAAAAACAGAAACTTATCTCTTAAAGTAATTACAGCTGAGCCTTCGTAGTGACATTATAGCCGGCTGAATTAAGGTTTAAAGGATTTATTCTCGAAGATTATATATACCATCACTTATGAGAATATAGATAGTTTATTATAAAAATACATACAGTTCAGTGCATTGAGGGTTTTAAATAAAATTAATTAAAGTTTTAATTATGAGGGTAGACAACTTGAGTTGTAAAATGTAGATATTTTTACGATAAGTAATTTCGGGTGGGCTTACATGATGCGATGAAATCTGGTTAGTAGAGAGTAGTAATAATGTAAAAAGGTCAAGAATCGTTTTTGATCATTTTAGCAAAAAGTACGAGTGCCAAGAATACCTTTCACTTCAAGCAGTGCGCAAAAACTCACCGAATTTACAGCGACCGTTCTCTTTTCTTTGGTAACTGGATGTATACGGGCCACAGAAACCACGCAAGCACCACAACCACCTTCGTGGCACATCGCTTTTGTCCCATACAGTCCTAGGTCGCGTCTCAGGTAATCATTTAGGGATGTGTTTGGTGTTACCTCAGATCCCGCTGAAAATACATAATTCCTGCTTAATAAACAGTCGGAACTCTCGGATCGAATAGACGTGATGTCTTTTCGAGTCGTAACATATCTATACTAATATTATAAAGCTGAAAGTTTGTTTGTTTGAATGCGCTAATCTCAGGAACTGCTGGTTCGAATTGAAAAATTCTTAGAGTTAGACCATTTATCGAGGAAGACTTTAGGTTATATGATATCAAGCTGTGATCAATAGGAGCGGAGAAACAGTGAATATGTGAGAAAAAATGGGAAAACCATTCTTCGAGGGTTTCCGTTGCGAAAACTTAATGAATTCTTCTTTAAACCATCAAAAAAATGCCTACATCATTTAAGAATAACTTGCAAGAACGATGGGATGCGATCTCGTTTTAAACCATTAAAGTAGTTTTTTAACCTGTAGAATTTTTAATTCGAATCATTAGTTCCTGAGATTACCGCGTTCAAACAAACAAACTCTTCAACTTTATATTTGTATATAAGTAAAAATTCTAACACCCAGCTGGCTAATAAATACAAAGATCAGAGATCACGGTCGAGATTCCAATTAGGTACCTATACACTACGCGACATAACAATAGTTGCATCTTGCACTTTATCACGTTCCAATAAGACTGCATTTTCGATAACATCACTGTCGGTTTCGTCAACTTTTAACAACGTAAGTGCTAGTAACATTTACGTTAACAGAGAATGTTAAGTTTAACTTAGTAAAACTTAAAGTTGAGGTAAAATTAACTAAATGACAAATGATAATTATATTAAACTAACAGTCTGTATTTACTGACAGAGGACAGACAAACGTCAATTTCATTTAATGAAAAGGCCAATGCCAAAATAGGCCGACAGCGCATTTTGTTTAGATGTTATATGGCTGGGGTATTTCACCTCCCATCAAGTAAATCTCATGCTTGCCTGTCCTCCTATATTATTACATCTGTATTTGGTAGTTCAAGACCCGGCCGGAAATTCCATTTTCCCACCACCCTTTTATTATCCAGATTGTAAAGACTATGTTTTGTGTTGAAGAAATGCCGGGGTCCGGTGGAAATCGACACTGACAATCTTATTATAGCGAATACATTTTAACTAATCTATACTAATATTATAAAGCTGAAGGTTCATCAACGAACTATATTTCTTTATTTCTATATAATACTATGTTCTTATGGGAGCAAAATTTCGTCGAAATACTTCATAAAGCAAAAGAACGTCTGCTAAGTCAGCTAGTTATCCATACTTGGCTTCCAACGAGCACGTCATAATAATGTGTACAAAATCTCGGTCCTGGGTGGCGAAGTGTAACGCAGGATCGACGGAAATGCTCTTGTTTTAGAGGCCAAGAGCCACAGGATCACTGGGCGAGTGGAGCAAAAGTATTTTCTTAACTTGGCGTCCTTAATTATCTTTTTCGCAATTAAACGTCAACATATTTCTTAGACGTAAGTGAAAATTACTTTAATTTACTTTTTACTAGTTACGCCGTATCACACGTACGTCATCACAAGAATATAAACTTTATTTTAAATAACTTGTTCAGAGCCTAGTTACTTGCCAGCGTTAATTAAAGACGGTATCCTGACCTGCCACTTACCCAACAAATAATTAAAAACAAGCTGACAGTGCATAGGTAGCTACCAACAAAGAAATAAAAACGTTCGTGGTATAATAAAAGCTCAAAATATTTATGCTTTACTATTATGCCAACAAGTAAACGTCTAATACAAATAGTCCTCGATTGTAAATAAATTGAATAAACGTACGGAGAAACTAATTTATTTCTTTATACCTAACATAACATTTCAATGCACGCATTATCTTGCAAATAGATAAAACGCAATGTATATATGTATTGTTAATGCAGTATTTGTTTATATATCTTTTACTTACAAACATTATACCGCTCCCCATTGACAGTAAAGTATATTTTATCCATATCTTATCACATTTATCGTGAAGAACGAAGAAACACGTGCTCCGAAATACGTGCATTCATGCGCAAGCGATGTTTGGTACTAGTTCATAATAGTGTTTTGCGGTCGCCAATGTCAATATTTTGACAGCGGGGAGCGATTATAAAATACAGCGTATTGTGCCATTGAATTCTTAGAAAAATAATCGATATATTTTTTGAATTGTTAATCGCTATGGTTATTTGTTTTTTATTGACAACACAATAAAGTAATTATTACATATAAAACATGCATAATGTATCATACTCAAAATGTCATGTAACCTGTATACTGTTTAATTAACAATGATTTGATTAATTTACTTACAAAATATGTAAAACCATCCTTTGGTAAAGTTGAAGTGCTTGACCATTTACATCAAAAACAGGCACAACTTGGCATTTGAGCGGGAGCAACATTGACTTTTGCAACGTTAGATTCGGTCTAGTTAAAAAATACACATACTTACATATTTTGTGCGTGTACTTCGACAGATGGGAAATGCTGCGAATGGCTTCTCTCTACCCATGATGCTCGAAGGTTACACCACCACAAATCGCTAACCCGACGGTATTTCAAAATATCTTATATAATTTCAAGTTGTCAACAACTATTTGTCATCCCTCAATGACAGGTTGTTAAACGTCAATGCCACTATCGACCACACTCAAGCCACAAGTGTTACTTGACGCATGCTTATAGGTATTAAATATACTATCCAGTCAATTTATCGAATGTAATAGATGGCAGCACTATGACATATATATATATATATATATATATATCGTAATATTTAAATAATTGCTCACTATTAGACAGAAATGTTGTAATACAATTATTTTATTAAATAAGTATGAGTCACGCCGTGTTACCCGTTACTTATATTCGTTGGGACATGGAGTCCGGGGTTCGAATTTGTTAAAAAACGGCAATATGTTCTCACTGACCTTTCTTGACTCTTCACTGAAGTTTCTTACCTTTCTCAGGTAACTCAGTAAAAAATAATTAAACTCCCAGAGTGCAATAATTTCTGCTATTATTTTTTAATTGAACTGTAATTTGACATCAATAAGCTTTAACGATTTTGTGATCAAAAATTGACATGAAGGAAACACAAGAATTAGGACTGCTTGTACTTTACGCGAGTACACATTTAAATAAAACACTTTAACGGTTTAAAATGCGATATATTTTAGTTAAACTTTTTTGAGAATTATTTTTAACTACGGCCCTACGTCTCCGACCCGACCACGGCTGCGCAAACATCCGAAGGTCGGGCCGTAATGAAAATCCAAGTTTTGATACATAGCATAGATGATGTCATTATAAATCAAATAGAACGAGATAAACTTTAACCATAATTGATTTTTGATATATTTTTAAATTAACATTTTAACTAACAAGAATTAGTGCTGGGTTAGAATTCTTGTCATTTTAAGAAAGTTTGTGACTCGAAATAGTTACGTCGTGAGTAAGTTATTATTTTTTATATAAATCTGGAAATCGAACCTACTAACTATGTCAAACACTCCTTTTGGTACAAAGCTAAACTTTTATTTTGATTTCGTATATAATTATTATTCTGAATAAGAATTCTCTACATAAATAAAAGTAGATACATTTGTATAGAAATATACAATCTTGATTTGTTTAATTTATTAATTTTCTTTTAACTAAGTGAGCTTTTTGTTACCTTAGTAGCCATTTTATATTTAAAATTTAAAATATGTTTTTTTCCTTTATCGACTTTTTAATTTTCTAGTGAATTGCCGTATGACTTTTTTATTTAACAATCATTTCTAGAACTCCAAAGATGGGACTATATCCATTTGATTACTGCTGTTTCTGCATAGACCTGCGCTTGGGCAGTTTGATCATAGGATACATCAATCTGGTATAATTTTAATTTTCTTTAACATGGTGACTGTCGAACATAGGTTAGGCATCCCTTAAATCTCCTCAACATTTTTTCCAGTTAGAACCGAATAATCAAGTAAAAACTTGGTCAAAAGTATTTTCGGACAAAGAAACAAAGAAATTAATCAACTATCTCTTTTATTTCGAAACTATTTCCAGTTTATTCGAAGCAAAATTAAATTATATTGTTTGTTGCAAAGCATACCTACTAGATTTACCACCTTTTTAGGGTTCCGTGCAATGAGAAAAGAGACAAATTTGATTGAGAATTGCACTCGACTGGTGAACAAATACTCAGTTTTATTTAAACATGTTTAATTGAAACATATTTCGAAATTCTGCCTTATAAACCCCCTATATATTCTATTGATTTTATCCTTCATTGAACAAGATTGACATATTATAGATAATTTTGACAGTCTCCATCTAACTTCTATATAACTTCAACTTATGTACTTAACTTCGTCGAAATTAATTGTTTATTTAAATTGTGACGCGACACTCCTCTACAGAAAACTCCAGTCAAAACTTGCGAATATCCAAAGCGAAAAAGGTCGACGACGCATCTTGTGTAGGTATTATATTGCTGGGGCTATATTGCTGCTATACCTTCCATCAAGTTAACTTCATCCTTGTCTGTCCTACTCTATTATAAAAAAAAACTCTCCACTTACGTCAATTCTATACCAGTTTTCCCTACCGGCAACGATTAACGATAAATCTTCTTTCAGATTGGTAACATAGCTTTGCTAGTGTTGACGGTGTTTGGTATTGAAGGCGGGGTACTCCTGGAATCATTGAACCTGGTTGGAGCCTACGAGCTTGGCGTCGAGCTGATCGCTGGAAACTCCATTCTGTTGATCATTATAGCTATCTTCATTATATTTACCGTTTTGCTGCTGTATGGACTTCATAAGGTAAACTTATTAGTATATCTTCGTACAAAGTGTTGCTAGTATATATAATCGTAAAAGCTCTCAAATAATACATTTGTATCGTCTGTAGTTTACGCCAGTATTAAGCATTGAAGGACACTTTTATCAGTTTAAAACCGAAATAAATGAAATATCCTTAAAGTGAGTTTTAGTGTCCCGTGACTATTACTAAGCATTCTAAACGAACATTTCGCATTTCTAGTCGTTTACGTGTTGTAATGTATAACAGTTTAGCGTATACTCCCGAGTTTCGGGTACCAGAGACTGTAGTGGAGAACAGTTCCGAAAAGTATACGTGCTTGTAATTGCTAATGCTATGCTGTAGAGTTAACAGCTTAAAGGTTAAGAGGGAGGCGAAATAACCAAACCCAATGAGTGCTGTAGTGCAACTGATTTATTTCCTATTAATATCGCTTAAATATAATTTACAATAAAGTGAGAAAGTAGGATGCTTATTAAGCTAACCTTGTAAATTTGCTTTTAATAAAAACATTGATGTGAGCACGACGCTGAACGTGAGAATTATGCTAGCTATGCTATAAAATAATATTATTATAAAAATATAGTAAATTTGTACGGATGTTTGTCCGTACATCCTGCCGCCTCAGAAAAAAGGAAAAGAGCTAGCTAACATTGAAAATAGGAAATAAACTCAAATTAAGATATGTTAATGATTGGAATGTCGTTGTAAAGTTAGCAATGTTGATTATAAAAAATAAGGCTTAAAATATTTCTTCCGCTACATAAAAGTGATTTTCAAACTATACTTAAACTAGGTTGGCATGTAAAAAATTATTATGTTGTATGTTGATATGTTAAATTGATGTTTACATGATAGACAAATTATTGTATATGTAGGTTGTAAGTAAAACATGTGCACTTAAAGATAATTTAAAGTCCCTAACGAGATAGTCAATACACTAATCACTTCACTTTCACTATGGAGTAGTGGCTTCACCGGGGGCACTGGGTCCGCCGGTAACCACGGAGGAGCTGCTGACATCCGTGTACAATGGGGCACTCTCGAGCTGATGGTGTAAAAGGCATCAGATGTAGTGCGCGCTGCAGCCATGGGAAATCGATAGTCTTCGTGAATTGCCAGTTGCTTTATGGTTCGCATAGCGAGATAAGGAGCTGCCTTGTTTCCATAGGCCATAGTGGTGAGATGACGTTCCTTGAATGTATGTGCGTGTGACGGGCGCCATACTATGCGCTGCGGAGCTCGTGCGCATTTCCGGTTAAATAGTTGCCGGAACATCCTTCCAATATCAGCCGTTATCACGACCCGACACTGGCGCCAAGCAATTATAATACCTTGCGTGGTCCTGGTCCTTGAGGACGTATTGTAAACGGTTCTAAGTTTCTTGGTTGTGCAATCAGTTTCCAAGACATCGTGGGGTGGACGGTTACAGGAAATTTGTTCTTCATTACTTTCACAAAGTTCCTTATGTCCTAAATCCTTATAATTCTGCTTAAAGTTTACGCTGTTCTCTGCAAATTCTTCATTACCTTGCATCTTTCGTTTCAAATTGTTAGATCGCGTAAGAACTGTTTTTTTAGAGATTCCTAGTTTTTGCTCAAATTCAGTTTTCATAGAAATCGTGACTACATGTAAGCGCGGTTCTGTTTTTTGGTATGAGCCTTCACAAGTCTGTTCCTCTTCAGGTAATTGTAGATCTGTGTTATTATTCTTGTTTTGAATAGCTTCGGATTCCGTTATGGTTGATGAAGAGGGTGATGAAGACTTGATGACTTTTGGAATCACTATACTAGTACATGGCTCATGTAGCAGTGTATGGTGGTCGCGATGACAAATCTTGCAGCGTTCATGAGAAGTACAAGGTTCGCTGTGTTGGTAAAGACAGTTTTTACAAACTTTAAATTTCAATACGGTCTTCATTCTGTCCTGGGAAGATAATTTTTCAAATTTTGGGCAGTAGTGTAGATAATGCTCTTGATAACATAATAGACACTTTGAAGCACAAGTGGCTAAAGTTTGATATTCTCTTCTGTATGTTGGTTCAATGTTAAATATTTTAGGTGGAGAGCAAATGTTCTGATGCGGCATATCTTTCTCTTGAGAAACTGGCTCAAATGCGATATACCTTTTTCCGGTGAAAACAGGAATTTGTATGTTCGGCGTAGATGGCTGTTGGTGTATACCGGATGCTAGATGACGATGGAGAGCCCTGATTGTATCCTTGTATAATTTTTCATTGTGTTCAAATTCCTGCTCATACAATATATTCGACCCTTGGAGTATATGATCAATTTTTAAGTGAAGCGAGTCGATTGTATCCCAACGATTTTGGACGTTACGTATCTCATATTCCAGTTCCCATTCTTCAGAGATGTTGTCGATGTCTAAATTACTCATCAATCTTGTAAAGGCTCTGAAGTTGGTGCGTTGTAGACTTAAATAATTTGCCGCCTCGTCTGATAGCGGAGCGCTGGCACCTGAAGGAACGTGGAGAAGCTTTTCCATTTGCTTGATTGTGGCTGCAGCTATAGACGGTGTGCCCTTACTGTTCGGCGCCCGACGATACCGCAACACACACAATAGAGTTAGTTAATGCGACCCGACGCGGATGCACTGTACGTTATTTGCGACGTTTCGCGACGGAACTGCTGTGGTTCCCGGGATGACTTGCTGTGGGAACTGCTGTGGTTCCTGGGATGATTCGCTGGGGGAATTGCTGTGGTTCCCGGGATGATTTGCTGTGGTTCCTGGGATGATTTGCTGTGGGAACTGCTGTGGTTCCTGGGATGATTCGCTGTGGGAACTGCTGTGGTTCCTGAGAAGATTCGCTCTGGGAACTGCTGAGGTTCCCGGGATGATTCGCTGTGGGAACTGCTGTGGTTCCCGGAATGATTTGCTGTGGGAACTGCTGTGGTTCCCGGAATGTTTTGCTGTGGGAACTGCTGTGGTTCCCGGGTTTCGGCACCAAAAACTGTAGTGTATAACAGTTTAGCGTATACTCCCGAGTTTCGGGTACCAGAGACTGTAGTGGAGAACAGTTCCGAAAAGTATACGTGCTTGTAATTGCTAATGCTATGCTGTAGAGTTAACAGCTTAAAGGTTAAGAGGGAGGCGAAATAACCAAACCCAATGAGTGCTGTAGTGCAACTGATTTATTTCCTATTAATATCGCTTAAATATAATTTACAATAAAGTGAGAAAGTAGGATGCTTATTAAGCTAACCTTGTAAATTTGCTTTTAATAAAAACATTGATGTGAGCACGACGCTGAACGTGAGAATTATGCTAGCTATGCTATAAAATAATATTATTATAAAAATATAGTAAATTTGTACGGATGTTTGTCCGTACACGTGTTCTGTTTAAATTATACGAACGAAAACAAAAACATAAGAAAAATATAGTGTCAGCCATTTCTATATCAATTTTAAATAAACGGTTAAAACGCGAATTACATTGCTTAAAATTATATTCACTTTTTTAATAAGTTACTATTATGCGTGTTTTATTTAATTGTATAATGCTTGCGTAAGCTACAAACTTAATTATATTTACAATTGACCAGACTCTACCCTGCCCGACCGAAACAAATGATTGTGTTCCCAGGATTCGAACTCTCATGCTAAACGCAAAGACAACGCATTTTAAACATATTAATGCGGCTTGTAATCTCGACCATCGCCTGTCTTTGTATTTTAATTTATCTGAAAGTTAAATAAAACACATTAACGGTTTAAAACGCGATATATTAGTTAAACTATTTGAAAATGATTTTTAACTTCGGCCCGACGTTTCGGATGCTTTGCAGCAGCTATGGTCACGTGGAGACCGTGTCTCCCCGTGACGCGTTTTAAACCGTTAAAGTGTTTTATTTAAATGTGTACTACTCGCGTAAACTATAGACAGTATCTAGTTGTTCTTATGTTATAATTATTAAGACATAAACTATTTTCCTTTATTGATAATAAATACTACTTCGTTAATGACAGTTATCATTAAATGATCGATAAACCGTACATTTTAATCGTTATTAAATGACGTACGAGTCAAAAGACCGTTTTAAATACCTAACTCTAGCTGACCTGGCAAACGATTTACCATATGTAGCAGTTCGACCAAATTGGATAATCATAGAAACGGTTCTTGTTAGTTAATCTTACTAACAAAACAGTCATACATATTCTGTCGCGTCGTGTAGCTACATTTTATTAGATTATTTAAAGAAGAATAATCTTTTATACCTCTTTTTCGGCTACCACAGCGTACGGAAACTATCAGATATTTTCATTATATAATCAACTTCCCTCGTTTTTCCACAATTTTTTCGCTCCTATTAATCGCAACGCGTTGTTTCATGGCCTAAAACCTTCTTCCTATTCGAATAGTAGTTCTCGAGATTAGCGTGTTCAAACAAACAAACGAACTCTACCGTTTTATATTTATTTATAGTATTACAGTACCGCTGTAAAAAATAAAACTAATGCCAATAGACTTAAACGCGACATTTCAGTTACTTATTTCTGTGCTCTCTTTTAAATACAAGTGACCAAAAATACGTATGAAAGAATGATTCATCTTTAATGATCTAAAAAAATGTCCATGACAGTAAATGTCTATCTTTGGCTTATCCCGTAAGAACCGTTTTGTTGACATTTGATTACCAAAATTTGGTCGAAATTAATGGATTACTACCATTTATTTTAGAAGTTAAAAATCATTTTCAAATAAGTTTAACTAATATATCGCGTTTTAAAGCGTTAAAGTGTTTTATTTAAATGTGTACTACTCGCGTAAACTATAGACAGTATTTACCATTTATTTGTTAGAGTTGTACGAACATAAAAAATACAAATAACAAAACAGTTTTTCATGATCAGCTAGTAGATTACTATAATAAGGAAATGTTTATTTGGCAATTTACAGAATAGAAGGAGTTTCATCAAGGCGTATTTGATATATTCAGGAATTTTCATAATAATATACGCTATTATATTCTTCGTCGCTTTGGGTAATGGAAGAACGGGTGCGGCTGATATAGCTGAAAATGTTATTACATTGCGTAAGTTATTTATCACCTATAAAGATATATGTTTATTACCTATATATAAGGTACATGAATGAAATAAAACGGTTTGAACCGCGAAATATATGAAACTTGTTTACAAATTTAACTACGGCCCGAACCAGCTTATCAAGCAAACCGTGCTTATTACCATCCAAATCTTTATCAACACGGATTATTTCTTTTTATCAAATTATGTGCAAGACCTGAAATCGAACTGCCGACCTTATAGATACCACTATGACCACACTAAGCAGCGAAAGCAACTTCTCTCTGTAAGTGACTGTATTTTTTTTCAGTTCTCAGCATTTACTTCATTCTGGTGATTAAAAGCTACTACGACTCCGTGCAAGTCCAGGATGTGCAGGTCGCCTATCGGCCATAATGTGCCGATATCAATCAAGTTTCGTTGCTGAGATAACTTCAAAATGTAACATAAGAAACAATTATTATCTTCAGATTTTATAATGTATGACATAATTACTTAGATATATTTAAATAAAACAGTTTCACGGTTTAAAACGCGATATATATTAGTTAAACTTATTTGGAAATTATTGCCTGCTGCAAAGCATCCGAAACGTCGGGCCGTAGTTAAAATAATTTTCAGATAACTTAATATTTATCGCGTTTTAAACCGTTAGTTTTTTATTTAAATGTATACTACTCGCGTAAACATCAGACAGTATTTACCTAGATATATGTTTATTCTATTTTTTAGCTACGTACAAATAAAAGATTGTGTTACAGAAGTCGTTTATTTTCTAAACATTAAAAGTGTAATGCAAATTATAACTTACATACAATATGATAAAGAGATTTTTTCATTTAAAATGGAGGAGATATAACAGAGCATTAATTTAAAAAAAAATTAAGCGGAGAACAGACTAGCGCGTATATAACCAACGTAATTATAAAAATAAATTGCAGACAAAAATAGAGACATTATACTTAAATATAGGGGTTAGGTATTAATCATCATCATTTTCAACCCGATTGGACCCACAGCTGGACGTAGGCCTCTCCCACAACATGCCCACTCGGCGATTAGGTTTTATAATATAATATATACTGGAGGTACCTCAGTTCAGACATACGTTTTCTAGTTCATAATATTTTTTAATATTCTGTTCCTATGTGTCCTAGCGTATGTTGAAGATAGGCCGACGAAGTACTTTATTCAGAACAGGTTATTTGATTTCATTGATTCAAAACCCAGACTTTTTGACGCCTTCACAGAGCATAGAGCAAAGTCACAGATACGGCAGAGAAGGATTTGTAGCATTTTGTAGCCTCACATTTTTATCAAGACCTGCGTGTCAGTCAAAAATTTACAGTCGTAAGCCTTTAAAAGGTTTTTAATATACTAAATAAAGATATCAAATATCACGAGTGCCATTTGACACTCGACGATACGAGAATTCTATTTGGAAACTTTGTTGAAGTCATTTTTGAATACAACACTTTTACCGAATTAAAACGCAATTTATATACTCGCTAACTAATTTATATTTGAGGCCCAATCTATCAGATGCGATGCAAAAAGTGTACTACTCGCAAAAACTAAAGGACATATTTTTGATTAAGTATTCAGTCTTTAAAAAAATTAAGAAAAACAGTAGATTTATCAACTTAAAATATACCGAACCAGTCTGTGGATTTCGTCGACAGTGTATTTTGTGTAGATATTGTATGGCGTCGTAAGGTATTTCACCTCCCATGAAGTGAAGCCATGCTTATCTGTCGTGCTCTATCATAAAAAAATACACTTGTTTATAATACAAACTGTTCCGGAGGCAAAGTTGTGTATCTGTTTTAACCTCTTAACAATGTCATCTTTGACGCAATCTCACGGACGTTTCATTCAGTCTCTTTTCATCCCTAGAGCGTTTACATAGGGAGTTATAAGTTTTAATATATAAGTTTTAAGAAGACATAAAAGTAAGTCAAAATTATCTATATAAACTTTAAGTTATATATGACAATACAAGCTTCAATAAACTTCTTACGATAATTTCACTTTTTTTATTTTAAATGTTTATTACATTTTTAGGATGTTTTATTCGTCTTGCTTTTTAAGTACGAAGTTCTTGTACATTGATCTCCGTACTTAATATTATGATAAATAACCACTACGGTCGTCTTGTTCTATTGTAATGTACGTATTATTAAAAAGGTTTAAATTAATTAAATTAAAAACTGTTTACGGTTTAAAACGTTAAGTGTATCGGAATATGCAGTAACTAGTTCCAAGCAAATACCAACTACGAAGAAACAGATCTAGCGCCATCTGTAGATCGTAGTAGATTCTTTGACTTTGATATTAGGAACATCCTCAATGTCCAGATCATAGCTGCTGCAAAACATCCAAGACATCGGGCCGGAGTTAAAATATATTGTATATCAGTTTAACTATTACATTTGCCGTATTAAACCGCTGAAAAGTGCTTTATTTAAATGTACAACTCGCGTAATCTTCAGGCAATACTTTAGTTTGAATGTTATTTAATATTCCAGAATGGGCTTACCACGTTTGCAAAGATGTTGCTTTTTGTTCGATTTAATGACTGGCAACATCATTATGGGCTGTTTAAGTGCGGTAAGCAATTACAATACAAAGATGGAAAAGTTTATCTAAAAGAGGTCCAATAAACTTTTATCAAAATAACGTCAAGGCGCTTTTCTCTGAAGGCCCTTGGGAGACACCTACGGTAAAACAGACACATTTCTGACTCCGTTAAATAAAACGGACATATTCAATAAATATATTTTAATGTACAAGTGCAGAGATGTGCAGAGATATGCAAATGTTTTCCCTGTTTTCAGTTCCTGTCACTCACGATGGTCATAATATTAATCGTAGAAGCATGTACATTAGAACCTTATAAAAAAGAAGCGATAGAGGACGATGACCTAAACGCGGAAGCAGCTGTAACCGGCCTATATGCCATGACAATTATTCTAATGGTGATGTTCTTCGCCAAACTGTGCTTTGATATCTTCTTTATATATGGCGTTATAACAGTAAGTACATATTATATACTTTGTCCTCATTTTCTTCACTTATACACGGGTACGGGACAAACACGTCCCAATCATTGACATATTGTATGACACTGTCTGTAGTTTACACGAGTAGTACATATTTAAATAAAACACTTTGAGATTTAAAACTACGGCTCGACGACTTAGGTGCTTTGCAGCAGTGTTGCATTCTTCCAGTCTTACGGCTGCTATAACTACAAAGCACCTGAAACGTCGGGCTGTAGTTAAAATAAATTTAAAAATATGTTTAATTATTATATATCACGTTTTAAACCGTTAAAGTGTTTTATTTAATTGTGTACTATTCGCGTCAACTACCGACAGTAACCGCAGTAGTAGAGCAATGTTTTGTACGGATTTATTATCTTTTCTTTCAGGAAAAAGCCCCAGTTATCCGAGCTTACTTCTTCATGTGGGTAGTTTTCTTTCTACTCTCAATGTTCACGTTCTCTCTCAATGCACCACATTACAATGCCGGGACTATATGCATGGAAGTGTTCTATATAAGTAAGTTGTGCGTTATCTATAGTTTATGCGAGTGTATTATACATACCTATAATAAAACAATTTTAACAGTTTGAAAAGCAAAACATATTAGTTAACCACGACTTGTAAAGCTACCGAAATACCATATCGAAGTTGTATTCTGTTTTAAACCGATTCAGTGTTTTGTTGAACTCCATAGTTTGAGTACTGTCTGTAGTGTACTAGTAGTACAAATTAAAATAAATCACTTATAACGGTAAAATACGCGAAATGTATTAGTTAAACTTATTTTAAAATTATTTTAACTACGATCTGACGTTACGCACGCTTTGCAATAACCACGGTCACGGGAGGACTCCGGAGAGTTCAAACTCTCTATGATATTCTCTATGATATGACTTTCATAAATCTGGTATAAGTTTAAATGGAGTTGTAATATTGCGTACATGTCTTGGACTGATAATATTGACTAGAGTCATTTGATAACAAAATTAGAGTATTGATCTTCTTCACAAGAAACTTTCTATCGGACTATTCTTCTTGGTCAATTTATCTTCTACGCTTAAGATACACAGCGTAATTTGTGATTGTAATATATTTTTTCAGGTTTGAATGTGTACGCAATTCTTCTGAGCAACAGCTTCTACAAAGAACTAAACTCACGAGAAGAAGTATAATATTCTTTTAAAGATTACTTATGCATATGTAATTGGTAAATTTTCTATTCCAAAAGTGCTTATCGAGAAAGTGAATTATCGTATACCCTGCGCGGGGTAGACATATTTCTGTGTCTGTTTCGCTTTTCCATTTAGTCTACGTCATATTGTAATAAGACTATCTCTAGAATTCTATTTAATGTTTTTCGGGATTCGAATTATGGACAACCTGTGCTTAGCACTATTATTAGGTAAATAGTTTAAACACTAAGTCAATTGTCATACTAATTTCTGGTTCATAATTTCAGTTGAACACCGATCCTAGCTTGGGTATGAACGAAGAAAAATACTACTAATTAATGTTATATAAAACAGAAATAATAATGGTTTCAGATTATTATAATAATTAGATAATATATACACATTGAATGTTGTAGATGCGAAAGTAATTAATTTATTGGAAAACTGTTACTTATCTAAAAGTATATGAAATGTTATGAAATAAATGTATGAACAACAAAGTTTATTCATCAACGCAATACACGCAACGGAAACCTCAAAGATGAATCATTATACTTTTTTCTCACATTTTCCTCTGTGTCTTACCTCCTATTAGTCGTAACCTGATGTTTTATATCCCAAAACCTTCCTCGATAAATGCTCTTACAAAAAGATTTTGAATGAGTAGTTCCTGAGATTAGCACGTTCAAACAAACAAACTCCTCAGCTATTAGTATTTATTTAGTATAGATTCATTGAAAAGATTGATAAGGGATGGAAAAGTTGACGCCAATCGAACAACTTGTATGTTTGTTCTTTGTAATTGTTGAAGAGATTACGTTTACTAACTCGTTTGTCATTTGTATAAGAACTCCTCCACTTTCGCCTCTGAGTGCATCACATTTGCTTCCAATGTGTAGGGACCATCTGCAAGTATTTTTTTAGTGTTAAGTGTTAATCTTATAGGCGTATGAAAAACTGAATTCACTCAAATTTGGACAAATAAAACTGTCCTTTACATTACCTATTTAATGGACAAATCTATATTTATTAACTGTATATGTGTAATGTATAAAAAACATATAAATAATTTCTAAAAAGCTTCGCGGTCATTTTGTAAAGCCTGTTCGACTAAGCTTGTCAGACCTCTGACTTGGCAGCTCAATCGCTTAGAGCAACAGCACGGAACGCTGTGGATGCCGGGTCAAGTCCTGCCTGAGTCGCTCTGATATTTGTAATCCATTTTTTAATTACATAGTGCCATCATGTACTTAAAAAATGGAAAACTTTAATATTTTTCACATGTACATGTGAAAAATATTAAAGTTTTCAAATGCGCAACTTCTCAATTACGAACTCAGTTCGAAAACCCAACAATCATATAAAAAGCTCCTTAATTCCTCTCATAAATGTTTATTTTGATACATACCATTTTTAAACCACTGATTGCGAGGAAAACCAGACTCTTCCCTTGAAGATAAAATTGCCGCTTTTAAGGCAAACGCGACACAAACGGAGAGACAAATGGCTGGTTCGGCAACACCTGTTGAGAAATTTTTGATTTCTTTAATTGTTAAGGCATTGTAATCAAGGTATACTTGTCTGTATTTTATTTTACTTTCAAATATTATAGCCGTTACTCGTAGCCATTATCTAAGTGGGGTACTTCAAGGCCGAATTTAGAGGTATGGAGATCTCAGGGTCACAGAGGAGTGAAAGCCCCTCGGCTCCAAAGTATTTGCCAAATAAAATAAACGGTGGTCCCAGTCGGGTTTTTTAGTTACTCCCGGGACGTCCTCATAGCGGTTGTCCCGGCCTTTCCTAAAATGCACCCAGCCCTGACCGCCTCTGTGGCTCAGTTAATTTAAACCATATATTGGTTTGTATAGAATAGGAAAGTTCGAATCTGGGGAAAGGGACAATTTGATTTTGTCCAGTAGGTATTCCTGACGGAGTAGAGTATACAATTGAAAAAGTACATAACTGTCTCTGGTCTAAATTAACTATTACATACATCGTGATCCCAAAGTTCCTATTTCGTTGTGATTCCTCAACAGTTTTATCCTGAAATCTATAGGTATGTCCTTTGCCAATGGTATGTGGTAGGAAGTTGCTAGATCGTTTTGTATTTCTCCAGTATCTTTATTAAACTTGATTTCTTCTGATGTCCAATACCCCAGACCCATAACGAAAGCGCCCTCTATCTGTAATTACATGCAATTTATTGTTTTCTGAGCTCTGCTAATTTAGGCCAGATGAATGTTATGTAGTTAAACTATTTAAGATAAGTATACCTTATAAATATTATGAAAAATCGATAACGGCTTATATTACTATCAGCAGATTGGCATATTAGGCTTTTCCAGATTTATAATAAAGTACATATATACATACATACATACATAACTCAAGAAAACTAAAATTACACGCGAAATCGCGTGAAACTCTTATATAAATAAATTAAAAAAAAATATGTCATTTCATTTACATAATTTCAAAGGTAAATTTTAATACTTGTTATTATACTAACAGAGTTGATTACTCAATAATTATTTATCAGATTATGATTAATCTTATCACTGTTGTTTTGTCTCTTTGTGCAAAAATAAATGTAGTCTTAACACTTTTACCGAGCTCGATTTGTGTCTTACCTGTCCAACATCAATTTCCGGATTCAAACTGGTTCCGACATCTTCAACGATATCCACTCTAAGAATTTGTGACTCCCCCGTTAATATGTCTAATTCCACTTCAGCTGCCGCCGCACCGACAGATCTATGGGCTTCCTGGTCCGCAGTTGTGACATGGTAACTAGCTTGTAAATTTACTCCCTGCTGGTATGCAGCCTGTATCAATTGCTCCCAAGTAGGATCTTCAACTCCATCTACCCTCACCGCTGATAATCGGTCTAATATAATTTGGCAGCATTTTATAGCTCCGAAACCAACGGATTGCGTCGTACGACTGGCAGCTGTGGTGAAGTTATTGGGTATAGAACTGCTCTCACATGGTCTACATTTAATTTTGCTTATAGGAATTTTAAATACGAACGCAATGGCTTGGGTTACTTTTGTATTGATGCCTTGTCCCAATTCGATTCCACCATGCTTCACTATAACAGAGCCGTCGCCGTGGTATACAGATAGACTTATATGAAAGTCTACCATGGGTGGACCAGGCCAGCTCATAGTTGCTATACGGAAGCCGCGCTTTATCCAACGGTTCTTCTTATTGAATTTTTCTACTTCTTCTTTCCTCTTATAATATTCACTGTCTTTGATTAATGTTTCTAGGACCTGGTATATTTCTTTTTCCTCTTTCTTTAAATTCTTACTTCTTACTTCTATGGGGTCCATATCTAGTTCATAAGATATCCTTTCAAATACATGCTCCGTCATGGCTATGGCTTCGAGACTTCCTGAAATATTCCATTTATATTGTTTTTGTTGTTGACTGAAGTTTACATAAAAAAGTATTAATTTATGAAGCAATAAAGTACTAAATTTAAATAGTATTTTAATTTTATTTTTTACGTCACTCATCGACTCGAGGTTAGTGGACAATCTAGAATGTGTTGCTGTTAGTCAAAATTTGTTTAACAAGACAAAAAGTGGCATAATAACATCGAAATTGATGGGTTATTCTGAATATGCGCACAAATATAAGATTATATGTCTATAACAAGTCTTACCAGGACTTCTAGCATAAGTATTAGGCGTTGTATCAGTGAATGCATAGTAGATATTACAATTCCACCTCCTGTTATTATAGCAATTTCTCATTGCCGAGACAAGTAGGAATCCTATGAAATCGCCCTGCTTGTAGCCTAAATCATCGTATATATTGTAATTCAAATATTGAATTTCTCCATCACTACTAACGGCAACCTATACAAATTAGATAACATAACTTTAATCAACTAAATTTGTTTAAAATATTAAGCTTTTATTAGTATGACAAACAATTAGTTATGGTAAAGAGGGCACATGATACAATGACTCATACCTCATATTCAAAATGTGAGGGCGTACGCTTTCCTATTATGCGCATATTTGCTTGAAAGTCCATGATGAATCTACAGGGTCTGTTCAGAAGGTATGTAACTAACGAACATGCTGTAGCTATTAACCCACTTCTGCTTATTTTACTTCCGTAGGCTCCACCACAGCGGGGGATAACCACGTTTACCCTGGTATGACAATAATAATATTATAAATATACCTATACACATTGAATGCTAATGAGAAATTTACAAAGATAAGTTCATTAGTACAGTTAGCAAATAACATAAAATATAAAAATGTATAAAGTATTCATTCATTAATATATGCTACATACAATGCAACACACCTGCTTTGTTCAATATTCAAAACATTCGCTACAACCAAATGTGACATATCCAGAAATTGAGAGGACGGAAACACATCGATACCATCTTCATTCGGCCTCGTAACACAGCTTTGTGTTTCCATCGTATAATGATACTGCCAGAAGATATCCTCGGTCCCCTTTATAACTTTATCTATATCAGCTCCAGGTGGTTCTCTTGCTGGTAAAGCAAGGAAAAGGGTTATTCGACTTGGATCTTCAGTCATTACATCACGTATGTCCAATAAGGGCTTTCTTTGTGCCTTCGTGTAGGTAACTTTTACCAGTTCAGCGGCTCTAGCTGCAAGTGCCTCTGTTTCCGCTACTATAATACCGATAGGCTGGTCGTAGAATGTTATTTTACCGTCAGACAGTAGAATTTCCCTTTGATAGCTAGTCACCGTTTCACTTATAAACGAATTCGTTCCTGGTATATCTTTCGCTGAGTAGAACGCTATGACTCCTGGTAATATCTGTAAATAAACTAAATATATAATAAAACTAAAATATTGTTTAGCGTCGAAAGAGCTGAGTGCAATTTTTGACAATTAAAATCTTAAATGGAGCCATCTCAACACAAATAGAATTTCCTAAAAAACAACAAATTCAAAAAATTAAACGCCACTAAGAAACGCTAATGACTTAAATATACATGCCACGCACTAACTATGGCACCAATTCTGTATTCTGTATGATGGTGCAGAAACCCATAATCACTTACCCAGAACTAATAAAGAAACTAAATTATACAAATTATTTAAAACATTATATTCTTAGCACCGTTAAAGATTAAATAATGCAAAAAAAAACTACAATATGCCTCTAAGTTGCACCATCTTATAATTAAGTATCTTTTATTTATTTATTAAAAAGCCGATTTAAAGCTAAGGTCGAAACCGATTGTGAAGTGTATTACTAGAAATATTTATATTTAAAATAGACCAGAGATATTTTAAACCAACTATATGTAATGTACAATATTGGTTTACGCTTAAAATGTATTTCTTGCGTAAATAAAAAATGTCTTAAACCACAAAATCTAACCTTAGAAAGCGCGTAAGTTAAAATAGTCCAAAATTTAGAATGCCGATTGAGAGTTTTTAACATTTTTTGGTCCCGGCCCGCCTTATACGTGATCTCTTCCAGGCAACCCAAGTAGAAAGCAACAAAAAACTTACAAGAGCGGGTGACGGATCGACATTCTCAAACTCCCCACTAAATATTTTTGCAGTCACAAACGCGCAGTACACCTCCTTCGGTTGCGTTTGAAGATCATCTACATACTTGGCTTCTCCAGAACACTGTATCAATGCTTCTAGCTTCGGCATTGGTTCATTTAAAGGCCATAATATAGGATTTGTATCGTAGACTTCAGTACCCTTGGAGAGCGGACGAGTTTTTCGCAAGTCTCTTGCGCCGGATGCATAGCGTTCGTTCAACTGTTTTGATGGTGTTAAGCTTAAGAGACCCTAGAAAATAAAAAGAATAATTTTTATAAGACAGTAAGACATTTTTGGAAATTATTTTAACTATACAGGTTTAACTACTAGATATCATATTATTATATTTTTTAAGTATCCAAAACGTCGGGCATTTAAAAGTAATATAATACGTGAGTATTTTTCCAATTTAAAATTAAATAAAGTTGTATAATTAAATGTAATTTTTTACATCATTTGTACATTATCAAAAAAAAATTAAACGTTAAATCTAGTAGTTACCTTATAAAATATACCCAATGCAGCCTTCTTTCTGTATTCCGGTGAATACATTGCTTTTATTTCTTCTGCGACAATTTCTTTCTCTAATATTATTAAAGCTCCCTGTAGTGTATCATTCTGAAATAAGTCCTTTCCCACAAGAAATGTTTCCGTTTTAGAAGCGTGAATGAAATCATCTGAGAGGCCGCCGTAAACAATCCGTGCTGATTTCACTGTTTTTTCATTACTATCTAGTTCATAAAGAAACGCCCCATTGATTTCAGCTATGGCGTTTTGAGAACGTGGCATGACCTAAAATTATATATAATTAATATAATCGAGTATTCAAAAATCTATGACACTAGAAAGAAAAACTAAGAATGATGTATGATCGTGCTCCAGTATATAAAGTAATTTTCTCGACAATCTTAGAGCTCTCTTTAAACGTTCATAGTGGATTTGAGTCCCACTTGAGTCAATTTTTAAGTCGTTTTAAAAATTTAAAGACGTGAAAGTGGTAAGACCTCATTCAGTTCTTTCGTTTTCAACGGTAGATCAGAAATGTTAATAAATACCTTGAAAGAGACAAAATGAAAATGCCGAGATAGCGGTGGTATTTTTATGTTGGTAATAATCTTCTTCCTCATATCTATCAATAGGAAGTCGACTGGTGTCGCCACAAGGGTTCCATCAATACTTGCTGAAATTATTGAATTCAATATTTTAAATAATAAAACTAAAACGCCATGCAAACATGTAACGATATATAAGAAGTTATTCGTGAAAGAGACAAATTTGTCTCGAACGAAATATCGTGGACTATATAGCCCTCTTTTTTGAATTTCGTGCACTATTAAAAATATTGCATATAAAGAGACTTACTTGTATGAATTGTAAAATAATTGGAGGTAACTCTTATACCACTTAGATAGTATTACCATTAAACCAAGGGAATACTTCTAGACTACTTCTGGTAATTGAAAAAACATTTTTGTGTCGGTTAGAGCATTTATCTAGAAAGGTCAAATGCGACCAAGGAACTTTGGAAAAAAACGGAGACAGTATCTTTGTGGGTTTCTGTTACGTGTGCTACGAAAACGATTCAAGATACCCCAAAATATGTATAAAAAAATAATTCCTCTTTAGACGATCTAAAAAAATGTCAGCGATAGAATATGTCTATCTTTCAAGAATAACTTGCAAGCACGGGACGCGGATGACATCGTGGGTAACAGCTTAAGTTTATAGAGTTGAGCAAGAGGTTTGCAAAAACAATCGCTCACACAGCTCGTGAATACATAATGTCACATGCCTATAGCTTTATTTACCTATAGTTATAACAGCACCAATAGCTTCTAACAATAAAAATACATCTGATGGGAATACCGGATCTCTGTGCTTCAACATTAAGTTTCCTCCTATGGTAGCAATCTGAAAAGAGAACCCAATGGTATTATTGTGGGTTAGGGATATGGAAACATGCACCAACACATAAATTTGAAATACGTAATTGCATTACTCACGTGAAGTACAGTTTGAACATCTTTACCAGTAAAGTTAAAGGAAATATATAGAATCTACTCACGTTTCTCACGGGAACATGCGCCACCAAATCTAAGTGCTCACAAACTTTATCTAAATAAGAGAAATCTTCATAATGCTCTGACGTTTTCTTGAAGATGTCAATAAGACTTGTGAGTGTTACACCGGCTCCAATCACTAAATTCTGATCTAAGTAATGTGTCTTTAACACTTCCACTGCACTTATATCTATTAGTACCTTTGGAAATTCTGGAATCGGCAGAATACCTGAAATTTTTTTATCATCTTATGCATGAGGTCGATAAGCAGTCCTTATTTGTAGGTAGCATAAGCAAACATCCCTTATCTTAGCTCGTTGGTCCAAGGATAGGAATGTATGGCTAATAACCAACGGGTCGAGGCATCGATCTCCACCGGGTTCGAGATATAATAATAATAATAAAAACTCTTTATTGCACAAACATAGACATAAGAACATAGATACTTAGAATTATAATATGTACAAAATAAAACATGTTTGTGCAAAGGCGGCCTTATCGCCTATGGCGATTTCTTCCAGGCGACATATTACAAATTTTTCAATTTATAATTTTTCTGAAACACGTTGAACTGCGTCTGCAAATCTGGATACTAAATGGATGGTAGGAGTATAGAAATTCCGTCCGGGTCACGAACCACCGCCCACAGATGAAAAAGTCATGAAGCTTAATCGCATTACTCAGTCTGTGCATTTGCGAATGTCCAAAGCCAAAATAGGTCGACATCTTGTGCAGATGCTATGGGCTATTATCTGTCCTCCTCTACCGTTAAAATTTTTTTTGATTAGATGTCGACAACATATAAAATCAAGAACTTTTATCCTTCCCAGCGCAAGAAAAACTGACCGACTTTTTTTTAATTAAAAACCTTTTAACTTTAAAAAAATAATAAAACAAAACTTTGGCATTAGATAACTTCTATATTACATCCATCTTAACATAAGTTATTAATTCTCGGCTTATTACCACACTTTATTCTATCACTACTCACCTCTTCCTGTGTTACCATTTACCAGCATATATGACTCGTGTTCATGTCGCCATATGTCAAATATATCGCTCACACCGAAAACCCTATACCACACTTTATCATCCTTCAAATGAATGGTTTTCACCTCATGATCTCTATCTGGGATGAAACACCAATCTTTGTCGCAGGGGTCACACTTTTTGTTGCATTTCTTTAAATCTTCGATATCGATTATTTTGGGTTTTGGCGCGTCACTAGCGAACGATTTGAAAGCGTCCAATATGGGTCTGTAGCCGGTGCATCTACAATTGTTACTACCAAACGAATTCTCAATTTCACACTGCGTCATTTTGTAGTCGTTGCTTTCTAATGAACTGGTAAACAATCAAATATTAAATTACTTACATTAAATTACTTTAAAAATAATTAACAAACACATTCTGCACGCCCAATTTGCTATAATGAAATTAAGAACTAAACTATAGGGTCGTATCAAAATATTATTCGCGTTCTAAACGGTTAAAATGTTTGAAAACTTTATTATTTTTTACATGTTTCACATGAAGGTACTATATAATTTAAAAATCGAACAATAATTTAAACAATTCCTCCGAAGACTCGGTAGCTCAATTGGTAGAGCAACAGCACGGAACGCTAACGATGCCGGTTCAAGTCCTGCCCGAGTCGAAATCTTTTTCAATTTATTTTCGTTAAAATGTTTTATATTATGTGGCCCCTTCAGACGCCGGGCTAACTTAAGTAAGGTTGTTTTAAATATCTCTACTAAACTTACACACTAACATTGAAATTATAATCTATACTAATATGTATATAAACCTGAGGAGTTTGTTTAATTTGATTAATGCTGTTAATTTAAATAAAACACTTTAACGGTTTAAAACGCTATATATTAGTTAAACTTATTTGGAAATGATTTTTAACTTCGGCCCGACGCTTCGGATGCTTTGCAGCAGCCGTGGTCACGGGGAGACTGTAATATATCGCGTTTTAAACCGTTAAAGTGTTTTATTTAAATGTGTACTACTCGCGTAAACTATAGACAGTATTTTATGCTGTTAATTTAAGAAATAACAAGTAAAAGTTTTAGAGTAGTTTAAAAGTCCTTTATATATTGTACTATTTTTTATGAAATTTGAAGAAAATACACCTACCTATACATATTCATGACCCACCCTGGCGAGCAATACCCACACTGTGTGCCATTGTACTCAGCCAACGTCCGCTGCAGAGGATGGTAACCCTGCCTGTCCCCAATCCCCTCTATGGTTGTGATCTCCAAATCTTGACATTGAAGAATTGTTAACAAGCACTGCAAGTTTATACTTATTATAAATACGACCTTTATATTTAGACAAGTAATCGGGATCGGTGCAACATATATTGCAATTATCCACGATGAAATAAAAGTCATGTATCTAAATCATTACTTTAAAAAAATATCGAACAGTTTTGTTGCAAATTACTTTACTAAAATTCCCTCGAGTTCCCCCCATGGACATGGTACAACGGGCGAACAAATCATCATAAGGTCCTTAAAATATCAATTTTATTCACCAGTAAGGTGTTGGTCTCAACATTTGTTAGTTTAAACATTGAGCTATAAAAGGGATCTTATTGTAGCCAATAAAATATTTAACAAACAAAACAACGTACAAAAAAATATTTAATAATCCAATTATTTTTCAAATTACAATGGGCGGTGCCTTAATTCTATGCCTTACTGAATTGACAGAATATGTCCTTCTATATCCATCATGGTCAGACGCTGTCGCAGCCACTATGCAGGTCCCACACGTTCCTACCTTGCACATGAGTTTCGTTCCACGAAGATTCAAACGTTTACGGAGGAAATCGTTAAGCGTTTCGTCCGAATCCACTTCAGATCCAGCTGAAATACACCAGGAGATATTTAGCAAGGATATAAAAGGACCACCGACCATATGTCGTAAACGTGACATAAACCTTATCGTCTTTGGAATGTCTAAAGTTTATCCTTAAAGAATTCAGCATCTAGGAGTTGAGCCTTATAAATGAATCGTTTTATCACCAGCTCTTCATCACCATCACCACTATTGCATTGATGGTGACAAGTCATCAATTTATTTTTCTTTTTAGTCGTTCGTCTTGTCACAATGTTTGTCTATCGACATATTGTGTTGAACTCGATCAGGGATCAAAACTTGACCTGCTAATCTCGACATTCTACTGACGAAGAATCTCTTCTACTTCTATTCTCTTATTACATTACATTATTCGACGGTTTGATCTAATGTATAGCTAATAATCAATCCGTCGTGAGTTGAATCCCCACAGAGTCCTAAATGTTTCAAACTTTTCAATTTATAATTTATTTGAAACATGGACTTCGTCTGGAATATTGAAATTCCGTTCTTATGACGATCCACCACCTACAGGTGAAACAGCTCTACAGCGCTTCCTGTTTAATTGTTATATGGCTGGGATATTTTACCTTCCATCAAGTGATTCCCGTTCTAGTCTATATTCCTCTACTGAAGTAACAAATTGCGAATTGATTAACACTGAATAAAATGTACCGTTAGTCAATCCATAAAAAAACGTAACGTACTTGTACTAAGTAAATGCTTGCCCCATGCTAGTCGTTCCCCTCTACCTATATTAAAAAAAACATCGTACCATAGAAATTACTTACCCGAAAACAATTCGCCGTTAACCCAAAATGTAATGCGATCCATCATCACCTACAAAAACTACTGAAACATTTGATCGACATTAATATTTCAGTGAGGATAGATTCGTTACATGTTGCGAAAATGCGTTTACGGATGTAACGGTGTTCAATAAAATTTGACTGTTTGAAAAAGGCCTGGTATTTTTTTGTATATACATTATATATATATATGGTTCACTTGAATGTATGTAATATATCTGAGTTGTATAACATCTAAATGAGATGTAAAGCAAGTTATTTCAGCTTTTGGCAGAAATCAGCAGGCTGAATCTAAAACGTGGATTTGGCAGGACCAGATTTCTTCAGACCAGGTGTTACAGGTTTTGGAAAACTATATAGGTTGATTTTGTTGATTTTAGATGCATAACAGATACATTCGGCCAAGGAGCTCAACAAAAGTTTTCCTATGTTTGCAAATTTAATAAAGCTATTTTGACAAAGCATAAAAATCATTATATTTAAATAAAACACTTTAACGGTTTAAAACGCGATATATTCGTTAAACTTATTTGAAAATGATTTTTAACGTTTAAAAACTTTATTTCGTAGGACTCGGTAGCTCAATTGGTAGAGCAACAGCACGGAACGCTGACGATGCCGGTTCAAGTTAATAAAAACCATTTTTAACAATTGACTACAACAATAATGATTTAATTACCTTATCACAGTTACAACACTTTACTTGATAATCCGGTAACGTTTTACATCAATTAATTCCATTGTAGACTTTTTGCGTGTAACATTGGAATTTAATTAAGGGTTTAAGACTAACAATTTTCTTGTCTCACAAAACCTACAAAATTATGAAACTTTTTTTTATTAGCACAAGAAAACAACAAAAATTACAGCAACTAACCTATTGGGCAACCCCCATGGTTCAATGGTAGCAATGTACATTGAGGGGGTCCTACAAAGTCATCCATCTAAATTCTTATCTGAAAATCAAGACATAAAATTACGAGCAAACGTGCACGGATAAAAAAACAGTGAAGTTTAAATTTATGCGTTCCTGCATCAGTCTGTGGATTTCTGAATATCCAAAGCAAAAATAGGTCAATAGCACATCGTGTTGAGATGTTATATGAAGCTGGGGTATTTCACAAACATTAAGTAAACCTAATAATAATCTATATTCCTCTGTTGAAATAAAAATGGCGAATTGATTAAAGTTGAATACAATGTAACGTTAATCAATTCATAAGAACGTAACGTACCAATTAGAGTGTCGAAGATTGAGCAATTATTTGCTGTCGGTTGCGTGTTTCGATTTTAATTTTTTTCTATTACAAATTAAAATGTTTCTTATTAAACTAATAAGCTCGTTTCTAATGTAACACTAAGTTTTATAATGCAAGGGTACTTAGGAGCCTAATGTATACTTCCTTTAACAATTTTTTTTTTAAACTTTAACAAATAATATTACTTGATCGTTAAAAAACCTATGATTGAGTCCTACACGTTATAATAAATGGTAATATAAAAATAAAACCGGCTACTTGTGAGTCGTAATTTCACGTAAGGGCTGCGCACTAATGTTTAGGTACAAAGGTTTAAATCTTTCTTTTACACTCGGTAGCTTAATTGGTAGAGCAACAGCATGGAGACGGTGACGATTCCGGTTCAATTCCTGCCCCAATCCGAATTTTTTTTTCAAAAAAATTAAAATCTTTCTTTTAGTTATTGTATGGATTGAATTGATTTAGTAACTGATTATCCAGATTTATAGGTTTTAGAGAAAATCACCACTGCCCTTTGATAAGCAATTGCTATCATTGAACCAATAAAACCGTTTTAAATTGTATAAACTGTTGCATCACTTTAATTAAGAAACTTGGGTGCACTTTTAATGTAATTACTGATTAGAATAATTGCTCTGCAGCGTGTCACCAATCTTATCAATGAATTTATTCCCACAGCTAATTTACTTTATTGAATTTTGTAATAAATAAAGATATTGTAAAAATAAATATAAAGATATTGTAAATAGAAATAGATAGATAAATTGAATTCGAATTTGTATAATCTTGGCCATTATCTGTCATTAAATGACAATTTCGAAAACGTCTATTTATTTATTTATCAAATTAATTCGTTGTTAAGAATAGGAAAAATTTTACAGAATTTTAACTCAGCTGTCAAAAATCTACGCTAGAACCCCCTCTGCACTCAGAAAACACTAAACGGTTGGAAACGCGAAATATATATGTATATTAGTTAACTGTATATAACTACGGCACAACGCTGTTGAGGAGGACACAATGTGGAGGGGCAACGCAGAATAATTCGCATTTAAAACCGTTAAGTGTTTCAATTACTCACTTAAAATAGTCGACTGCTTTTCATATCTCACCGTATAATACCTAGAAATAGCGTAGCTTAGCGATAGTCTATTTAAATATACAAGGTCTGTAGTACGCAGTTGAATGCCAAAACTAAACTACTCTAACGTCCGGATTGCGACATTTTGATAATTAGTCAACACGTTCAACATTATCTGGGTTTTATATGCAGTGAACGCGAGCTTTACACGTTAATAAAACACTTTTGACTGTTTAAAACAAACACTATTTTAGTAATCTTAGTTACGATAGTACATCTAACGCGTTTAAAAACGTTCTAAATAGGACATTTTTTAATTTAATTTCATCGAAAAATGTGAAGAAAACATATATGTAATCACACTAAAAAGTTCTCTAGTTTCTTTAACTTTTGTTTGATTTAATGAAAAATATAAATAAACATTTAGTAAATTTAAAGATTATGTTCACGGCATGCTAGTGAATAATGAACTATGTCGCTAATAAATAAACATTTATATATATTATTTAAGTTAACATCTATAGTTAAATACAAAGCTGAAGAGTTTGTTTGAACGCGCTAATCTCAGGAACTACTGGTTCGAATTCAAAAAATATTTTTGTGTTAGTTAGAGCATTTATTGAGAAAGGCTATAGGCTAAAACATAGCGCTGTGATTAATAGCAGCGAAGAAACAGCGGGAATTGTCGAAAAAACTGAGAAAATTATTTAAATTTTGTTGTGTGGTTTCCGTTCCGTACGCTGCGATAACGGTTCAAGATACCCAAAAATATGTATGAAAGAATTATTCCTCTTTAAATTATCTAATAAAAAGCCTGCGACAATATAGTTCTATCTTTTAAGATTAACTTCCATGAGACGGGACGGGGACGACCTCTTAAAAAACAACCCAAATTTTAAAGGTTGAACAAAGGGTTTGCAAAACCAAAAAATTGATATCCAAAATAATTATTCTACGGATACGAAGTCGCGGCACTCAGCCAGTAAGTCAAATAAAGTTCATTTATTATTGATTATTATTTTAGCTAGTAAATTTGAGACGACATCCATGCGTATCATTAAAACAGCCATTACACCCGATAAACTAAGGGAAGTGTATAATTAACGTTAGTCAAACCATTATTAAAATCCACATAACACCCCAATTAATTAAATTTATTTATGGTGTTGCCCTCCTCCGCTCTACATTATCTCTGCCCATCTTTCAGCGTTCAGTTCTCTTCCTGTGACTATTGGAAACATACATCTACTACAAAGCCATATGTTAATTTAGACAAGCTAAATTAAAAATGACAGATTGCCGCGTTAATCCATTGTCGTTTTAATGTCCCTGCAATGAATAGTACATTGAAAACTAGTGACGTGTTGTTCGTGTTTTGGACAGTAGGCATACCTGTATCGACGTTATGTGTCCTAGTGCAGTGTGTTTTGTTTATTCTCATCCCGAAGTGCAGGAAAATAGACGAAATTATCTTCAGCCAAATGTCGTTGGCCCGTCTAGTGAATACATCCACTGAGTTCGTTGTCATCTTCTACAATCGTAACCATTATCTTCTTAACAGTTTCGTGCACGTCGTGTACACACATTCGGACATAGTGCTTCTAATTCTAATGCTTCTTCTATCTAAGCATTTATACAATAAGATTGTTATCGTTTTCTCCACGACTATCGACAATTTCAATTGGTTATTGATCGGCGTGTGGGCCTTGCCGCTACCGTTCGCTGTTCTCTTTCCCATATTGTTAAATTATAATACGAAATACTTCGATAAGTACTACAGTGTGTACACGCATATAAAATTCGTTATTTTAATTATAAATCTAGCTGTTTTTATTATTATTTTCTATGTTATTTATACAAGAGGACTCAAATCGAACAGGAATCTGCGTGATAACATCAAAACAGCTGTCGTTGCGTTCGTGTTGATTACGATGACTAGTTTGCAAGTGTTGATTACGGATTTGATTTCGTTCTATCACGAGGTAATTAGGAATAATATATTGATACTGTGTTTCTGTGTTCTCAATTCGTACCAGGTTGTGATAATCACGGTTATGTTTGTGACAGTTGCGCGGAGAAAAGTTGCGCGCTCCAGTTTGTTCAGGTCGTCTGTGATGAGATTGAGAAATTTGACGATTACTACCACGGGGAATGATACTTCGTGATACTGTTTATTTTTTCTACTGTGTAAGTGTAATTCGTATTGTAACGTCATTTAATTACTAGAGATGCGTCCGTGCGGCAATAAGAATGTGTATTTTTCTGCAGTAAATACGACAGCACATCTAATAAAATATCTTGTACAGCTGCTGCTGCTAGATTATCCAAATCAATCGGGTCGTAATACATTTTTTTAATTAATTAATAATAAAAAATGTAATTAAATAAGTAAATGTAAGTTTAGTAACTAAGTTAAGCATTTCATATTTTATTCCATTATTTAGTTTTGTATGTTATACAATTTCTTAGTGTCGTATCTATAGCCAAATGAAAAAAAAACCTCCTCATAATATAAGGCAAATATTGCTATATACAAAATGTCTAATCTTTGCGAATTTCAAACTGCAAACACTTGGAAATGTAAAGTTTATAAAATAAATGTCTTTTGAATTTAGAATATTTTATTAAATTTAAAGAAACAAAATGGCGTTGTTTTTTCATTACGATAATCCCTTTCGTATCTCTTTATAGAAAATATGACGTACGGACAAAGCTCCAAACTGTATATTCATTTAAATAAGTTTTCATAAATAAATCAGGCTTATTGTAAAATTTATTACACACATTAAATATAACATCTTTTCTAAAAGCAAATCAATCTAATACTGTTTTGGCTACGCAACTGAAATATTTTCACAATGATAAATGCATACGTAACAATATGGGATGTCTGTATTTAGGAAGTTACAAATATTTTATTTTAAATATCGCCCCGTAACTTAAATTAAAACTAAGTAAAAATTGAATATCTAAATAAATTACATGTTCATTTTGCAAAAAAACATTAATTGTGGAAAAATGAGGAATCAAAGTGTTATACTGTGCATTATTAACGGTCTATAATATATATAAATTAATAAATTTTATCAATTTAAGTAAAGTCGTTATCGCGTAAAAAGTAAACTTCCAAAACACTTACGAATTTTTATATGGAAACGATGGAGCGTAGTCACACTTGTATACAACGCTTTATAAATTAAAAATCAATTGTATAAATTAAAAAACGGCATGGGCAGGACTCGAACCGGCATCCACAGCGATCGCTCAATTGCTTAACTTTATCACTTTATTATAGGCACAATTAAACGACAGATATAAAGGATCGGAGTCCCGCCCGTGTTTTCATGTTCGTCTTTTTATCCCTTAAAGTTTTTTATACACTTTATCAGGAATCGAAGCCCCGACCTCATATTTAACACTTCTTCTAAGTAGAGATAGATCGACTGTAAACTGAAAACGAGCGGCGCCACGGTTCAGCACAGTCTCATAATATCCGAAGCAATCAAATTCTCGATTAAATAAATGACGTCTGCAAGGCCAGGGCCAAACGACGCCAGTCTGCCCACTGCCGCAGTCTGCGCTAGTGCTGCTCTATATTTAACGCAGTCCGTGGGAATTGTGCGCGAAAAACTGTGGAAAATGTGATACAATTCACAAGGTAAGTTGTTATTTTATTCTTTTAAGTACGACGTTTAATTGTTGGTATTATTTTATATTTGAGGTTATAAATTGGATGTTTCATGTATTTGAGCTAATTTTAAGTACATGAATCGACGAAAACTGTTTTATTAATAAACCAAGGAGTTTTTGAATTACGTGTCCAGTACAGCTGTGTTAATATTGCTTGTATATAACAAGCGGGTTAGATTACAAATTTATGATTATTCATTAATATAAAAGTGAGACTAAAAATTGTGGAACTGAACGATGAAAGTCAAACTATTATTATTTTATAACCAGATAAAACAATAACTTGTTGTTGTGTTGTTGTATATACTTTAATAAGAGGGTAAGCTGCTTCGTAACGTAACGCGTTACGGCGCCAGTCTATCGTGTGTCTCGTGACGTACGTTTTATTTTTGCATAATCGAAGGCTTTTAAATTGTATAATGCCTTCATGTGCAATAACATGTGAAAAATATTAAAGTTTTCAAACGGTTTTTAATGCTGTTTTTTATTAAAACTTGTTATTTAATAAACCAGGCAGCAAGTTGTATTTTTTTGTTAGAACAAAATGAAAAATTACACTAACATTATAAAAACTACCATTACTTAGCCATTAGGCACGTATTTTGGTCAGACGCAAAAACAATATTTACATTTATTCCATATATTCAACGTCAGACGCGTCCCACGCGTATAATGAGGTCGAATATTTTCGACTTTTACGAGATACGTGCTTGCTCCAGAAAGGGGATTAATATGAAAGATGGCCTGAGCAAGAAGCTGGGAAAAAATGTTTGCTTATGAAAGTAAATAAATAAAGAAAATAAACAAACTTGTGTCTTAGATTTTAATTATTTATTTGAAAATGAAATAAAGAAAAACGATAACTTACGCTTATAGGGAAACACGAAATAATTATAGAAGCTATGCTTATATGGAAACTCTTAACGGGTACAAAACTGTGTCTTGATCACATTTCCAGCTTAAAAGGATACATAAATTTGTTTAGGTACTCGTATTTTAAATCGAAGTGGAAAATGGATACAGTTTTCAATTCCTTCTGAATTTGAAATACAATTTACAGCCGAAAATGTAAAATACCCATCAGGTCCTTATAACGTTTCAGGAAAAATGGGTCTACCAATGCTACGGCACTGTTGCGGCTGCCTTTCCTTAGAAAGAGGCTGTTTGCTGCTTGCTGTTATTTCGACTGTAAGTCTTATATACTAATACTAAAGTAAATATCATCAGCCGGCGTCTCCCCCAGGCCTCTCCCAAACACCACTCGGCTATCACCAAATCTGGTGCCGGGTTTTTTTAGTCATGTCTGCTGCTCGGTCGTGATACACTGCCATTCTAATACATTGCGGATGTAAGAACCATCTCCTTCTTCAGACTAGACCAGATCTTTGCCACTACTACACTCACATGTATTTAGAAGGAGCTACAGTCCTGGGGGGCTATTGTCAAAAACAATCTTTTGTCACTCTTGATTAATACAAATCTGATATCAATTATATCTTGTATGAGCGTTAATAATGACAATATTATCACCGGTGTTGCAATTGAATTAAGTTTTATTTCATGATTATTTTTCTCTAAGACTATCGACAAATGAAAATGTGCTTCAAACTTTAAATTCAATGTTAAATCGACGTTCAGTTATTAGAGCATGAGCATGGAGTGCTCATGATTTCGAGTCCTACCCTCATCATCGATTTATATAAATAACATTTAAAATAGCCTCTTACTCAAACACTGTCTATAGTTTACGAGAGTAGTACACATTTAAATAAAACACTTTAACGGTTTAAAACGCGGTATATTATATTAGTTAAACTAATATATCGCGTTTTAAACCGTTAAAGTGTTTTATTTAAAAGCATCTTACTCTTTCAGTTGGCCTGCATTTTGAATATCATTGCGGGATCATGGAACCTTCCAAACCACAAAACCAGGGAACAGGAAGACAACCTCATCTCCATGACAATGGTCATGTTCTCCACTCTATCCGCTATCAGCAATATCATAGTCCTCTTCGGCATATGCAGAGTGAGTAGCTGTGTAATCTAGCAGTTTAGGCACTTCAGTGAAACAAACATACAATCGAAATTATTAATTACACTTTTGTCGCATTTAGCTAATTACAAGATGACATTTATGACGGACTAGTTAGAGTAATGGTAGCAATGAAACGCTAACAACCGATGGGTCGTCGGTTCGACCTCTAGCGGGTCCAACATTATTCTAATCAATTCATATTTATTGTGAAACTTTTTGGACTTCGCCTGAAAATCTGAATATTAAATGGGTGCTAGGAATATCGAAATTACGTCCGGGTCACGAACCACCGTCCACAGACGAAAAAGCTGTGAAGTTTAATCGCTTTTCGGTTTCAGTTCGTGGATTTACGAATATCGAAAACGTAACTAGAGTATTTCAACTACCATTGAGTTGCTTGTCTGTCCTATTCTATAAAAAAAATATATTGCATGGGGTTTGGGGCACATATTTCAACGTCTATCTCATTGATTTAAGGAAATCTGACAAGTAAGCCCTGCCACCAACCCTTCTTGCAATTAAATTAAACTGTTCTGTCCTTCTTTTTATATAGGATTGTTTGATAGAGACTATATTGGTGGCTTTGCTTCTTCCAGAGACGGCCGAACTACCTTCAGCTATCCTTGCTATTCAACTCTGTCTTCATTCTTTGCATCTTCTTGGTGGCGACAGTGACGTCTCTCTTCAGCCCCGAGTTCAGCCCCTATGTGGAAACGCCAGCTGGTGTTGCTCTGGTTGTTATAGCAATTATAGTTGGAGCTTGTAAGTACATCCAAGCCTTAATTTTTCTTCGACTACCTTTTAACAAGACGTATAGGTACCAGTAAAACTTCAGGTATTTTTGTTTCTGGTTAAAAAGGTTTTGCTTTTTTGATAAATAAGGGACGGGGAGACGAAGGGGTAGCTGCCTTACCCCGTCCATTCTGGATACGAGTACAAATTAGCTTGAATGGAATTAACAGTATTTACATGCTAAAGTGTTAATGTATAAATAATACATGAAACTGATTGTTTACATTCTTAATTGATTCGATTTAAAATGTACTATTAACGGTTTAAATAAAACATTTTTAAAGATTGAAAATGTGAAATATATTACTTAACATATTTAGAATTTATATTCACTATCGCCATACGTTTCGGATGCTTTGCAACACGTTTAAAACAGTTAAAAGGGTCCTATTTAATTTACGAGTAAACAGCAAACAACTCTATCGGTTTATAATATTCTAATTGTGTACCTATTCGTGCATAAAATCAGCGGATAGACCTATATATAATGATTTCTGAAAATGATGTATTTCTTATTCTTGTTTCTAAATATAAGAAAACGTTTTCCTCTGTCTGTTTGTCAAAATTGTATTTTAAAACTGTTCGGCAAATTTAATCACGACTTGGCAGAAAAAAAAGAAAAGTTTAGTATAATATTTTAATTTTAATTAAATTGTGATGGTAATATACTAAAATTGTATCGTCTTTTGTTTCAGTATATTCGTTATACTACTTGATTGTAGTGAATAGTTTGTACAGAAAAATGAAGATGTCGTACAGCGAAACAGCTCTACCAATGTAAGGAAAAGATTAATATATGAAGTGAACGATCGAAAATACTGGTGATATTATGACCCAGGGGCTATACTCTAAATGCTAAGGAGGGGTTTGAACCTTTGTGTAAATAACACAAGTATTGAAGTGGAATATAAAATATTAATGAAATAAAACAATGTTTACTGACCAAAATATAATGTATTACTTTTTTTATTACAAGGAAAGAAAAATAATAGTCGACTGTGCCTTGTAATTTTGCAAATCCTTTATAAATAAATATATTAATGAATATTATGTATTATAACTGTTCGCTTATACTTATTCTTACATTAGTAGAAAACTTCTATAAAGTAAATACTTATACATATATGTAGTAGAAATTACCGAAATGACTGCATACACAAATAATATCAGACACATGGTTTTCTTAGAAAAAAATATTTAATTTTATGTCGCCGATAGTCACTATCGGACGCACTTCATGAGTTTTAAAAGTTAGTTAACCGCGAACCCTAACGATTTCGAATAAAATACTTTAAAAACTTTGTTAGACGACAATAAAAAAGACAGTCGTCAAATTAAACATCAACAAACTTCTTGAAAGGGCAAAGTTAAAGACAATCCGTTTTTTATATTGTTTATTACACTTCATATAACAAAGCATTGTACATCGATCACAAACATCTAAACAATCAATAAAAATACAAGTTTGTAAATAATTAGGACAACATTTAAAGCATTTAATTGATTTTAAATATAATATTATTTGGATTTTCGGGGTCTATTCGAATAGCGTTTATTGTAAATAGAGAGAAAAATACACTGCTTTTGGGAACTCCATAGAAATATTTAGTTATTTTATTTGGGAAATTCTTGACTTGCGTACGAAAAGCCTGTTATATATATATTTATTTTAAATATTTAGTAAGTACGATACTGAATATGAATTAGAGAGCTTAACACAGGTTTACTTAGAGGTAAAGCTCTGAACACTGTAGTCGTGATTCGTCCCGCCTGTATGTAAGATTGATTTTTCACGTACAAAATCACGCATTTTATAAAAAAGTTCTGTGATATAATACAAAAAATAAAAAATACTTGTCTTGATTTTTATGAAGGTTTATAGTTAATATATATCTATAGCGATACGAATAGACCCCTGAATTGTAAATAACTTCTAACAAGTATCTAAAAGATATACATTCATAGAAAAGGGATAGCAATAGGATATATTAAAACACGGAGACAGATATAGTATTAGTTCTATATAACTTTACGCTGACGGTTTTTGTATCTTGAGACACGAATGTGAATATTTATAAGTTTGTAGGATCAATGTTTAAAACATTAGTTAATCTGTTTAACAATATGCCTGCAAACTTTTTATAGTGTTTTGTAGTTCACACATTATAAGGATTCCGTAAGAATCAACTCTACCATTCACTAATTCTCTCAGGTGTGTGTTTCTATGGCAACGTTAAAACAAGTGTCATTTTTACGATACGGAACCCTGCTTTCGAGAATCCACCTAGCACTTTAAAATTTACAGATCGAGTTGTAGTTAAATCCGTTACACCACGAAACACATTCGCATCTCAGGAACTATGGACTAGTTAAAGCGAAGGACGTTTTATTGTCGTAATTTCCTACACAACAATTATGGCACACAATCGTTTGAAGCTGAGTCCACGACTTGTTGATCTGTCTGTTATCTTTTTTTTAATAGTACAACTTTTTTAAGTTACTTAAATGACTTTTTAGTTTGTTTACGTATATTTTGACATTTAATTTTCTTATGACAGAGGACAGACAAGCACGAGGATCACACATCTAAACAAGTTGTGCTGTCGGCTTATTTTCGGATATGAACATACGGAAATCCACTGACTGGCAAAACGCAGATTTACACCTTCATCTGCGGCCTGAGTGGAATTTCAAGATCCCAAATACCAATATCAATATCGAGGTGTTTCAGACAGAGTCTATGTTTCAGGAATTTTAAATTGAATTTAAGAACCATGTTGGACTCGTTATGAATCGACGACCCGCTGATTACAAGCCATACATTGCTACCATTAAACCGACAAGCCCATCAACCAAGAACTGTTTAATATTAACCCACACTGTCCAAAAATATATTATTATACTAACCGTATAATTTTAAGTACACACGTAAAATGTTAAGTAATTGTAATATGATTATAAAATATGGAATTATTGTGAACCTCCAAACTCATATGACTGTATTTTTATAATAATTATATATATAAAATTATATTAAGACATTATTTGCTCCCTGTAAAATCACTGTAGAATATAAAAAAATAATTTGTGGACCCAATATGGTTTAAAGACTTGAAAGTTTAAACAATGTTTTCTATACATAGACATCTTGTATAATATTTTACACACACATTAATTATACATAGTTATTGTGTAGTATTTGCACTACACATAGTTGACATACAAATTATATTAAACCATTATGGTAATCGAAAACCTTTGAAACATTACGTTACCTTTTCAAAATCCATTTTTAATAAAAACGTTGCTTTACTAAAATTTACTTAATGTAACAATATTGTCATTTCGATATGTTATTTAGATATTAAACAATTTGATATGTCACACTTATATAAACGAAATTTTAATATATTAAATTAAATGTTTAACAATTAAAATATCTTCCACAATAAAGAGATTCAAATTCAGCTCAAGATCTCGTAATACTAATTCAACAATTAATTACAATATTGGAAGACTATTAATCAATTTACGATTATTTAATACTTTTTAGCCATTGATAATTTTGTGTACAAGAAATAAAAACATTGCTTGATTATATGTCAAACTGTTTGACGTTTCCTTATCTCAAAGTTTATTGCGTTCGCCAACAACTGTCAATTGTGAATTTCTACCGTCCACTAAAGATGCATGAATTTTTCATAGGCTCGCACATATGCTTAGAAAACCAGACCCCATGAGAAACTTAAACCTTGTGTGGGCATTGTTATGCCATTATGACAATAACATGGAAAACTGCAGAAAATATGGCTGTACCTAAAATGACTTTTATGATGATTAAGTAAGGAACTCACCATTTTTTTTAAATCTTAGTAACATATTTAACCAAAGCAGCGTTCTTCGAATCACGTTATTATTTGTGTATTTTTCGTTGCATGATTATCGTTACATTTTTGAGGAACTCTGTTAGATTGCACAACGTAATGTCACAACCAGATAAATATATAAATAACGTGTAGAATGTCATAAATAGCTTTTTCTTATATTATTCATTACTGTTTTTGTGACTATTAAAGCTGAAAACGCGTTTGCTATTTATGATTTAAGTTTTTTTTTAAGCTATTAGTAAATGCCGATAAAACGTTCGACCTTTTCAAATCACACAGATTAGCTAAGACCTCTTCCCTTAAATACTGTCTGCAGTTTACGCGAGTAGTACACATTTAAACACTTTAACGGTTTAAAACGCGATATATATTTGTTAAACTTATTTGGAAATTATTTTTACTACGGCCCGACGGATTTTAGTTTAATGCTAAACCACGCAAACCATCGCTTCTAAATTAGTTATAATAGCAACACCGAGGGCCAACGATTTTCCAAGCTCTAGCCAGATATTTCATGATCTAAAAAAATTACCAAATACCGTAATGACCGACTACTACCTGCTAGCTTTCGAACCTGGAACGACGAAGTGCACGGTACGGATTCAACATATATAATTATTAGTACACCATATAATACAAATATAATAGTACTATTATACAGTTTTCAGTTTACTACCTACTCTTTCTGTGCGTTGTGACACGAGCTATTTTCAGGAGACACCAATCTTGTCACATGACCGAATCACTTACTTTAGCTATATAGTTCTTTATTCCTGCGAAACACGTCTACTCTTAAGAAAGATCAAACGACAAGATCCCTGTCTTCTGTTTCATTTCTTTATATAATATGTAACAAATGAAAGGTTTAACGTAAGTCATAATCTGTTTCGACTGTCCTACCTTATTGTTTTCTACCATGTAATTACAGAACCCCGTCTTCGTTGATTGATAGCAGATAACTGCGGATGACTATGATGAAGTAGAAGTTCTCAGCTGAAATTAAAAATGGAAGGGATTAATCTTTTAGAATGAGACACAAACAAAAACATTCTTATTTTTATATAAATATCTAAAAAAAAATTTTTTGAGATATTTTTTTACATTTGTGAGCTGTTTAGTTCTGGTCGAAACATTTCTTCATTATTATGAACAACTCACAAACTCAATTAGCGTTACGAAAGGTAATGCTTAAATAGTGAAATCCCGTTTTCCCCTATGGGGCATAGGGCGAACACATTTCTATGTCCGTTTCACTGATTAGTTCCTTTACAGGCAAATAGTTAATCAGGCCTTTGTGCCCTCCTGAGCGAAGCAGTTCATTGTTTTCCTGGGATTCAAACCCAGGACCTCTCGCGAACTAGGCAAACGTTTAATGATCTGGCTACAGAGGTGGTCATTATTAATACATAACGGCAGTTTAAAGCCACAAAGGCCAATCTTGCTAAATCCATATAGCTAGAATTTCAATAAAACACTTTAACGGTTTAAACTACGCTTAATATTATATTTTATTAGTTAATCTTATCGCAAAGCATCAGAAATTAATTTAACAACAGCCCGTAATTGTTTCCAAATAAAATTTAACTACAATGGAGTTTTAAACCGTTAAATTGTTTTATTTTAATGTAAATGACTCTCGTAAAAGTAACGTCATCATCAAATCTGAGTCAACTTTCGGCATCAATGGGTTTAAACTCAAACGTTCAAAGCATAGAGGTAGACTTACACAAAATACATACCCAAAAAGAAGAGTTGTGAGATAACATGTCCTGCGCCCATGTGGAACAGAGTCTTGAGGAAGCTGATGATGAAGAGTACCAGGAACACAATCCAGAAGATACAGTATTTCTTAATGATGCCACTTTTCTCCTGAAAAACGATAATAAAACATGTAACTTTTACTTAAAGATGCACATACAAAAAAATTATGACAGCAGGGCTATGACACACATATACGCAGAGCGATGATAGCTCTTTAAAGATGGCGGTTAAAACTCGCCGAAGGACATTTTTTTTAATATAGAGGAGGAAAAAAAAGTGTTGGATTCACTTGAGGTGAAATACCCTAGCACCCTATTTTATAAAATAAACATCGATTATAGATTAAAATAAAAAACATCTTTGCTAAGACATTAAACCTTAACGTGCAAGTGATAAGGTTGAATTTTTTCCTCGGACACGTATTTAAAATAAGTAGTGTCTTAAACATACCTTATGCACAGCATAAACGAAGACCAGGTCTAGCAGAAACTTAACGAACAGGAGCACCACCAGCAGCACAGCGATGGTGTAGACAACCGAAGACATCCCACTGTCAAAGTCATCTCGTTTGGAATCGGCAGCGTCCTTTATATCCACAGCGAATGTTATCAGAATTACTGCTAGAACGAACGTCAGGATCTGAAAAGGGGAAGTGTTAATTATGATTGACCAGTAACAAATAGAATTTTACTTGAGACATAGACACAGAGCAGTTAGTCTGTAGAATCTGGTACCAAACTAGAATAGAAAATTTATTGAAGGATTCGTATTTCGTATTACATATTAAATGCGAAAATGTTTTATATACGGTTAAAAATTGTAAAAAAAAATGAGTCGAGCCGGAAATTTGAATATTCCTAAAAATATTTTTTTTTTTTTTTTTTTCTTATACACAAACACACAGTTACAATCGTTGATTACCAGTACTATTGGACAAACAAGCCCGCAAACAAACAACGCGAAAAAACCCTATTAAAAATTTGAAAACATTAATATTTTTTACATGTTATTGCACATTGAGCTACAGAGTCCTCAGCAGCGCAATTGAGAGAGTCGAAAATCTTTTCAATTTAACATAGGATTTCTTGGGCTCAGCGTAACATGTTTCACTTATTTTTCCATTTTTTATGGTAGTGAAGGACAGATAAGCATTGGCTTCACTTCAAGGTAGGTGAAATACCTAAGCCGTATAACATCTGAACAACATGTGTTGTCGACCTATTTTACTTCTAGATATCCGGAAATCCACAGAATGAAACCGAATCGCTAAACATGCGTATAAAACCGTTCGTACCCGGTGGACCCGGAATTTTAACATTTCTACCAACCATTTAATAAAAATGTTTAACTTAATATATTAAAGATACGCTGATAAAACTTACCGAATTAATGATTCCCATAGCAATACATCCTGTCTTCAGGTGGAATATAAAACAAAACTTATCGAGAACGGGTAGTTCCATCCTGGCCTGGAATAATATATAAAAACTTTTCAGGCACCATAAAGATTAAATTTATATTCCATTTTCAAACCAATATTCCATTTACTCACCATTTCAGTAATTGATCAATTCACAACACAGTTTTACTATTATTGCTTGACACACAATAATTAACAATGGTATAAAAAATAATTATTAGTTTCGTCAGATATTTGCTAAAGACATTTTGTGACGGTTTCAAGGTACTGTCGGTAAGTTGTCCCACTTCGACGATTTCTTTATTGTGTTAAGGCGGCGTCCTTCGCTTATATTTCAGGAAAATAAAAGAAGGATGAAATCCAAGAATATAAACGTAGAATATGAGCACTTTAATTTTTTCTTAAGGAATGCAGATGTTGAATTTAAGTGTAGAGGCATTATTGAATTTTACACTTACTTATGTATACAGATAACTATGTAGAAAATTTCATTGTTTTTCACATGCAATTCCACATGACGTGACATGAATGGTGATGATTAATGACACGGATGGGACTAGAATGGAAATCCACAGCGTTCCGTGCTGCTGCTTTAACCAATAGCAATAAATTTCGGCAGACAAGCGTGTGATGCGAGGTAAAATACGCCAGACATATAACATTTAAGCAAGATGAGCTGTAGAATTATTTTGGTAGTGGATATTTCGAAATTGCTTTATTTTTTTAATATTAGTGACACGGCGTCGCCTTAAGAGAAGCTGCACCGGTCCTGCGCAAAGCTGCCGACAATGAACATCGATCGTATTCCCGACCATTTAATGTTATAGCCTTTGCGTTAACCTATATCGTGTCCTATAATACTGTCCCCATTAAATGTCATTAACAACACTATCAAACGATACAATACCATTTTGAGGCAATTGAAGTTTTCGATTGTAAAACGGCGTTTAGGTTTTGCTAAAAGACCTTCCGAAGTATGTACAAGTAATAAGTTACTATAAGGATATATTTTTATTATAAACTGCATTGAATTTCATAAATGTACTAACCAATATGAACAAATAATTTTCCTTTTTGATAAGTTTGTTTGCTATAATTATATAAATAATAATAGCAAACATAAATGTTTCTTATTTATTTTATACTTTTAATAGGTAACATAAAAAAGTTTACTAATAATAATATATTTCGCATTTTAAACCGTCTTTTTTTTAATTTTACTTATGTGTACTACTCGCGTAAACTACAGACAATACTTAATCTACCTGAGTTAGAGTGTGAAAGTAGAAAACAATAACAGTAGTTTGATGTTAGGTATTTTGATTTCTGGCACTCAACTATTTTCGTATTGAATTCCCAAGCAGTTTCCAAAGAAAAGCTTAAAGAGAAATAAAAAGTCTATTGTGTTGATTGATAAATTATTTAAAAATAATAATAATTGATATCTTAATTACGATATTGTGATACATTTATAACACACTAGCTGAGTCAGCGGCTTCGTCCGTGTAGAATAGTTATTTTGGGCACCCAAAATTATTTTTGCAAACTGTTACCAACGTCATCGGTCGCGTCCCGTCGCTCGTCGTTCGTTTTCCGTCGCTCTTGCGAGTAGACATACTGTCGCGGACATTTTTTGATAATTTAAAAAAGAATTACATACACATATTTCTTGTGTATCCGATTAGTGTTTACGATTTCGCAGCGTCAGAAACGGATACCTACGAAGAGGAATAATTTTCTCCGTTCGTATTTTATTAAAAAAAAATTAAAACATGAAGAATCGAACCTACAACACACGGGTAATATGCTGTTGCTTACTACTTGCCCGCGAGCCGTATGAGTTTTAAGTAGATTTGAGTTGTTTAAAAAGTAAAAATAAATATAAGAATATGTAGTTTAAATGTTCAAACCTATTATAATAAATAGGTATATATAATCATTATATTGGTCTTAAGTAACCATGATTTATGGAAACTGGAAAATCTGTTTCCAGCTTGAAACCGTAATTTCGCGAAATTATTAAGAAGATATCACTTGGAACATGTTACAAATGTTATCAATATAATCAACAAGCTTATAATTTTTTGATTATATCAACTGATATCGGTTACCAGTTTCGGTAGCTGTGATTTTAATGCCGACTTTCCAAAATATATACTAAGTATATTATTTGGCTTCACCTGCCTAAATAAAAGAGCGTAAAAAATATTAAACGTATATAGTTTTATAATTAAACGTGTGATTCTGGTCAAATTCAATTAAAACATAAGTTTTATTAAACTAATTAAGCTACTCTGGCTTTCAAACCGTTCGACCGCCGTAGTTAAGAAATGGTTTTCGACCTTTGGCCTATCTGTGGATCATGGAAATCATCTGACGTTCAGCGATCTTAGAAGAGCTCAAAAATCTATGTGGATTTTTATATTGGAAGCCTTATAAAATTCACTTACAATAATTCTTGTTGCAAGCATTTGAAAGACAAAAAACATGTTCAAATAAACCAAGATAATAATGTATATATTTAACAACATTATCTTCATGTTAATTTGGGATTACATTCGATAATTACAAATCGATAGCGAATATTAAAATTACGTGCTGATTTTGACGCATGTCAACCGTCAACTATAAATTGGTAGAACTTTTCGGGATGAGCACAGTAGGCTGAGCATCAACAGTCACGCAGTCAAAATGCGGGGTCTCAAAGTAGCCTTTTGTTTCTTATTCTGCGCCACTTTGGTGCAGTCAAACAATTTACGTAAAGGTACGTACATATTGAGACAACCCCTGATTTAATCTTTACACCACTGAAGGACTGAATTATTCTTATATTTTATATACCGTAAATTTTAAGTCCCTTTAATTTGTTGCGAATATTTAGAAACAATGTTTGTTTTAAATCTGTGAACTACGTTTAAATTAATCCTTACGCATTAGATCGCGAATACTGGAAGACCCTAGGAGAAAACGAGCTGAAGGAAGCTCTAGGACTCCAATGGAACCTCGACGTTGCCAAGAACGTGATCTTGTTCGTCGGAGACGGTATGGGCCCCAACACCATTACTGCAGCCAGGATCCAGAAAGGCGGTGAGGGCCACAAACTCTCCTACGAGACGTTCCCGCATATTGGTCTGATGAAGGTACGTACCTACTTGTTTACGAACATTTGAATAATTTCTCTTTTTTAAAAGGGGATATTGTTCGTGCTTGATTTAACAATTTTTTTTTTAAAGGTAGAAACCTAGATTCCATTAGTCTTTTGTCACCAACCAACCGATACATGAAAAAACTAAAGTGTTTTTGTCTCTTAATGTAAAATAAATTAAATATACAAGTGCATGTGGAATGCATATGGAAGATATTAAATCAATTGATGGTTACAGACTTACTCAGCTGATCTGATGGTGGCAGACGCGGCTTCCACTGGTACTGCTATGGTATCTGGTATCAAAGTAAACAGCAGAACTATCGGAGTAGATGCCAACGTTGCTCACAACGATTGTCAGGCCTCATTGAACCCCAACAACAGAGTCGAGTCCATGGCTGCTCTTGCTTTAAGGGCTGGCAGAAGCGCAGGTAAGACGCCTTGAGTTTATTTTCCTTAAAAATACTAAATACTGTCTATAGTTTACGCGAGTAGTACACATTTAAATAAAACACTTTAACGGTTTGAAACGCGATATATTAGTTAAACTTATTTGAAAATAATTTTTAACTTCGGCCCGACGTTTAGGATGCTTCGCAGCAGCCGTGGTCACGGGGACAGCAAAAGTTTAACTAATATATCGCGTTTTAAACCGTTAAAGTGTTTTATTTAAAAATACTAGTTATTTACATTCGGCCAAATAAAAAAATTTAGATATATGCATGAAACTAACGTATCCCAAGAAAACAATTTTCTACATTAAAAAAAGGGTAAAATGTTTTGAAATGTTATTAACTTTGGTCTACTAAAGAAGTGTTATTTTTAAGGCTTCGTCACAAACATGAGAGTTACGCACTCAACGCTATCCCCACTGTACGCACACACACCCAATGCTAACTGGGAATGCGATGCTAGTGTGCCACCAGCAAGCTCCGGATGCAAGGATATCGCCAGGCAGATGATTGAAGATTGGCCAGGCAGGGACTTGAATGTATGCATCAAAATAGCAAACGTTTAAAAACGCTATAGAAATTTATATGAATTCTAATAAATGGCAGTGAACTTATCAAAATATTATTTAAGAACTTTTCGAAAAAAAAATTTATAAGGGCACAATACATTAAATTTCTATCAAAGAAAAGTACATATTTTTAATACTCATTTTAATGTCCCTAATGCTCTAGGTTATTCTCGGAGGTGGCCGTCAAGGTATTATTACTGGTGCCCAAGAACAAGAAGGAGACCCTCTCAGTCGTTGGGGTTGTTTAAGAGCTGATGGAAGAGACCTCTTCCAAGAGTACAGAAATGACAAAACAAGGAGGGGACTTAAGCACAGTGTTGTCCAGAACAGAGACGAATTACTCCAAGCTGCTGAAGATACAGACTATCTTTTTGGTAAGTAAGATGCTGGAAGTTAGTGAGGTTCTCGAAGCTTACTTTTATAGGTAAATTTTGAGAAAAATATAATGATTTTTATAATTTTTCTTTAAACAGGCGTATTCAGAAACGAGAACTTGCCATACGAATTCCAAAGGCCAGCGAACACACCATCCATCGTTGACATGACTGAATCTGCCATCAAGGTCTTGCAAAGGAACCCCAACGGATACTTCCTTCTGGTACGTTTGGGTACTACTTTTGATAATATACATATTATATAAATATAAGTAGTACAGGACGTCTCACAAAAAACACGTAGTACTGTAAATAACCAATTTAAATCTATGTACTTATTCCAAGACTAAAAAGGTACCTTTCTAGGTTGAAGGTGGTAACATCGACATGGGTCATCACCGTGGTAGAGCTCGCACAGCTATTGACGAGGCCATTGCTTTCGACGAGGCTGTTAAGATGGCCGTCAACATGACAAATGAGAAAGAAACCCTCATTGTTGTATCAGCTAACTTGGTACACACGCTCAGCATTAACGGACACCCTGCACGTGGATCTGATCTTTTCGGTACGTATTCAATATTAATAATAGTGTATTTCGATATTTTAAAATAACATACAAGAGAAAAATTATTACAATTCCTTTTTTCCTTTCCTAGTCTAGTTTAAAAGATATATAAAGTTTAAGATAGTTATTAGTATACCTGTTTACAACTGTAACTGTCGTTGAAAAATGTGTTCTCCAACTTGCGACGATTCCAGGTTTTACTGGACCATCAAGAAACGACGGTCTGAACTACACAATCGTCTCCTACGCCACTGGTGGTCCAGGATCTAAACATTTCCGAGTTAAACAAGAGGTCGACGGAAAGCAATCAGTCACTCGCGTAGACCCAAGCACAGAAGACACTAAAAGTTTCTTCTACGAACAGATAGCTGGTATCACTCTGGAGGAGAATTACCACGGAGGTGGCGACGTAACAGTTTATGCTAAAGGTAATTAAAGGACTGTACTCTTTGCTCCCATACTTTCATAAAATCACGCTTTCGGGGATTTATTGGAAAAAGTCTTAGTTTAAAACACACAAAGAAAATTATTAGCCACCATTACTATTTAAATTTTTGACGTTTTTGACATTACCATCATCGGATGGCATCTGCAGAAGATGTAGAGCGTGCAATGTTATTTATAATCGACCATTGTTTGATATGAAAATATTTTTCCTTTTTTTATCGATTTCTTTTAAACTAATTCTAGGTCCCTACTCCCACTTATTCCACAATGTGCACGAACAACACTTCCTCTTCTATGCGATGGCTTATGCTGCTCAGCTGGGAGAATACGCTAACTTATATTAGGACTGGATAATAATGTAAAGGGGCGACATTACAAGATATTATTACCATATAATCTGAATGACAGCAGTACCTGATAAGAAGATGACCACCAAGTTACGATCCCTGCATCTATGAACAATGGAATATAAAAATAATTTCTGTAGGTAGCGATGCAAACACTGCGATGTTTCAAAGCTCTCTAAGCGTCCATAGCGGTAATGCAAATCCATAAGAACTCACATCCTACCAACAAACATAACTTTAGTTAATAATTTACGATGAAGAGAGGTCAGCATTCGGTGTAAAATATTATAAATCACAAAATATTATACGTTCTCATAAAATCTAGTTAATTGAAGTTAATTATTATTGATCAGCTTGTTCTGTATTTGTTTGTAATTTATGTTTAAGCCCCGCACGTTGTGTCGTATTTATTTAAAAGAAATAAAGATGATTTTAAAAGTATTGCCTTTTAAAAAATTCTATCTATTATTATATATATATGGTGCCCAGTAAATGTTACTTATTGTTAAATGGTACGTTGTTGTTTGGTACACACAACTATATGAAATAATATAATGAAACATTAACATGCACAGTACTGACTTGCAAATAACTAGTAGGTAGATAAAAACAAACTATAAAAACAAGCTAAATACGACGTAAGTTTTTAAGAAGACGTTATAAATATAATACACATGTTGTACCTACCTTCTTATATACTGAATCTTTATTTAACACTAAAAATAGTTAAATATTTTCAAAGCACGTAACTAGTTCACAACGGTTTTCAAAAACATACTTTCGGTGGGCTAAACTCCTTAGTTACCTTATTCTTACGACATATAGTGTAAGTCGTACTTTGAATTCAAATGTTAGAAAACATATGAAAACGAAAAAAAAAAAGGAAATACCCAAAGTGGGTACTGTAAATGATAGCCACCGTCACAAGCAAGGTTGCTGCTGTAAATAATTGAGGAGTTCCTTCGACTTTTTCTTGGCTCCATCATCACATCAAAAAAACTGAATGAAAAATCTTACACACTAGTGCTCTCCAAGCTTTTTAAAATCCCTTCGATTTTTCCGGTTTATGAACATCACATCATAACCATACCTTAACATATCCTTGACCTTAGAATAAGGTCAACTTGGAATCATCTATTTCCAAACAAAAAAATAATACTAGACCAAGTTATGTGCGAACAAATGGATATCAACGATCTCAGAAGTTGTATTTTTGACGTGAAAGAAATCACTTCTTAGCGGTTTCAAATGTGAGACTATTTTAAAATGTAGATATATATAACAACCAATGTCTTTTGTAAAACTTACACATCAGGTACCTAATTATTATAACCTACATTAGCATATTATCATATACAAATGTTGAACGAATCTAGATAAATTAGGAAAATGAATAATTAAAATTTTTGATAAGAGCTTAATTCTAGGCGCAAAATTATCTAATAATTCGAAGCGTTAAGTATCAATTTATCAAAATTAGTATTTAATCATATTTAAAAAAATAACTTATAAAGATTAATGAAAAATAATTAAACACTAATAAAGTAACTAAATTTATATTACGAGCTCGTTGGTGTGATGGTTTAATGTATAGCTTATAACCTGCGGGTCGAGGGTTCGAGCCCGAACCATACATTTTTCTAATCAATTAATAATTTTTCTGAAACATATTGAAACTGACAACTTTGTCTGGAAATCTGGATATTATATGGATAGTAGAATATCAAAATCCCGTTCAAGTTTAAATGTAAAATCCTACTTATATTAAAAACGTGAAAGTTTGTATGTGTGGATGTTTGTTACTCTTTCACGCAAAAACTACTGAATGGATTTCAATTAAACTTTCCAATAATATAGCTTATACATCAGAATAACACATAGGCTACAATTTATAAAGATATTGTGTGAGCTGTCCAAAATATGACATTAAGTGTCAAGTAACTGCGAAAAAACCTACCTTTCTGCGAGTTATTCTGGCGTGCGCTGCCATAAACGTTAGTTACACATCATTATGTAATGTATGATATGATGGACATCATTTAGTTTAAATGCGCGATACTACGTAATCCTAATCGTACTCTTGCGTAGACGAAGTCGCGAGCACCAGCTAGTCTACAATACAATAAAAAAATATGACTCGGGCGGGACATGAAAAAAAATCATCACAAAACGGTGTTGATGATTTTTTCAATTTGTAATAGATATTTAATTTATATAGCGGCATCATGTGAAAAATATTAAGTTTTCACCCGTCAAGTTTATTCGAATTTAGATTTCTGAATAACCAAAACCAATAGTTAAAAAGCGCATTGCTTAGATGCTATATGGCTGTGGGGTAGACTTTCCATTAAGTGAACGCCGTGCTTGTCTGTCCTCTTCTCTCATGAGAAAGTGTGGGCCTGAAAACCCGCACGAAATCTTTATCACCTTACCTTATCATGTTAATCTTTAAATATTAGTACATAATCCCCTCTGTTCCAAGCGTATCCGTTAACGGACAATAAATCGAAGTGGAGTAGATTAACATAAATCCAGTGTGATAAATCTAGGGTATATAATGCTTCAATTACAATTAACTTTACAGTTTTCAGAATGAAATCCATCATAATTCTCGCCGGTCTGTTGGGCTTTGCCCTCGCCGATCCCTTGTATGGGGCAACCGCGTTCAACTACCACGAGAGGTTCGGCATTCCTGCTGCTGAGAGGATCAGACAGGCTGAATATGACCTCGATAGCTCCAGAATCGCTGGTGGAGAGGAATCGCAGTTAGGGAAGAACCCGCACATGGTACGTTTTTAAAATAAACTATGCAACAGCACGGAACGCTGACGATGCCGGTTCAAGTCCTGCCCGAGTCGAAAATTTGTTCAATTTATTTTCGATTTTACATTAAACTTAGGTTAATGCAGCTTTGTCTGTATCTTATATTTGTGATTTGGTTGTTCATATATCTATGTCTCCTATATTTTAAGTAGGTATTTAAGTACAGTTTGTAGTTTACGCGAGTAGTACTCATTCAAACAAAACACTTCAACGGCTTAAAACACGAAATATAGTTAGTAATTTAAACTTATTTGAAATTTATTTTAACTACGATCCGACGTTTCGAATGTGCTGTAACAGCCGTGGCTATGGGGAAACTAAAGATGGCTGTCTCTAATGTCAAAATAAAAACTGCTATGCTACCGCCATCTGTTCCGTTATAGTTGGTATTTGGCGAACCTTGCAATAATAATTTAAAATAAGTTTAACTAATTTATTTCACGTTTTAAACCGTTTTAGTGTTTATTTAAAGGTATTCTTTTTTATATTTACTTTTAGATATTACCTACTACTTCTTATTTTTAGTTTATTTTCAAAAACAACATTATGTTCTTATTTATGTGTTATTCCATGTGCACATAAAGTACTGTGCTGGTGCTAATCTGTCGGGACAGATAATAAATAAATAATTAACAAAGAACACAAAACTACTTCTCAGGGCGGCATCGTGATTGCTCTGAGCAGAGGAACTTCCGTCTGTGGATCTTCTCTTCTGTCCAACACCAAAGCTGTCACAGCCGCTCACTGCTGGTTCGACGGCACCAACCAGGCAAGTCGCTTCACCATGGTGTTCGGTTCCATGCGTCTCTTCTCTGGAGGAGTGAGAGTGTCAACAGAGGATGTAGTGACACATCCCACATGGAACCCTAAAACTGTTGATAGCGATATCGCCGTTGTTACTTTCATCAACGTACCATACAGTAGTAAGTTTTATCCGAAAGCAAACATTCTGATGTGAACTATTTGAACAATATCTACCTATACTAATAAGAATTTGTTTGTTTGTTTGAACGCGCTAACCTGAGGACCTACTGGTTCGAACTGAAAAATTATTATTGTTTTGAATACTGTCTATAGTTTACGCGAGTAGTACACATTTAAATAAAACACTTTAAGGGTTTAAAACGTCGAGCCGTAGTTAAAAATATTGTTTAAACAAGTTTAACTAAAATATATCGCGTTTTAAACCGTTAAAGTGTTTTATTTAAATGATGATTATGATTTTCTACATATGGTAGAATAGTGTATGACTCTAGCCACTTAGTTGACCAACTCAGCTTCGAATTCACTGTCGTTGAAATTTCAGATAACATCCAACCTATCGCATTGGCCACTGGAGAAGATCTTTACGTTGGAGAATGGGCTGTCGCTGCCGGTTACGGAATAAACTCTGACTGTAAGTACAAAACTACAGCGAAAGTGGCAAAACTACAGCAAAAATATAAGCTTTAATTTATTGATAAAATACAGACTATATCTAAGTCAGAGGTTAGTCAAAATTCGAAAACATAATTAGTTCTTCATCGCGTTTAAAGAAGCACTGTACAATGTTTTCAACTAACATGAACCACAGATAAAGCATAAATATGACGTTTTTGAAATGCAAAAGTCTTTGACCGCGTTGTACTTTTGTTATGTCTTTAAAATATTAAACAAGCGTCACGCATTATACTTGGAAATTTGTAATAGAGAAAGTTTAGAATATAATTTATCACGTTTTTAACGATAACGCAATAAATAAAACTTGTAATATATACCACATAAATGAACATGTATTATGTCACGTAAATCCTAGTAATTTCATACTATAAATAAGCGATTTTTGCAAAATGTATCTCTATTCCAAAATATCAAATTTTATTAAATACTATTTAAGTTTACTTCTTTACTTTTCGCGCCTTTAAGGCTGTATTTTTTCTAATTCAGCTCAGGTTGGTATTTCGACAATCACAGTGCAGAAACACGTCAGTCTCCAGGTGATTTCAAATGCTGAATGCCGTCGCACCTACCGCTTTATCTCGGACTCAATTCTTTGTGTCGCTACTCAAGGCAACAGTACATGCGCGGGAGATTACGGTGGACCCCTCTCCATCGGTGAAGGAGAAGAAAGGGTTTTGGTAAGGAATATACAGACAATATGAGGCTGCTAGAGGCAGAGTGCCTTAGGCATGAATGAATTTGTACTATTATTTTTCAGCCACTGTGCTCTTGTAGATCAACATTTTTAGACTATGAAAATATAAATATTTCAAGTCATAAAATTGCAGTTAGGCTACTCTGCCCCTAGCGGCCTCATAGATTGTATATCACATTGAAACAATCTTGAACATTAAAACTCACTGAAGTGACTGAATTTGTTTAGCTTGAAAAAATATTACGACCCGGGCAGTCTGACATCAACAGTGGTACTTGACATTGCCCTAACCAATTGAGCGACTGTGTCCCACACGTCATCGTCGAATGTTGTCAACTTATAGATACATGCACGTGCAATGTAATTTCAACTTTAACACTTGCGATTTAAGGTTCAATGTCATATGCTTTGTTGCTACAAAAACGATGATCAACCTTATGTCGCTGTAAACATGATTTCGATTAGTAAATTTGTATTTCGTGTATTGCTTACATAAAAATCCACCATTCCAGATTGGTGTAACATCATTCGGCCACGCTGATGGTTGTGAAAAGAGCATGCCAGCAGGATTTGCACGAATCACCTCATTCAGAAAATGGATAGAAACTCGGCTGTAATAATGTTCAACATTACTGAAAGAAAATAAAAATTTTAAAGTATCGCCTTTTTATTATTATTATCCCCTACAAAAAAACAAGGACACAAAATAGTCAGTATAACATCAACAATCTGAACAAGATCAACTTATCAACCTATTTTATAATTCAGGATATTCAGAAATCCAAAGTCTGAAACCGAAAGGCTTTTTCAGCTTCAGACGATGGTTCGTGACCCGTACAAAACCTATCAGCTATTTCAATCCAACCTTCCCGACGAAGTCGAACAGATTTAGAAAAATTATATATTGATAAGTAACATGTTGGACCCGGTGAGAATCAAACGTACGGCCCATTGAAGATTAGCCAAACATTGCTACCATTAGACCAAGCCCATCAAGATTTAAGACATATGCGTTTTTATGTGCGTTTAAATAAAACACTTTAACGGTTGAAACCCGATATATCAGTTACACTTATTTGAAAATGATTCCGCCCCGTTTGGGATGCTTTGCAGCAGCCGTGGTCACGGGGAGACTAAAGATGGAGGATGTCTCTGACGTCAAAGTACAAAATTGCTACGCTAGCGCCATCTGTTACGTCATTTTATTCCATTTTTTACTTTGATATTACACCGTGCCCGACCGAAATTTTATGATTCCCTGGGATTCGAACCCAGGACCTCTCGCGCTTAACGCAATGCTAGGCAATACGTTTAACCATTTGGCTACAGAGACGGTCATGTCAAATTCTATAATCCTTTAATATTAGTATCTGTAGACAAAAATTTAAATGATATTTCCCAATGTGGTCCATAAATCTCTAATCAATTTCACATACGAACAAATAATTTATTTAACATCTGTGCCTGACCCAACCGAAACTTTTGTGTCGCGGTATTCTAGTCCTTAACTCAGACCTCCCATATATAACACGATGTGTTTAGAAAGAAAGTCGCGGTGAGTCAAGAAACATATTCATTCGTATATTTAAAACACTATCAACATATAAGTTTTAGTAAGACTATTTTATATATATATAATATACAATTTGGCAGTGTACTGACGTCAGAAGTGATAAAATTATAGACGTAAAACACATGCAAACTATTCTGAAATAGATTTTATACAAATTGCATATATTGTATATCCTTGTATATCCATAATTGTATATCCTTACTAAGATTATAAATGCGAAAGTAACTCTGTCTGTCTCTCTGTTACTGATTTACGCCAAAACTACTGTACGGATTTGAATGAAATTTGGTATACAGATGGTCTAGACCCTGAGAAAGGACATATGCTACTTTTTATTGCGAAAAGGGGGTTGAAAGAAGTTAAAAGGGGGATAAAAGTCTGTATGGAAATTCGTGGTTTTTGAAGCTAGAACAATGAAACTTTCTTCTTTGGCTTTTTGGGAATAGGAGTGGGAGTGAGAGTGAGCGACCTCACTTCTATAAATTATGCCAAATATTCAAAGCTAAAAAAGGTCGATAGCGCATCTTTTTCTAGGTGTTAGGCTAACCTAAGGGACGCCCCACCCCCAACCTCTAAAGTCAACGGTCACTTATAAGTGGTTAATAGATTTATTAAAGCAATTAAAAATACAATCGAGGCACAAAACATATACATAGAAATAAAAAATACTTAAAATAACTTCTCGAAAGTATCATCCTAAGGCATGCGTCATATATAAGGACTCAGTAGCTCAATGGGTTAGAGCAACAGAATGGAACGCTGCGGACGCCGATTCAAGTCCATTCCGAATGTTTTCAATTCAATGACATTTGAAAAATACTAAAAGATTTCACGCGTCAGACTGTATTTTTTTGAATCGTAACTGTGTTTCGAACCTGGAACGAACATGTCTATGCTTTATCTACCACTAGACAAATAGTCTAGCAGTCTTTTTTAAAATAATTTGAATAAGAATTATTCTTTTGTACATATTTTTGGGTATCTTGAACCAGTGTCGCAGCGTACCTACGCATACCTACCTACCTACCTACGCATCGGAAACCCACAGATTTGAATAAATTTTCCCGCTGTTTTTCCACATTTCTCGCTATTTCTTCATATACAAAAATATTTTTTTATTCGAACCAGTACTTTCCAAGATTAGATCAAACAAACAAACAAACTCTTCAGCTTTATATTAAGTATAGATTTCATTTTATTACACCATCAATTGGAACTTTTGTTTGGAAAAGGAAATCTTAAGCCGTCTACAATATTAAATTGAATTTTTATCCTTTGCGATGGTCGTTATTCAAACTTCATTTGCGAGTTTCCAAAACTTTCCGAGTTCCAAGGCTTTCCCTCCCCATCACGTACTTATCGCCTAATTAAGAGTCCAATAATCGCATAATCCTAATCTCCGTTACAATTAATCACCAGTTTCAAGCGATGAAAAAACTAGATTAAATAAAGATAAAACCAATATAATACAAACTGACGTTCGTCGCGTCTTATTCGAGGATTGCGTTTGACGTCTGTCAGTGTGTAGTTAAATTTTAACAGTTGTCAAAATGCACGATCGCCGTGTGGTTGTGTTGTTGGTGTTTTTTGTGACACTGGGTCAATGTGTTTTACGAAAAGGTAGAGTTTAATGACGTTTAAATGTGGCTATTGTAAGTTGATAATCTCTATGTGTCGCTTGTTATTGACATGACTTGCGTATTGCGCAATTGTTAGTTCTATTGTGATAATTGCTAAACTGGAACAGCGAGACGGTCTTACAGAATAGTTACAGACAAAAAATATACTCGAATAAGCAGTCGAAACTTATTTAGTCGTGGTTACTCTGGTTATTTCTTACATTATTCTGTTTACTTAAAAATTACGATTAATAATATAACTTAACCTCAAAAAACAGAAGTTTACATCACTAAACTAAACACTACACCTAAAGTATGAATAAAAATGAATGTCAATTTTGGGCCACAAACAGACAATAAGCGAATAACAGCTTTGAAAATAATAAGCACTGGCTAGAATGTCTTATTATATATTAAAAATCAATTGTCACAAAACCAACGGTTAAATAAATTGTAGTTAATACCTAACAACTAGTTAAAAAATAGTAAAAATTATTTCCAATGTCCACTTTTAGCTAGTGACATCATTATAAAATAGGCATTCTTGTGTCAAATAACAATGTTTAAGTAATAATATTACTATTTAACTAACGTTTGATAAAGGCATTACACGGAGAAATTTTGTGTGAATTATACCTAATTCGTTGGTAATAATTATGATAACGCCGTTTGATAAGAGAACGTCTCATCGTTAAACACAATATTTAATCCAGACACTTATAAGTTAAAAATAAAGAGTGGTCTTAATAAAATATGCCTATCTGTTATTGATGTATATACAAATTAAACCACATAATACATGATAAGACACATTATCTTGCGTTGAACGTAACAAGTTCGAGTCCTGAATAGAACAGATAAAGACAGAAAGGACCTATCTTTTCATGACCCCCCTCCCCCTCCCCCATTGGGTTTTAACACTTAGCTATTAAAGATACACAAATAGAGAAGAGAAAGCTAATTACGTGCGTCAATTAGTTCGTAATGATCCAATTTTATTACTTAACTATTATTTAAATTAAGTATGAAAAGAAAATTACAACTATTGATTTTTAAAACAATTGATAATTTGATAGGTAACGACCATCTATATACTATTAAATAAAGCTGAAGAGTTTGTTTGAACGCGCTAATCTCAGGAATTACGGGTTCGAATTGAAGACTCCTTTTTGCTTTGGTTAGAGCTTTTATCGGGGAAGGCTATAGACATAAAACATCGCGCTGTGACTAATACAAGCGAAGATACAACGAGAAATGTGAAAAATAATCGGGAAAATTAGTCATCATTATGGGTTTCCGAGGCGTACACTGCAAAAACGGTTCAAGCTATCCAAAAAATATATATAAAAGAATGATTCCTCTTTAAATGATCTAAAAAAAGTTTGCAACGATATATGTCTGTCTCTTGAGATGAACTCGCAAGAACGACGGGAACCGAAGGACGGCAGCGACTTATGGCATAGGTCAGGACACTTTGCAAAAACAATTTTGGATGCCCAAAATAACAAAGTATTTTACGCGAAGTCGCTGTTAGTTTTTTATAATGTCACAGACCAAAAGTTGGTATACTTTTTTATTCGGGTAAATTATAACTTACACTTTATTTAAGTATTCATAATTAATAAGAGAGGTGTAAAACAGTAATATGAAACGGATATTGGGGCTAAAGGGACGTCAGTTCAATCTTCTCCAGGTCCAACATATCTCTAATGAATTAATAACTTTTCTGACGTATTATGGGCTTTGCCTGGATTGGATGGGTGATGGAATATCATAATTCACATTATGGTTACTGTCCATGGATTTCCGAATGTCCATAGCCGAATTACAGGTTGACAGCCCACCTTATTGACATGTTATAAAAAAATATAAAAACGTATCTCAAATGTCGCATTGTAGTTAAATATATCTAACTATTGTCGACGTTCTAACTATAACTCCTGTCTAAATATATTCAACCAGAGTAAAACACAAAAGTGTGTCCGACTAATGCCCCACATCAGTATAACTTACTCTATTCATAAATAATGATAGACAACAATGTTTATAATCTTAAAACGTGATTTATTACTTTTATCAGCACTATTGCTTATATGACAGTACATGTCAATATAATAGGTATAAATGTATTATATGATTTTGGAACATGTGTTTCAAGATATATCTCTGACCTTTGATAAGGATTCGGTAATCCTAATTATTTGCTAATATTCTGATAAAGCGATAGTGAAAATGAAAGATTATCCCATAATAGCTTCCGGAAATCTATACTAATATATAAAGTGTTTGTATGTTTGAACGAGCTAATCTCAGGTACTACTGGTACGTAAGGAAACAATATTTTCGTCCTAGTTAGAGCATTAATCGAGGAAGGCTTTAGGGTGTTAAACCTCATGCCACGACTAATAGGAGCGACATTTGGAAATGTGGAACAAACGGGGAAAATTATTGATTTTTGAATGATTAACTTGCAAGAACGACGAACAACATTAAAACTTATTAAGGAAGTGTTTCCTCTATTTTTGTCCTAGATCGCGCATACTGGGAGGAGCTAGGAACAAATGAACTAGACATAGCCCTAAGAACTAAGTACAATCTTGGAGTGGCGAAAAATGTGATACTCTTCATCGGAGACGGTATGGGACCTAACACCATAACTGCAGCAAGAATCCATAAGGGCGGGGAGTCATATAAACTGAGCTATGAAACTTTCCCACACGTGGGACTATTAAAGGTACCACCAGGTTTTTATATTCATACAAGGGACGCCTCCCTATCTCATTGGTTAAACGTAGTATAAATTATTTCGTTCGAGAAGGGCACATAGGTCAGATAAAATAAGGATTTGATCTTTAAATAAAAAAATATTGACGTGATTCTAAGTCAATATTTATGTACAGTCACAAAACTATATTAACTATATTATTTTGTAAAAGATAATGTAAACTTATTTTAGCTTTAAAAAACACTATTCAGTAATTTTCACAAGTAGATAATATCGTCTCCGACCAAACCGTCATTCGGTTTCGAATTTAGAACGCGTGAAATACAGCTACAGTGCCCTTAAAGTGCTTAGACTAAGACCAGTAACTTTCGTAGACATACTCAGCGGACAAAATGGTGCCAGACTCCGCCTCAACTGCCACTGCGCTCATGGGCGGTATTAAGGCAAATGACAAAACGCTGGGAGTGGACGCAAGTGTCCCACACAGAGACTGCAATGCGTCTCTACGTCCAGAGGCTAAGGTGGAATCTTTAGCTGCTCACGCTTTAAGAGCTGGAAGGTCTACAGGTAATGTAGTAATACGTTAGAAAAATCTGAATAAATTAAATGGAGGGTAGAAACACTTTTTATTTCACCAGGATCACGAACTACCATCAGTTGAAGTCAAATGTTTCGGTTTTATTCTTAGATGGTATAATGTGGAACGTCAAAATAGAACGACAGTACATCTTGTTTAGATAACAGGCTTGGATATTTCACCCTTAATCAAGCTAACCCCATGTTTGTCTGCATTCCGCTGTCAACGCGAACTGAGTCACTGGCAAATATTTCCTACAAAATGCTTTTTGACAGGTTTCGTAACGACAATGAGAGTCACCCACGCAACCCCAGCACCAATGTACGCCTACAGTCCAGAGAGGAACTGGGAATGCGACGCTGCAACCCCAGCTCCCTGTAAGGACATCGCGAGACAGTTGGTTGAGGACTGGCCGGGCCGAGACTTCAACGTGAGTCCCTTTTCCAGAGCTTAACGACGGCTCTATAATTGTATTGTTCATACTACAAGAATCATAAATAAACAGCGCATCAAATGAATTTGTAACCAATAAAATTGAAACATTGAAATATAATATGTTATTAAAAAGAATTTTGTAAGCACTGAAATAATTTGATGATTCGTACTTTTATTTATACGTAGGTCCTATTCCTGACTTTATATAAATATGAATGTTTGTGAGGACGTTCTATACTTTTAGACGTATAAACGACTTGACTGATTTCAATAGCATTACAGCTACAAATGCACTTTTGAGTTTGTTTCTTTGGTTCAGGTTATCTTAGGTGGAGGACGACAAAGTCTGATACCCAATGCTACATCTTTAGAAAACGACCCGACTAGCGCCTGGGCTTGCAGCAGACAAGATGGCAGAAACCTCATTGAGCAGTGGCAAACGGATAAGGGAGTCCGCAATTTAAGCTACTGCTTCGTTGAAAACACAAATGAATTGAAGAATGCACCAGCTAACACTGACTACCTATTTGGTAAGCCATCGAAGCGAAAGTATATTATCAATCGTTATTGTAGGAAAAAGTATAGTACTTTTATCGCGAAAAAACCCCGTCTCAGCAAAAATAATTAAACGTTAGCTTAGGCTCTAAAATTCGACTAATTAAAAGTAATATAAAACACTTCAACGGCTTAAAACACGAAATATATTAGTTAAAGTTATTTGAAAACTATTTTAATTACGGCTTACGTTTCGGATGCTTTGCAGCAGCCGAATGGTAATGGGGAGCGCGTTTTAAACCGTTAAATTATTTTATTTAAATGTGTACTACTCGCGTAAACTACAAACAGTATATGATTATAAGTAAATAATTCTGGACACAACTGTAATGTAATCCATTATTAATCATTTGGAAAACAAAACAAGCTGATTAAGCTATTTATTACAGCTTAGTGAGTAACAGCGCATCGGGGAACAGCTACTCGTTAATACCAAGAAAATTGATTTCAGGTGTCTTCTCAAATGCTCATTTGCCATACGAGTTCCAGCGTCATGCGGAATCGCCATCCATCGTCGACATGACAGAAGCAGCTATTAAAGTACTCCAAAGGAATGAAAAGGGATATTTCCTTATGGTATGATAAGTATATACAAACACACGAAGTCTTCTCGTAGTAGCTACACATCCTAATATCTTTTTACTTAAAGTCTTTAACGTTTTAAAAATTTGATGTGACTGGACTCATTAGTCCACGAAACTTTCAATAGCTAATGTAATAAATGGATTGTTTCTTTGTTCCATAGAGGAGCTTTGCGCATCTTTTTTTTTATGATAGCTTAAGACAGACAAGCGTGAGGTTCGCTTGATTGTAGGTTAAATACCCCAGATTATAGGATCACAACAAGATGGCGCTATTTTGGCTTCGAATATTCGGAAATCCAGACTGAAACCGAAACGTGATTAAATTTCACTGATTTTTCATCTGTGGACTGTGGTTCTTGATCAGGAGGGAATTTCAAAATTTCCACCGCCCATTTAATATCCAGGTTTCCAGACGAAGTGCAACATGTTTCAGAAAAATTGTAAATTGATTCGACTTTGACACGACTCGTTGGTTATTGATTTGACGGCAATCGTTGGTGTGGCGATTACCATTTCACCAACGACCCCATCAAAATCTATCATTAATATCTGTATAATATGTATTATACTTTGACATTTCTCTGTAATCAAAGGTTGAAGGGGGAAACATCGATATGGCGCACCACCGTGGTCGCGCGCGAACCGCCATAGACGAGACCCTTGCCATGGAAGAAGCAGTCCGACTAGCCTACAATATGACTGACCCCGAAGACACACTGATTGTAGTCACATCTGACCACATGCACTCTATGACCATCAATGGTCATCCTGAACGTGGGGATAATATCTTTGGTAAGTTCCAACTTTATTACGAAGTGGTTGGAGTTACGTATAGAATCAGAAAATCAGTACTTGGCACTGTTAACGTTGCATACGCACAAAGTTTAGAGTTCGCTGTTCGTAAAAACCCATTACACAGTTTGATCCTTCGAGCCAGATGAAGTACACACTCATGATATTTATACTAAATATTTTCTCTTAACACTGACATACGTAATAAACTACTGTCTACAATTTACGCGAGTAGTACACATTTAAATAAAACACTTTAGTTAAACTTATTTGAAAATGATTTTTAACTTCGGCCCGACGTATCGGATGCTTTGCAGCAGCCGTCAGTCTTCCCGTGTCTACGGCTGCCTCAAACTATCCGAACTAATATATCGCGTTTTAAACCGTTAAAGTGTTTTATTTAAATGTTTTATTTAAACTTACATATGTATGAAATTGTTCCAGATCGCACTATCTGAATTACCTTTATCCTTTCAGGAACCGTCGGTCCATCGAGATACGATGGTCTAAATTACACCACCATCGCGTATGGAACAGGCGGCCCCGGGTCACGCCAGTTTGAAGCCCAAATGGTGAATGGAACAAACGAAGTCGTCAGACGAGACCCATCTCAAGACGACACCACTAGCTTTATGTATGAGCAGATTGCTGCTATCACGTTAGAGGAGAACAAACATGGGGGCGGTGATGTAGCTGTATATGCTAGTGGTTAGTATAAAACAATCACCATTTCTTAACAATTGTGTTTCAAGACATTTAAAAATCACAGAATCAATTTGAAGTGTTTTAACCAGTGTTTAAACAAAGAAATAAAAAATTTGAATTTAAAAGAACTTTTAGAAAACATTATTAGAAAAAATAGAAAAATAATCTTTAAAAAAAAAAAAATCAAATTATTTTTTTATCTGAGGTAACTTATATCTATATAAAAGCAATACTATTGTCTGTAAACTAGATATATTTTTTAAACTCTTTCATCTTATTTTATAGGTCCTTACGCACATCTATTCCACAACATCCACGAGCAACACTACACGTACTACGCGATATCTTATGCTGCCAGGCTCGGCCGCTACGCTGACCGACCCACAGAAAACAACGCATTTTCTATACAAGCTAATATTATTCTATCTTCTGTGTCTATGCTATTAGTTGCCTTAACAGTGTTATAGAGGCTTGTATGACTTTATAGTTTTATGACCTAATCCTGCAAAAAGGTTTTCGCGGCCATTTTGCAATGCTCATTGTGTTTTCGAATTGTTCGACCGTCGTCATTCAGAATGGTTCTCGACGTTTCTCTATCACGTTTATCGTTACTTCTGTTTAAGGTTAGTCGACGTCGAAAAACTAAGTAACAATTCCGTGACATATTTAAATATAAATATTATACGTATGAAATATATTTAAATTTTCATGATATTGTTACGTATCGATTCACACCTTCAACTTTTAAATTACTTTAGTTACTAGGAAGAAGTAGACATAATCTATATGTATGTCTACTTCTTCCTACATAATATTTTCCTTCTATGAACACCGTTGTTGAGAAAATGTCTCCGTTTTATAGGTTTTTTAAGCATCACGTTATTTTTATAATATATTTACTATTTATTAAAATATGGATCTTGAATGAATGAAACGTTTGTATATAAAATTCTACGCTGTTTATGCAGAACGAATGTAGTTACTTTACAACCAACCTACCAACATAAGTTAAACTTTGATATGTTCAAATGAAATCATTAGTTTTAAAACATTTTTAAAATGTACTTTTTATTTTGGTTTAATAAAATGTTTTTGAATATATCTATTTTTATTGTGTGCTATTACACTATGTAAGCTTTCCTTGTATTTATTATGGCCTCCTTCTAATTACCGAGTAATTTTTACCGAGGTTTTTAAACCTTTAAATGTTTGAAGCAAGGTTATTTTCGTGTTCGTTTATTAAGGCCTTCCGATTAACGGCCATGTAACAATAGACCAATATCACAAATCGATATAATTAGATTCATCGTTTTTTATTACAGTTGGTACTGTGTGAAAAATAAATGACATATACATTAAAAATACAACAGACTTTGCAGCATATATTCATATAACAACCGCGATATACAGATTCACGTAATAACGCAATAAATAATATAAAAGTGGAGTTTACAACAGTTTATATACGTGTAAAATAATATTGTAGAAAATATTAATACTACGATTTCCACATTTAAAAATCTTATTTTATTTGTACTAATAAAGAATATAATCGAAGTAAACTTTTAATAACTGTCAGTACTTACCGTGTCGCAGAATTTAAAACGTCATCAATACTGTCTGTAGTTTACGCGAGTAGTACACATTTAAATAAAACACTTAACCGGTTTGAAACGCGATATATTTTAGTTAAACTTGTTCGAAAATTTACAATTTGCTATAAGTTGTCGCCGGCTGCTGCAAAGTATCCGAAACGTCGGGCCGTAGTTAAAAATAATTTTCAAACAAGTCTAACTAAAATATATCGCCTTTTAAACCGTTAGTGTTTAATTTAAACTTCATCAATGTTATAGTTTCGTATTATTATTAAATAATCGATTTGTGTAATAAATATAATCACAAGATATACTACACAATAAAATATAGGTAACGATTTAAAAACAATATATTTACATGTTTCCTAAATAAATATTCACTATAAACTGAATGCATTTGGAACTGATTTTTGGACCCTTATGGAATTGTTACTTATTTGTTCATTGCCTTTTTGATGACGAAGCCTAAAACTATCGCGCCAGCCAACGCTAGTACGGCCCACTTGAGTTTTGAGCTGAAATTGGAAAAAACAATTTATACTGTCTGTAGCTTAGGCGAGTATACACATTTAAATAAAACACTTTAACGGTTTAAACCGCGATATATGTATATTAGATAGCAAATGTCTCCCTGTGACCGCGGATACTGCAAAGCATCCGTCGGGCCGTCGCTAGATAAAATAATTTTCAAATCACTTTAACTAATATATATCGCGTTGGAAACCGTTAAACTGTTTAATTTAAAAATAATTTATTCTATATTGACGCTGCCATAATCGTGGAAGTTACGTAGAATGAGGTAAGAATAATCATTTAGTGTGATGTAACTTATTTATTCAAGTTTAAACACCATTTGACTGTACGATTCGTTACTACATACTAAGAGACTTCTAGGGAACTATTTAAGGGTTGATGATATACCCGTTACGTAATGATAGATCAAAGTCACAAAATAAAACGTACGTATAGAATAATGTTTCAGATTTTATAAAATTAAATACTTATTTTGGCGATGTTGTGCACTATTTTTTATGTTTTTTAATGTTAAACTCTCGTCATGACACAATGCATGATGAAAAAAATAAGACGAAGAATTGACAATATAAACTGTCATGCTTTTATGTAACTGATAATTGCAACGCGATTCGTGCAAAATTATCCCCAACCATACGATAGTGCATTATTGGTACAAGAATGTACTTTAATCTTAAGTGCACCTCGTACAGTTTTTCACTATGTACAGCTACAAATGTATGGGAGACTATGATTGTATGATGTAAATACCAGAAATATAAAAACAAACCTAGGTGGGGGAGGTGGCCGTGGTTTCCTCCGTATCCTACGCCTAACAAAGAAAAGACTATTACTACGTGTAGCTATGAGAAATAATAATAACCTTTCACAGGGCGGTCCGCGTGGACGCCTTAAAAGAGAAAAAATATATATGAATATTTTAATTTTTGTGACCCTTTTAATGACAGGTAAAAATATACATAATTATCTTTTTTTATTATCGAGTTTCCGAAAAAAAATGCAATTTATTACATGTGTAAACCCTAAGATCTATTTTATAAGATATTGGCTGAGATTTCGAGAGATTATGTTAGTCTAGTATTTCTTTATTAGCCGCCATTATTAAGTAATGCGTATAAACGTAGCATGACCGGGGAACGCTAATCTGATCACGGCAACCTCTCAAGGTAGGAAAATGGAGAAGAATCATTTCTCAGTTACGATGGCCGAACAGTTGCGAATCCAAGTGGTTTCAAAAAAACATATTTCATCAAATTCTACAAAAAATAATTTCAAAACCTTTCACGAGGGACGACCACAGACTGTACCCTCCTCTCTACCGTCGGGCTAGACGCCGACGCTGGGCCTTTCGACTTCTCGTACTTTCTTTCGAGCGGATCGCTGTCAGAAACGTCAATATCAAAACAAAAAAAACGTTTGCTAACTACAAGAGAAAAAAAAACAAAAAAGAAAATAACACCTGGCGCGCGTTCCGTCGTAGGTCCGCCATGTTTTCTCCTCATTATCCGAACTCGGAACATTTGGACAACTGAGTAGCAAGTTTAAATTTATTTTTCCGTACTGTTTTGCAAAATACAAATAGAAAATCAACTACCTTACGGCCGAACACATGGAACATTCTGAACTGCGTTGGGAATGACTAAAATGGTAAAAAAATAACTTTAGAATGTCATATTATAAGCGGCATAATATCGACTTCTTTACTTCTGTATACCAAACTACAAACTTCATACCCAAAACAAAATAATGCAACGAAGTACCTAATAAAATGTTAACTGTAATAAAAAAAATAAAAATAATAAAAAAGCCTAAAAAAATATAAAGCCTGGGGCATTTACTTACAGTCTATACAAACTGTCTAACGGTTTTCGAAGGATACTTACAATACTAACATACAGATAAACCAAATACTACAGCATAAATGAACTTTTAATATTAACCTTGTCTTTCGCTTCACTTTGCAACTGAAAAATAAAGATTTTTTTAAAACCAACCTAAAATAAAACGCCTACCTAAAACTTTTTTTTATACAGAGTAATATTGGTATTAAGTGATTGTATAAAACAGAACAGAACAGAATTATTATTTCGATGTATTGTTGTGTTTTATACTTTTACAAGGTTGTACTTTTTAATTCAATTTATTATTAAGCATTTGTAGATTCAATTCTTCGTAAATTATGGCATTTCTTTAATTTATGTGATTTTTTTGCAATTTGGTATTTTGACATGAGAACGCGTGACAGAACTTGAGTTACAAAATTCAAAGAAGGTTTTCTTTCTTAAGTAAAACCTTATTTTCTATTTCTACTATATAAAATCCCGTTTCCCCCTCGTGGAGCATGGGACGAATACTTTTTGAGTTTGTTTCATTGATCCGTTCTTTAACAGGCAAGTAGTTGATCAGACTTCTATGCTCTGCCCGACAAAAATATTTTTTTGTTTCCCTGTGATTCGAACCCAGGCCCTCTCGCGCTTAATGCAATGCTAGGCAATTACGTTCAACCAGGTTACAGAGGCGGTCCTACTTTTTTTTCTATATTTATTTTCTATATAGCCCTATAATAATATTCTTCATAGGACAAAATAACATTTTCTAAAAAGGACTGTTTGTTGTTTGAAATACATTTTTTTTATAACCAGATGAAAAATGTAACTAATTTTTTTTACTCCATTACAAGAAGCCCATCGATTTGCTGCTAGTCATATATATAATAATATAGATTGTAGATATTATAATGAAAAAAGTCTATGGTATGTAAATTAGTAAGGCAGTATCTCAAGAAGTAAAAAAAAATAGAACTTCTATCACAAGTTATCATCAATCCTTAAATATTTCTATCAGTGTCCCCGAAACATAATAAAAAATATAATGTTCTTGAAAATGCAACAAACAAAATAATATGTAAACACTTACCAATCTTGAATGAATGAGGTCTTCTGTTGTGGTGGTAGTGATCCTATTTTGTACTTCTTCAAGAGTTCTCTGTTAAAAATAGTACTTTTATAAAAATATTATAAATATGAATTAGTTACTTGTTGAAATAGAAAAATAAATTACAAGATTATGAGTGAATAATTAGTATTCAAATGTATACAAGAAATAATGTGATACACAGCAGAAAATATAATGTTTTAATTCTTCTGACCTACTGTGGGCTACAAAAGAGAATTCAACAAGTTCGTATATATTTCAATAAAACCTTTTAATGCTTTAAAACCAATCCAATTCATGTTTTAATCCATTATTAAGTTCACACATAGTTACATACTGAGTTAATAAAAAATAAATTTAATATTTTTTTATATACTATATATAGGTAAAGTACTATACAAGGTTTTAAAAGTATTAAGTCTACATACTATCAACATGTGTTTTTTTTTATCTTACCTACTAAAGCCAAGTAGAAAAGTAGTTAGAAGGGATTTTAAATCCTCTAAATATACAAACCTAGCATCATCACTGTGTCCAACATCTTCAAACCCTTGTGTCCCATCTTTACCAGCCACTTCTAATAGAGAATCTTCACCACCAGGGTGCTGTAAATATGAATATTAGGGTAGTTACTAGAATCATTTGGACAAATGACATCACACTTAAAAATGAATGTTACCAAGTATTTTCCACCTTTCTCTAAACATAATAGTTATCTTTTGCTAATCAGATTCAGATCAGATCAGCAGCCATGGTCACGGGGTTTCGGATGACTGCTGATGCAAAGCATCCGAAACGTCGGGTCGAAGTTAAAAATATTTTTCAAATAAGTTTTACTAATATTGTATCGCGTTTTAAACCGATAAAGTGTTTTATTTAAATGGGTACTACTCGCGTAAACTACGGACAGTCAAGTTTTTCAAATCAAACTAATTTTATTCAAAACTTACATTTATCTTGTTAACAAATTCTATAGAGAGCAATAAGACTTTAAACCAAGGACGCGCGAAGTACGTATTTGCGGAATAACAAATAATTGTGTAATATTTCTTATGTGCTGACTGAAATATAAAATTATTACTTTACCTCTTCTAAGAATGATGTTACATCGTACACATCGTTGTGGATGACCATCCAAACACTACTTTTTCGCCGATGTTTCTTAACTTCCTCCAAAGTTATTATTTGGTCCATGTTTTTTAAACGCGAATCTTTAAATTAATAATAAGTCAGTAAGAAATTAAATTTTGCTATTGTATTTAATTCACATGCAAAGAGGATAATAAAAAGCGGATAATGGCATACAATTTACTCACAAGCTTTATTTGTAATGCGAAATCAATAAAATATATTTTATATTCGTTCCCCGCACAAAAGTTTCAACTGGATAACAATTTATAATGACATTTGTGACAGCAGACCATGTGTCAAAATCATCTGACTATGACATATCTCTATATTCACAATTGGATCATAATCGAAGAATTCAGAATTGCATCGAGAAATACCAACATATTATTATTATTTTCAATAAATGTTTAAATAGTTTTCAATATCGCAAAAAAATACGTTAAAACTTAATAATAAACGATAAACTAACTAATGTATTAAATTTAGTTAATAATTGATACTGATCGATATCACAATTTTTCAAGTCGTTAGTTTGTTTGCGATTATTGTCAATAGGTGCTGAATTGTCACCCTTCGTAAAAGTTGTTTACGTTTTACAACACTGGTTGTATTAAAACAGTTATCATTTAAAATTATAGGGATAACTATCATTCATTAAGCAAGGTTAGGTAGAAGTTTCGTTTACACGGTTTAATTCAAGTTAATCCGGATAATATACATAACCTCAAAGATTTTGTTGTGCTGAAATAAATGGACGTAGAAAAAGATTTCAATGATATTCTCGATGATATAGTCTTGAGTGAGGATGCTCAAGAGAAAGCAAGTTACAACGAAGGTTACAAGGCCGGTTCAGAAGCCGGTAATGCAGAAGGGTTCCACTTAGGTTACCATAGAGGTGCGCAACTTGGGAGTGAGTTAGGTATGTAAACGCAATTACATATCTGTGGAGCTGATGGTTGCATGTGTCTCAACTTTAACATTTTAAATTGCTGAGAAGTGTATGTATGTAAATAATTTGATTTTTCACTGCCCTGATAGGTTCTTAGTTATATTTATTGGTTAGTGTTTATTCATCATAACATTTTCACAGGTCACTATTTGGGGACTGTAAAACTTCTTTTGGAGACTAACGAAACATCTGAAACAAAGTATCCTGATAGAATTATAAATCAGTTGCTAAAAATAGAAGAACTTATCAATGCATTCCCACAAACTAACTCCGAGGAGCATGATATTTTAAAAATGGCGGAGACAATCAGGGCACATTACAAAAAAGCCTGTGCTTTGCTGAAAATATCTCCTAATTTCACAGATAATGTTGAAATATCTTTTTAGAAGTAAGTCTTCTATGTATGTATGTATATTATTTCCTTAATCTTTACTCAGAATACTTTATACTTTTGCTAATAGTTTTTACAATTACATTGCCAAGTCCATAAAGAATATTGATCTTAAACCATGTCGAGAGACATGACAATAATTTTATTTTTATTATCATTATTCAAGTTAAATATAGTTTATTGTATATAAATGTGTAAAATAAATTGTACTAAAAATCTTTATTACAGATTTTTTACAGATGGATACCAAAATATCAAAACTAAAGCAGAATTTGGATTCTATAATATCCTTCCTAACACCATTACTCCCTCTAGCTAATGCACATATGGTAGAATTCTTCACTGAATCACATTGGGACAAACTACTACCTTATAATTTAAAATGTTACTTGGAAGATAGAGATTTAAATGATGCAATTAATGAATTTTGGGATGCAGGATATAACAAAAATGGTATGTATTGATATGAATAATCCTCCAACTAAGCAAGGACGACACAACACTAGTGGAGGCGTGGGCCCCCACACTAGCTCGAAAACTTTGTCGAACATTATGTCTAATTTTGAGTAAAACATACATTACCTCTACAATTTATCTACTTATAAAACTTGCATTAAATTTAACTCAAAATGCTATACTCAAAACTTGGGTAAATATTATAAATTTTTGTATAAGGCATTAAATTCTATCCAAATACGTACCTCGTCAAAGAAGTATAATGAAGAATTACAAGACGAGCGGTACTTGAATCGGTTTTCCATGCTGTTGCTTTAACCAATTGATTGTTCATTGTAGTATTTTAACCTGAATTTTTACATACACATACCCTGCAATATAATTTTAAATAAAACACTTTAACGGTTTCAAACGCGATATATTAGTTAAACTTATTTGAAAATGATTTTTAACTTTGCCCCGACATTTCGGATGCTTTGCAGCAGCCATGGTCACGGGGAGACAAATCTCAGTCTAATATATCGCGGTTTAAACCGTTAAAGTGTTTTATTTAAATGTGTACTACTCGCATAAACTACAGACAGTATAAATTGTTTTTCCAATTTCAAAAACTCAAGTGGGCCGTTAGATGAAAGCAAAATTTTTTTCTATTTTCGGGCAGTAATAATCACCAATATTTTATATATTAAAACTATGCATTAATTCTGAATATGTTCTTAATCATTTTATATTGTTTCAGAGACTGAAATCACAAATTGGGTGCAACTTGCTCGGTCCCACTGTCTCACAGTTGACAATGATTTCTGTCTATCTGCTCAAGGCTTGGAAGAATTAATTAAATCTCGTGGTGGATGTATGCACTATCAAATTAAAGTGACGGAGTTTATGACTAGCAAAAAAAGTTATGAGGTAGGTTTAAGAGTGTTTTTCAAGTAGGTGGGGTGGTGGCCGAAGTCGCTAGACAAAGCAAGATTTAAGCTTAGCTTAACTAGTTCTGGGAATAAGGGCATATATTTGGGCCTATTTCCAGTTTTTTTTTCAATTATCATGCTACTTTAAGTAATAGTTTGTGAACAAATATGCCAAATATTAAAAAAAATAATTATTTAGGTCCAAACAATGTCGCCATATGTAGCATCATGGCATGGCATGGCTGGCACAACTCACTGTGTTGAAGCTGGTGGTGGCAAAGGAAATCTACTAGTTGCTCTATCCCTGGGTTATCAGATACCCAGTTTGACGGTTGATTGTGATGAGAGGACTCTAAGAAATGGAGAGAAGAGGCTGAGAATTATACAAGTAATTTCTGAACTCTTATTACTGAATGCAAAAGCAATGCTATGTTGAATTCAGATCTAAGTTCTTTTGAGTATTGTCTGTAGCTTATATGAGTAACACATGACTAACACAAATTTAAATAAAACACTTTTAACAGTTTAAAACTTCCCCCTGTGACTACGACTGCTCGTAGTTAAAATTTATTAAAAATAAGCTTACCAAAATATTTCTCGTTTTAAACAGTTAAGTGTTTTTTTTTTTAATAAAATTGATGTCTTGTCAACAAGTAACATCAAAGCATGAAGAAATTTATCACATTTTATACGCTATATATAGGATCTGATTCCCAACTGTAGGAATAGGTATAGTAGACGGTTAATTATAAAGTATGCAAATACATTTTCTATAACCAATTTTGACGTCATTGTATTAGTTTATTAACCTTACAGAAACAATGGCATGCAATAGCTAAGAAAATAAACGAGACTTCCGAAGAAAAAGTTACCAAGAACATCAACTATGATTTGCATAAGTTCGCAACTGCGTATATAACTAAGAATACCGATTTATCTGAAGTTGTGTGCAAGCAGTTTGATTGTGATAATGCTAATCTGCTACTTACTGGTGAGTTTTTTTATACATACGAAGGAATTTAATAATTTTCACATAATATAAGAATTCTGTGACACAAGTGGGACTCCAATCCACGATCAATATCTTATTGTATCCTGGCTCCACCAATTTAGTTATCGTAGTTTATCGTCCTTGAAACTTACTTTCGTGAATGCATTTTTGATATAATGAAATTTGGATCTTATTAGATGCGTACTGAGGATCAATGTCTAGTGCTTTATATTTGAAATGAATACATAGAACTTAAATTTATATTTTTTTATATATTTCGCTTTTTAAACTATTATAAGCGTTTTATTAAATTTTATATAAATTGGAAGCTACAGCTTAAATCTTTATATAGCACAGTACGCAGCTCTTGAGAACGCACTAGATTACGTTTATACCTTGCTTTTAAATTATTTCAGGCCTCCATACTTGTGGGAATCTTGGCCCAGACTCGCTGCGTATTTTTACGTCTTGCCCAGCTGTGGGCGCGCTGTTCAATGTTCCATGTTGCTACCACCTGCTCACAGAGGCAGTGGATGGTGGATTATTCGATGGCTTCGAGCGGGAGCACAGTAGCGTGGTGGATAGCGGATTTCCTATGTCAGAGCATTTGAGGGGTACTTAACTTATTTTATATATTATAAATTTTTATACAATACTCTTAAAATATTAATAAACCCTTTATTGCTTACATATATAGACTAGAATGAATAATTAGAAATGTCCGAAGACAGAATCAGCTTTTACAGCAAATAATGATGATCCTTTGTGAACTAATAAATCATTAAATTATCATATTGAGATTAAATATCTTATTTCTTCTAGGTTTTAACCTTGGATCAAATGCACGTATGCTCGCAGGACAATCTATAGATAGAGTAATTGCATATAGACAATTGCCAATTAGAAGTTTGTTATACAGAGCAAAGCTACAAGTGAGTATTAAAATAAAACGATCTATTGTATTTAAATAACGGAAATATATGTTAATTCAAGTAAACTTCTAAGTTATGAATACATACATTTATGTCTTTTAAATAAAAACCCTTCTAGCGGTATAAAACGCCAAATGTATAAGTTAAACTTATTTACGAATTATTAATTAGTCTCTCCGGCTGCTGCAAAGCATTAAAATAATTTGTAAATAAGTTCAACTAATTCATATTTCGTGTTTTAAACAGTTGTTTTATATAAATGTGTTCTCGCTTAAACTACAGACAGTATTTCGATATTTGTATAGACATGGGTGGTTATTTTATTTTGAAGAAAATTGAAGTTCACAAAAGCACAAAAAATAATTCCTTCCAGAAAATCATCAAAAATCAAACACCGCCTTTATCGATTCCCTGAGAGAAAACTTAAAGGTTTAAGCGGAGAAAGTTTCGAAGTGTATTTTAAAGCTGCAGACGCCATCTTGAAAACCGGACTTGACAGCTGTCATGTTGACATACTAGATTTAGAAAATATGGATTGCCAGTGGAAAAAAATCGTCTTGTTCTATTTGGTTAGGCTATGTTTAGCCCAAGTGGTGGAGAGTGTTATACTAATGGACAGATTGTTATTTTTATATGAAAATGGATTTAGTAATGTGTTTTTGGTTAAGTTGTTTGATCCAGTACTGTCGCCGCGGTGTCATAGCATTGTGGCTATAAGATAGCGTTTATTTTATAGAGATAAAATGTATATTTTGAAAATATATGTGGTCGTATGGATCTTTTTGTATGTTTCATTCCGTGTTAAATGTATTTTATAGTTTTATAACAAAATATAATTACCGCTACATGATTACGTAAAATTTATTTAGTGTCTATTATACGTTCATAATAAATATAGTTGTAAAAATGTTTAAGTTACACGATGGCACCATCATTTATCAAAAATTACATAATAAGTCTTCAAATCAAACAATCAATAAAATTCCTTGGTTTTAGTAAATATTTTACTAAATTTTCTACGTTATATTCTATTTGATTATATTATATAATGAAGTCCGTCTGTAGTTTACCCGAGTAAATAAACGGTTTAAAATGCGAAATATGTTAGTTAACTTATTGAGGATTTATTTGTCGCCCGATTACCACGGCTTCTACAAAGCAACCGAAACTTCCGCGTAGAATATTATTTTGGGCATCCAAATTTGTTTTGACAAACCTCTTCATTTTTGTAAGTTTAAGAGCTTACCCACGACGTCGGTCGCGCCCCGTCGTTCTTGCAAATTATTCTAAGACAAATATATACGTTGCGGACATTTTTATTGGGTACCTTGAACCGCACTCCTTGTACGCATCGGAAACTCACAAAAATGAACAATTTTCCCCGTTTTCTTCCACATTTCCCACAGTTTCTTTGCTCCTATTAATCAGTGCAATGTTTACCTTCCTCGATAAATGCTCTACTCAAAACAAAAAGATTTTTTTAATTCGAGCCTGTAGTTGCAGAGATTAGCGCATTGACACAAATAAACAAACTCTTCAATTTTATATATTAGTATAAATTTAATTGTGGTTTGTTTGTATATATACGTACTTAATAGAGAAAATGTCAAACCATCTCGCTTGTCCTCGACCTCTTATGGGACCACAGAATATCAATGCTGGGACAATAGTCACAATGTAGCTGAGTGAACTCCTTTTCAGAGAAAACTATTATTTATTATTTTATCTGTATGTAGTTATATAATATTTTATTTGTAATTCTTCTTATATTGTTTCTTAAATATAAAGCTTGCATGATTTTTATATATTCCGCGTTTTAAACCGTTAAAACTTTATTTAAATATATTACACTGAAAAAGTGACATTCTTCAGAACTAATTATAAGCACAAATTTGAATAAATGCAGTTTTAGAAACTTATCGCAGCCTAAACAATCTTTAATCACTATAATGAGTTGTATTTCTGTGAACGAATTCGGAAAGCCCACAAATATAATTGGACTAACTTTTGATTACAATGGAAACGTACAAATCGATCATAGATTCTTAGTATCGTCGCTGTACGAGGGTACAACTAGGATGGCGTTGCTGGAATCGGCTCGTTATGTTAATAGTTCGATGGAAATTTAATTACGCGTAAATAAATTACAATTGCGTAGAGTTAATCAGTCCTTTAATGTCACTGCCAAATCCTGCTTTTGAGAAACAAATCCACACGCCAGCCAATTGCGACGTGGCAACACCTAAATCTTTAAAATAATTACTTTTTCCCTAAATCTTTAAAATAATTAACTAACGTTTTAAAACGTGAAATGTAGTGTTAACTTTTTTTTAAATTAACAATTAATTTTATCTACGCTCACTCGTTTCGGATGCTTTGCAGCAGCCGTGGTCACGGAGGACAGCCATCAGGTACTCTTATTTACAGTTTTCAAATATGCGGGAGAGTTTATTGATAAAGACCGACTTTATATTTAAAAAAAAAATACGACTCAAGCGGGACTTGAAATGGTATCCATAGCGCTTCGTGCTGCTCTAACTATTTAAGTAGCCGTAAAGTTTTTCAATACAAAATCGATTTCCAATAAATATAACGCCATCATGACGTGCAATAACATACCTAGTTTAAATTACACGGCCCAACTAACAAACATATACTTTTATCACTCAGAGTACAAAGATTGAAGAGTACGTAATTACTAAAAAAAATTGCAAATTTCAATCGAATTTATAGGTAATATTCATGATATTATGTATATCTTTAAAAAAAACGTGACAATAACGTAGCTAGTTCTTGTAGTAGCCACGTAGGTAATTTTTAAAAGGCCATTTGCCAAGTTTTATGGGTCTCGTCGACTTAGTTGAGCAACGTGCAACATCTGATAATGCAATCCACTTGTGATGATGAAATAAAAGGCATAAAAAATGGTGGATAATAAATTCCCAGACGTCATATCATCATGTCTTCTTATAATCATATAGGTATATAGCAGAAGACAGTAGGGCTAACATCCCAATTCGGGTATCCACATACTGACTGTGACTGCAGGGAATGCCCATATTCCTACCACCCGTTTAATATCTATTCGTAACGAAGTCTAACATGAAATATGTTCGACCCAATGGGAATCGAATCCAGGACCCGTCAGGTGTTACCCAGAGATTGAAATCTAAAAACACGACGTATGCTTTAAACTGTCTTAAATATTACCATAAAATGCTCGATTGACGTTCGGCAATTTCCCCCCAAAACATAAACAAGACGCTTTTAAAATGTCACGCAATTTATTATCGTTGATTTTATTTAAAACCTCCCTTTGCATTCCCCTCGTATCTTGTTTATCGTGTTACAAAAGAATTTCTTGAATTCCGATGCTTATTCCTATTTCGCGTTCTCCAGTCCAATGTCTACGTCTTTCTTATTTTTCAAACCAAATAAAGTTAGATTTTTAATTCTGATACCATTCTAACATTCCGATAATAATTAAATATATTATAACTGTATTGTTTAAAATGTATAATACTATTGTGGCACTAAAGGTAAATTAAAATCGATGAAAAGATTACTAAAATGCGACCTTTTCAATCTGTGTGTTTAAGATTAATGCATCGTTCTAAAATATGTCATTTGATAACTAAAAACAAATTAAAAATTGCTATTTAAGCAACTATTACATTTAAATAAAACACATTATGTAATACTTGAAATATATTAGTTTATTTATATTCAGAGTTAAAATAAATTAAAAATAAGTTAATTAATATATTTCGCGTTTCAAACCGTTAAGCGTTTTATTTAAATGTGTATTACTCTCGTAAAGCACAAACAATATACTTAACTCTACCATAAACTTAAAATTAAATTATTAAATGTTATTATTTAAATTTGTAGCTTTAGAATTACATGTTACATAGCTATAGCTTTTACAGATACGCAACCCTCAACATAGATAATATTCAAACAAAAACATCCCCCCTAATAAGATTGTTTTGACTTGAAAGCGTCTAAGTATTTGCATCTTAATTGACCGTATCAAATTGAACATTGAAGTCTTGTGAGTAACATGAGATTAAAATTGCTATAGATACATCGGCAGATACAGCCTTGTCGCTATGTATGCCTAGTAATCAAGCGATAGTGGATTTGATGCCCACCAGATTCAACATGTTTTTAAAATCTATACTTATATATAAAGCTGAAGAGTTTGTTTGAACGCGCTAATCTCAGTAACTACTGGTTCGAATTGAATAATTTTTTTGATGTTGCTTAGATAATGTATTGATAAGGGCTTTAAAACATTGCAATGTGACTAATAGGAGCAGAGAAACAGCGGGAAATGTGGGAAAGCGGGGAAAATTATTCATCTATGTGAGTTTCCAATTCAAGCTTAAATTTATAAATATGAAGAGGCGGTTCGCAAAAACAAATTTACTATTTTACTCGGACGAAGTCGCTGACACAGCTAAATGGACTATTTATAATCTGAAACATTTTAAGAGTCGTCTGGAAAAGGTGAATATTAAATGGGCGGTTAGAATTTCCTATGTGGATATCCGAATGCCCAAAGCCAAAATATGCCAACAGCATATCTTGTTTAGATATCATAAGGATGGTGTTCCATCCTGTTTTTCCATCAAACCCCATTGTCTGTCATATACACACATATTTGTAAAAATACTTTATTAGGACAAAAACATAATCCTCCTTACACAGTAGTATAGTATCACAGTACAATTTATTAATAACATACACTATACCTAGTGGTTAATACCATTAGGTACTTAGATACCTGTTAAAATTTAATTACGTCTAATTGAACCGAAGTACATACATTCGTTGATATAACAAAAGGTTTTGAAAGGATTTTGGAATTTGAACATAGCATAGACTGCCACAAAACATTTTTTTATGGTGGAGCTTTTTCATCTGTGGACGGTGTTTCTTGACCCGGAAATAATTTCGATATTCTTGCTACCCATTTTGACCATTTCAGATATTTCTACTACCAAAAAATATAAATCTTTGGTAGTAGAAATATCTGTTAATCGGGAGATCGAACCCGCGACCATAATGAATAGTTAGAAAGCTAATTTTTTGTAACTTATCTAATTGTGAAGTCTCATACATAAGTGCGGAATAAAGACAGACATTCTGTATCTGTTTCAATTCATCTACATACATATAAGTAAGCTTTCTGGACCACGCAATTTACAATATTTTCCCGAAATTCTAAACACCTTTTCCTGCTTACCGTATCATAGAGGCGGTTCCTACTACGTCATAACTCGTGTAAAATATGTTTACGTCATCATACGACCCTCCATATGACGTAGGCGATAATTGTTCTATGTAATTAATCTTTATCTCAATCGCGCAGATTGTCTTTTGTTTAGACTAGTCACTAAGTACCTTTGA